TGAGCCGTACACGGAGCCAGCTCCGCCAGAAACCAAGTGTCGACCCCGAACATGGTGGGTGATTAATGCAACCCTCAAAACCCTAAAATCTTTAAATAAACTTGTTAAAAAGGTGTAATTGCACGGGGATCCATCATTTATTTTGTAAAAAACTGTTTAACTTCACCCGTTAGCGTGAATTTTCGGTTCTTGCATGAGCCGTACACGGAGCCAGCTCCGCCAGAAACTAAGTGTCGACCCCGAACATGGTGGGTGATTAATGCAACCCTCAGAACTCTAAAATCTTTAAATAAACTTGTTAAAAAGGTGTAATTGCACGGGGATCCATCATTTATTTTGTAAAAAACTGTTTAACTTCACCCGTTAGCGTGAATTTTCGATTCTTGCATGAGCCGTACACGGAGCCAGCTCCGCCAAAAACTAAGTGTCGACCCCGAACATGGTGGGTGATTAATGCAACCCTCAGAACTCTAATATTTTTAAATAAACTTGTTAAAAAGGTTGAATGGCACGGGGATCCATCATTTATTTTCTAAAAAACGGTTTAACTTCACCCGTTAGCGTGAATTTTCGGTTCTTGCATGAGCCGTACACGGAGCCAGCTCCGCCCTCCGCCAGAAACTAAGTGTCGACCCCGAACATGGTGGGTGATTAACCCAACCCTCAAAACCCTAAAATCTTTAAATAAACTTGTTAAAAAGGTTGAATTGCACGGGGATCCAGCATTTATTTTGTAAAAAACGGTTTAACTTCACCCGTTAGCGTGAATTTTCGATTCTTGCATGAGCCGTACACGGAGCCAGCTCCGCCAGAAACTAAGTGTCGACCCCGAACATGGTGGGTGATTAATGCAACCCTCAGAACTCTAATATTTTTAAATAAACTTGTTAAAAAGGTTGAATGGCACGGGGATCCAATAATAATTTTGTAAAAAACGGTTTTATTTTGGTTGAAATCTTGCTGTTTTTGAGGTTACTTGCTCGTTGCTAGAACAGAGGGAATCCCCATATTCGAAGCCACCTTAGGTCGACACTTAGCCGTGGGAGCCATTATTTGTTTGCGAATCGCAAGATGTCGTGGTAGTATTCTTGAAAATTCTTAGGTAGTTGTGCGATTAAACTGTTCGAAAAACACTGGAAATTATTCTTGAAAGATAGGGGAACATTTTGATACATTAATATTGTGCATTGGCTACGGTTTTGTGTTTGCTTATCGATTTTGAAAATTCGACATGAGCCGTACATATTTGACATGAGCCGTACAATTTGCATGAGCCGTACAGCTCCGGCCCAACATCGCTCTTTTTATTTGATTTGTTTAAAATACATTTTTCACAGACTTATCGAAAGAACAAAGCTGGTGCTAATTGTTATTAATTTGTTAAGTTTAACTTCTCTGTATAGAATCCATTTGTATAAGTATTGTTGTAATAAGACATCTAAGTGCAAACTGGATTTTAAAGTGATTGTAATTAGCACCCTTTCTTTAATTCAGCTTGCCATCTTAAAAGGGATTCCTGTTTCAAATTTTGTGCATTTTCAGTTGATGGTAGTATGGCTGCAGCTCTTGATGCTTGTGAGAAGGTAAGTGTGCAATATTAGTTTCTTTTAATGAAAGTTGCATTTTAAATGAACAATGAAAAGTAAATACATAAAAACACGAAAAAATAAAAGAATTGTGTAACCCTGTGAATGAGTTTTAGTTTTATTCAATACTTTTAGGAAAAGAGCAGAATACAGATTGAAAATACTTGCATATTTTTTCTAGCTAAACAAAGTAGCTTTTACATGTACTTTTTCTATTGTAAATTTTTGCATAACATACCAAAAGGGCCACCAAAAGCCTGCAGCTGGCGACTGCAGCCCTTCTAGGCTGTATCCATGTAAAGCTCGCTCATTATATTTGCTAGTAATTCATGGCCCTGCATGGAAAGTTCTGCATCTTGATAATAATGCCAAAGAGTTCCATAATACATGCATGATAGAAAATTTTCATTTTTCTTTACACCAACAATGGCTTTTCAAGTCACATTCTACCCCAATACAGGCAGCCAACCATCCACCTCTATCACAGCACATTGTTTCCCTTCCTTTATGCCAGTATGCCAAGGAAGTGAAGAAGTCCATGCTGGATATATCTGGCATAAGTTCCATAATAATTACCAGCCTATGAAAGGCGACCAATGCAACACTCCTTCCTCAGACTCCAATTTCCATCTTAACCTTATATACTCTAAATTGTCAGTTAATATTTCAGTCTTCATATTCTACGTCACACGCTAAATGTCTTTACTACTTTGAATGTCGCTTGCTGGTTTCAAACTCTGTGCATCAAATTTTTATTAGTACAAAGTACAATAGTTCCAACATTTTTGTGAATAATCACTGTTTGCTAGCAGTTTATTTTCATTTGAAATACAATGTTACTTTCTTGGTAACTTTTGCTTTACTAATTAAAATTTTAACAGATCCTGAAGTTATAGGAATGATTATTTATTTCAACCAACATTGTTTGCAGACTTTAGAAAAATAAAGTATATAAAGCAAAATTACAAACTTCTGTTAATGAACAGATTACGAGTTTTACTAGCAGGGGTGTATCTCCGGGGGAGGACTGTCTGGAAAGTTGGTCGATAAATTTTACAGATGGTCCGTAAATTTTATGGATTGTCGGTAGATATGTATCTTGACTTTATATATTAGTATATTGGTGTGTATACATTGACTAGCAAGCGTTGAATTTTGGTCAGTTAACTCACCTGTTTACACCCCCCCCACTCCAGATCATCAAGGTAAACCCCTGTTTACCAGATCAATTTCAAATGTTCAAGCTTCAAAGTTCTTCTAAAAGAACATTGCATGATAATTACTTGTTTTAAAAGGATGTGATATATAAGAAGGACAAAGGCCTAGGCCTACCATTCTTGTTGTCATAATATGAGTGAGTAGCCATGTCTGAATTAGTGGTTGATGTTTGATCTGTCTTTAGCACTTCCTGCCCTCCTTAAACTTGCATTGTTATAAGTTGATCCTTTTCTACTTATTACAGTGATGTTGTATGCCTTTCATTTACATTTTTTTTGCTTTCTGGAAAGGCAGATTTTTGGTTGTTGTATCCATACATGCAGAAAACCCATCTTTTTTATCAATCGCCATTCTCTACATACCAAAAACCAAATGTTTTGCTTGACGGACAGTTGATTTCCATCTAATTTTCTTGAAGCTTTTTGGCCGTTTATCTATTTATTGGTCGAAAAAAATTTATTTTATTGATTTGTAACCAACATTTGTGAGGGTTTTTCCTCAAGATTGTAGAGACCAAAATAATGTTTTATAACACAATGATGGAAAAAAGCTATCATTAAATTTCTAGCATCTTTGCATGCACTAAGACTGCTGCTTGCAACATATGCAAAAAAAATGAAAAACAAGAAGCATGAAAAAAATTTGCAACTGTCAAAAAAAGCAAGATCTCTCACACCACCAATGGCCAAATGTTCTGCCTTAACCAATTTGCATCAAAGCTGGTTTTTTTGTCATTTCGCAAAATTGCATTAAATGTTCACAATATCTGTTGGTAAATATTGCAAGGAAAATGATAAAGAATTGTAAATGTATGTTTTTGCTGATAAATTTATGCAAGACTTGCAGCAAAGAAATAGTATGGCTTTATGGCCCTGCACTGAATGTCATGTCTGCTTTGCAAGAAAGTTTAAGATTTGTTTAAAATGTTACCAAATGTTATGCATGTTTTATAATGGATTGGCAACATCTACATGCAAAGGTTTTTTGCAACTGAGAGTAAACACTTTGTATTTTCTTTATCTGAAAATATTCTGAAAATATCGGACCAGTGATTTGACATCAGTTAATTTGCTTAAGGCTTGTAGCGCAAAAGGTTTTTTACTTTAACAAAGAATGATAACAGATGAAAAGCGGAGAAACTTGCAACATTGTAATGTCATGGTTCATTATGGAAGGGTTTCTCAAAAAATTATCTGAAAGAGCAATCGATCTCTTTGACCTGCCTGGATACTTTTGTGAGGGGAATGTATTTTTTGCAGAATTTCTCAGAACAGCAACTTTAGTGGATATAAAAATTGTACAGTTAAGACATCCACATGTAATGTACAAATTATGTCAGACAAATTCCTGTTTAAACACTCTTTAACATCCATTCATAGGCCTTCCTCTAAAATTGTAATAACAAAATTTGTTGTATATGTATTGCTTTTTTCTCTCAATATTTTGTATTAATTCTGATATTTCTATGTAACCAATTTTTTTTCAAACAGGATCTGCAAATCTTGCTTGTAAAGATAGACAATGTGAAAAGTTTCTTGTTGGATGCAGTCAATGCAGTCAAGAAGGTACGTATCATTTGTAATTGCCTATTTGACATCAGAGACTGAATTGATATTTGATAGACATTTATAGACAACTTATTCATAGACAACTCTTGACTGAACCAAACCACACCATTGAGTGGATGTATGCTTATAAACTTTGAGGTAGCTAATAAAACAATCAAAAGGTTTCTGTTCACACTTGGTTTTTTTATCAGTTATTGTGGTTTTGATGTAATGATATGGGCGGCGTCAAAGTGGGAGCTTTATTTTGAGCATGGAATTGTTTGTCGTGATCTGACTATATTTAGGGTGCTCTTTTTTTAGCATAGACGTATGAAGCATTTCAAAAGGGGGGTGCATGTAGCTACAACCTTTTCTAAAAAATGGGAGTCGATGCCCCCCTCTTGGTTCCTTTGGCTATGATTTTGAGAAGGCACATGTTTCTGTGTCATAATCATCATTATCTCCTTCAACTGTAGATTTTACCATGTCTGGCATCAGACCTGCAGCGTTTATCTCTACTTTTGTCTGTCCTGCACTAAGCCTGCTCCTGCAGATCTTTCTGCACAAGTCTTCACCATGTTAACCTTGGTCTTCTTTCTGGTTAATTTAAACTCTTCTAGAAATATTAGCACTTCTCATTTCTAACATTTCAGAACGACTGTGGCTTGCTCAGGACCTTTTTCAATTCTTCCTTGATATCTTATACAAGCTGGACACCAAAAGTTCTGGATTCCCTTACATTTTCGAGATCTTGAGATCTAGATTTGCTCTGCCACTGTCTCTTTTCATCACAAATGAAATGTGATCAAATTAGAAAATTGTCAGTTTTATCAGGTTATCAAACACATTTGGAGGAGAAAATGTCATTTTGTGGCATCTTACCTTGTAACTATCAGCAAATAGTTAGACATTTTGATTTTTTAAGAAAAATTAACATATGTTTATCTGACCATAAATTTTTTGCTATGATATTCGAGAAGTGCAAATCATATTTCTATGTTGGAAAAAGATGAAATTTTTTGGTTTATGTTTCATAATGTCGCAAATATCTAAGACATAATGGAAAAAGTTTAGAAAGGAAGAGGATGAATTGATGATCTTGTTTTGCGAGCTTTACTTGTAAAAGATGCTGTTTTGCAGTTTCCCAACACATATGCCATAGGATCTCTTGAAATTTTTATTTTGCAGGAATAATCACGATTTCTAATTCTCATGTCTTGAAAATGACAGGAAGAATAGGCCTGTAGTGATTTTAATATTGTAAATTAGGCCATATTCCTACTTCATGCCATCACCATGACATCCAACTACGTCATTCACAGCATCACCTAGCACATGACATTCCCTTCACCATTGATCAGACGTTCACACATCTATGTCATGCTGATTTCTTCCCAAGTCTAGATCTTTCCTTCTCCATTGCATCATCATTACATCATCACAACACATCATTACTCAGCACATTTATTTTGTATATAAGTATGTTAATTTGTATGTAATTCAGTCAGTCAGTCAAGTTCAGTTCACATCAGAGTTACACAGGCAACACACTGTCTCTCTCACTGGCTCCGTGTTCTCTGCACGTTAAATAAGATTCATCGAAGCGAACATCAACGATGGAAAGTCACAGGATAAGATAGGAACCATTGCAATTCATTCCACATAATAACGTTCCTATAATGGTGACCACGACGTGACCCGCAACTCCATCGTTGGTTAACTGGTTAACTCTACTTCGATTTCAACACAAACACAATTCAACCGGATTCGTCATCATAAACTCAGCAAAACTCACTGGAATTATCGACGACAAACACATGGACACAGTACCACAAATCGCCACATGCATCTTGGCAGCACCAACACCACGGATCTCTCCAGTTTTCCACATCCAACTTCTCGCAGGTTCTTGGTCATCCTATTCATAAAACCTTGGCAAACAATCAACACACCGCAGCACTCGACTCACCGTAGTGCCCCCAACGCATCGCAGCACTCGACTCACCGTAGTGCCCTCAAACGCATCGCAGCACTCGACTCACCGTAGTGCCTCCACGCAACAACATCGCTTAATACCTCCTCAACAAACTGGTTCCTGGTCATCCAACGTAAAAACTTCGCACAAATCTCCCAAATCACGAACAGAAGAAAACACCGGCTACGTCTCGAACTCTCATCGATTTATAACGGTTGGACATTTAAATTTCGAACAATTAATATTTTATCGCAATTCACTCATAATTTAATTCATCTCTTTACAATATTCAAATTTATTCCTAGTACTTTTCCCCTTTCGTATCGAATGCTTCACAACCGCTTGCATTCTAAGGGGGGAGCTATTGTAGTGATTTTAATATTGTAAATTAGGCCATATTCCTACTTCATGCCATCACCATGACATCCAACTACGTCATTCACAGCATCACCTAGCACATGACATTCCCTTCACCATTGATCACACGTTCACACATCTATGTCATGCTGATTTCTTCCCAAGCCTAGATCTTTCCTTCTCCATTGCATCATCATTACATCATCACAACACATCATTACTCAGCACATTTATTTTGTATATAAGTATGTTAATTTGTATGTAATTCAGTCAGTCAGTCAAGTTCAGTTCACATCAGAGTTACACAGGCAACACACTGTCTCTCTCACTGGCTCCGTGTTCTCTGCACGTTAAATAAGATTCATCGAAGCGAACATCAACGATGGAAAGTCACAGGATAAGATAGGAACCATTGCAATTCATTCCACATAATAACGTTCCTATAGGCCTTACCATAGGAGCTCGTGAATAAATGATGTTACATAAAACTTTTATTAACTTTAACTCTCAGATCCTGACTATATCTCAAATTGTGATTATGTCTGTTGTTAGGTCCTGGGCCTCTTCCCAAAATTTCCAACTAAAAAGAAAAAATGAGATCCATTTTTAAAAAACGTGTTAGATATCAATGTGAAAAGATACACCAATGTTCTGTTATTTAAGTTTTATAGTTAAACTAGCTAAACTGGCATTTTCTCATTTTAGGCCAAATCATCTATAAATGAGCTGCCACCAGCAGTTATTCAAAATGAAGATGTCAACAAAGTCTTTGCAGCAATTACAGAGCAGATGCAGTTTCTTATGACAGGTAAATACCTTAAATATCCTGCCTAGAAGATTCAATTGATTGCACCAATTTTTCTCTGCTGTTGAGACAGTTGCCAAAACACATGTCAGGTTGCAAGAATTTATGATACTACCGCTAACTCCTCCTTCAACTAAAGTGGGGCATATGCATCTCGATCACAGAGATATTAACAGTTTACAAGGGATTGCAAATCTCAACAGCATCTGCCCTGGATTTTAGGTAACTGGTGTCATGTTATAACCATTGTTCTGAATATGTGTATTTAGTAACTGTTATCTGAGGTAGGTAAGTAGTATAAGGTAGGTAATAGTTATCTGATGAGCTTTTCAAGAAACTGGTTGAGAAATTGGCTACACTTTCTTAGTAATAATGAAAGAGGCAGCAAAAGTTAGAAAAAAGAAACTTAAGACAAGCAATTTAGATACACTTTGGGTTGTGATATGTTTCAAAGACAGCCTACCTTGCCAACCCAATTTGGTTATTTTATTGCCTAAGATTGCTCACACAAATGTGCATGGCACAGAAATATATTGAAATGATAATCATAATGTATTATAAATGGCTTTGAGAAAAGCAAACATTCTGTGTCATACTTAAGCTTATTCAATAGGCAAGCGGCACTGATTGGTCAACCTCAACAGTCATGTGCTCTCGTTTCTGATTCACCTATTTCAATCCACAACTTGGTATAAAGAAATTTTTTCTGTGAAACACGAACTATTTTGTCAAAAGCAGCCTATATCATCAAGCAGAACGTCTTTTGAGATCCCTTGTTATCAAGGTTAATAGCTGTTGCTACTACTTCTCATTGTTTTAAGCACGCAAGCGATTATGACATGAAAGGGTCCAAATCATTTAAAGAGCTGTCTGCATGTGCATATTGCCAAACTTAAGTGCAGCTGTATGCGATATTTTTTTCCTGGGGATGGCATGACTGTGTGACTGTGTCATTGTGTAAACTTGTTGTAGATCTTGGTAAATTACTTAAGTGAATTTTGTTAAAATGGTCTATATTTGAAAAATTGGAACATGGTAAGTTTTTTCAGGATAGATGTGTACAATTGTAGCATTATGAGAAATGAATCCCCACTGCATTACAAAAATATAGCATGGAAAAGGGGGAAATGAGGAAGGGCCAGCTTCTGTTAGGCTGATTAAGGTCATTACTCCTCTTGCCTTCTTTGCTCAGGCGATCATAGTGCATAAAGCACGAACTAAAAGAGATTTAATGTGTGAAAAGGAAGAACCGCAAGGTAGGCTGTCTGCCGGATTCTGTGAATCTTGCAATGAATAATAATATGACAGATATTCAGGAACAAAGCAATACGACGACGAGAATCCAATGTGATGGGATAAGATGTTCAATGTAAATAAAAATTAAACAAATACTAAATAATTATAAAATTAAACGAATAATAATATTTTTAATAGAGATTTGTTATATTTGTAGTCCAAGCTCCTACAGAGGAAACCCTGATAGAAGAGAAAACTGTGCATGCTGCAGAGGAAGTCAGGCAAAATGAGGAAACAGTGGAGGAAGTCAGACAAAAAGAGGAAACAGTTGAAGAAAACAGACAAGAGGAAACAGAGGAAACCAGACAAAAAGAGGGAATAGAGAAGGAATGCATACAAAAAGAGGGAACAGTGGAGGAAATCAGACAAGAGGAAACAGAGGAAACCAGACAAAAAGAGGAAACAGTGGAGGAAGTCAGACAAGAGGAAACAGAGGAAACCAGACAAAAAGAGGGAATAGAGAAGACATGCATACAAAAAGAAGGAACATTGGAAGAAGTCAAACAAAAAGAGGAAACAGTGGAGGAAGTCAGACAAAAAGTGGGAATAGAGAAGGAAAGCAGACAAAAAGAGGAAGCAGAGGAAAGCAAGGAAAATGAAGCAGCACCGTTAACTGACGACAGCAATGCGCCTATTGCAGAGGGATCGATAGAAGAGAGTCAGACAGACTCCCAGGAAACAGAAATGAAGGGAGTAAAACAGACCAGTGAAGAAGCTGATTTGAAGCAGCAATCCGAAGAATCGCTAGAAACACTTAAACGTATGTATAAACTCATTCTGGAGTGTTTTGATGACCGTAAGAGAAGATTAACTAAATGCACGAAAAGTATAATCGAAGCAACTTAGTGTTTGCTTAGAATGATTGAATCACATCAAGATATTTATAACATGTTTTATTTACAGCCTGGACAGAGAGAGGAGAACTATACATGCGAGTAACGAGTCCTCTGCTAAAGGACGGAACCTTTTGGTGTGTTCAAGAGTATGGTGTTAATGTTGAACTTTTGAATACCATCTCTCAAAAGCTAAGGTTTGTTATCAAAGCTTATTTACCTGATCATCAGACACGTAAATACCGGTGCCACCCCACCCCCAATCTTTGAAATTCTTTGAAATCGAATTACAAAGAGAATAACACAAATGCCGAGAATTGTATAGAATAACAATTGGCTTATTTTCAGTCGATAATTTCTGGCCTCTCAACCTCCATCCAATGCCGTCCGTCAATTTACGTCCCTGCTTGTGATGATTTTGACCGAGAAAAGTCTTGTGTTTGATGATTATTCTCTACCGTAGAATGGAAACTATGCACAATAGAGATCTATGGAAATGTGATGTTCGCAACAAGGATCAGGTATTTTGCGTTCTTTCCAAGGTGCACAATATGTGGCTTAGAGCTATCATCGAGAAAGAATTGTCAGAGTCTGATGTGAGTTTTTTCCTCTTTTTATTCATATTTTCATGCACTTAATCACCTTTTTCAAGGCATTATTATCTGCATTTCGGGAGCTTTTCTTGACTGTTAATGAAACGTTTGTGGAATAAAGATTTACTTGATGGTAAATAATGAATATGATTCAATGGACAAGACTTGGACTGTAAGAGGCGGTCGTTGCGAGGACAGAGACGGGTAGAGAACGGAATCGGCTTTATGGGTGCACCAACGGCCTAACCGGATTCGGTCCTGATGGTGGTGAAATACAGAATATGTTTAGTACTTGTTTGCTCACAAGATTTTCAAATTATTGCTACTAGAAATGCTACGTGTAGTAGGTAGAAAATAACGAAAAATAATCCTGTTTTGAGAATGTAAAGCTCCCTGGAACTTCGGTACTGACTGAGTCTTGTTAGCCTAGCGGTATTGTAAAGCTGTGTTTGACTATTTCTTCACAAAAGTGCTGGCCTTTGTTCTTGAAATGGAAACAATTTATCTGCATTATTTTGTAAGAATGGAAACTATGGGCAAGCAAAATTTGGTTGTTAAAAAGAAAACGAGTAGCTTTAGTCCTGCCCTGGTCAGGTCACTCGCTCACATTTTTCCTCCGTATATATTATCAAATACTGGTCTGCACTCATTTAAAGCATTGCTTCTGGGAAAATAAACGACCCTGTCTAGCATTTTTAGCTTTAGAATTTCTCCTCAGAAGCCAAACTAAATATTCCCCTGTTATTGTTAATATCAGCGTAATTATCAGATTTATGCCTCCACCATGTACCGTAATAGATTATGTATGGAGGCTTACCGGCTTCATCTGGTTGACTCGATGGGTGATATCTTATTCACTTGTCCTTAGGAATGAAACTAAGGCAAGTTAATTACTATTTTGGTATACTTTACTTCAATTTGGATCTGTTGTTTGTTGTTTCATAGCTGTTGTCTGCTGCCCGTGATTAGATTTTAATTTTTACTCTATTTTTTGTAATCTAGGTCGTATTACGCTACATTGATACTGGCAAGACAGAAAAAGTGCAGAAAAGCAGATTAAACCGTTTGCCTGACAACCTTAAAGACATCCAGCCACTTGTAAGTATTATCTTTAAAACTTCAATTGATTAGCGGTCTGTAATTCCGTATAGGCACAGTTTGACATGCTTTGATGCATCGAGTAAGATGGTTCTCTAAACTGCAACCCTGAGTTTAACGCATAATGCGATCACCAAACAACTTTCCTTGTTGTAAATTTGCAATATGTTTTAACAGGAAAAGAATAATTTGTTATAATGGAAGAAAGCTAGCAACGATACCCAAGTTGCAAACATTACTATTTCTCAGATCAGATGGAGATTTTCTGGTCGAAATTGTCATTCAAGCTCCTTTAATTATTCTAATATAAATATGTAATTCCTTTGAAGCAATGGATTGTTACACATATTTAGTTTTGTCTAAACCTTGTCATTGCCAGCAATTTTGGCTTTCTTTCGTAATCTGATACATTCAGACAGTAAGTTATTGTGCAAGATAAGATGTATTAATTGTTTGACATTTTTTGTGCAGACCCTTCGTTGCTGCTTCACGAGAGATCCAATTAAAGTTCCATATGAGGTTTGTGCTTAAACTAAACTTTTTCTTACATAAAAAGCATCTTGTAATTTCTAACCGATAAATACTCCATATTTCCATATTTCTTTAAAATCTACATCAATGCGCTCATTGTAAATCACCCAGGCTGTTTATGGGCAATTGATTTTCAAATTTCGTTACTTCGTTTGTAGTTTATTGGGTTTTCTAAAAGTGGCTCAAAAAAAGGCAACCTAGCTATTCAAACTGATTGATATAATCATATTGTTGCTGCAGGTTAAATGGACATTTAAAGATATAACTGACAAGCATACACTGGCTTTGAATGTCGAGGACGAAGTTCGTGGTTCATGCCTGCCCCGGTATATCGTGTCGCTGAAAAGAAACGAGGAAAATGCAGAGGATATTAAAGATATCATTTGCAAAGAATGTAAGCCGCGTTTGGAAACTTGGGAATGTCCTTGATCCTTTTTACAATAGCCAATGATCAAATTTTGCTCTTCTTGTAGTTACACTCATTACCAAAAATCTTGAAGCATTAAGGGTTTCAATTTAAAAACATGCATTTTTCAAGAGAACAGCCTCCTCGATCTTGTAGGTCTAGAAACACTGTTAAAACAAGTGATTCTGCCATTGGTCAACATCTTTTAGACAACCCAGATTGTGCAAAACTCTATAATGACGACATGTTTCGGATAATTGGCAGAGCCCGGTCGTCCTTCCATCTAGCAGTTTTGGAGTCAATCTACATAAAAACGAAAAAGCCGCCATTGTGTAGACAAAAGGAGTTCGTTTTCTCCCTTGGACTCCATTGGTAATTTTTCTTTAGGCTCGCGGCACTGATTGGTCAACTATACCGGTCTTGTGCTTGCGTTTTTCTGATTGGCCTATTTCGATCCACAACTGGGTATATATTTTTCAAACATGTTTTTCGGAACCTATTCTGACGTTTTATGCTCTGAGGAGTGTCAGACGAAAAAGCTTTAAGTATGTTGTAAAAGGTCGAATTTATCGATTCTCCTACCGCCCCCCTTGAACCTACCGCCCCCTTGAACCTACCGCCCCCTTGAACCTACCGCCCCCCCTAGAACATTACCAGCACTATTTGAGGGCACAGCTCCCGCTGTTTTGTGTTCAAGGCTATTTTGGCATGAATTGTAAATGTTGCAGTTGTTTAACGTATTGTACAAGACATAGGAATAGTATATTGTTAGATTTTGTGTTGCCAATTTACAATTAAATGTAGTTTTTGATGATATTCCACATTACGATCTTATTCTTCGCTTTTTTCAGTGAAAGAAAGTGGGAGACAAAAGGTACGTTTTAGGTTCAGCAAAACGTTCTAGTACGGCTCTTCATTTCAGTCAGTGAGGGTCTCAAAAACGTTTGCAAATTTGCTTGGCATGGTGACGAAGAAAGAAGTTAGTTTATTGTGCAGGGGAAGAAAATAGATAGTCGCGCATTGAAATGTTTTGTAAAAGTTGTATAAATCGTGACCAGTACTGGGTTTTCAACATCAAATAAACGTCGCTACCCACTGATAAACCTGCAATGAAGAATAAAATGTAGTTCTATTCGAGGATCAAATTTTGTGGGGTTTGATGTTTCCTCTAAGTCTCATCCAGACCACTGTCAGTTTAAAAGTATAGTATCCTCTAAGTCTCATCCAAACAATATTTTAACTAAAATTTAGGTTGCACTTTTGTAAACAGTAATTTCGTTTTCAAATGTCAGAGCCAAGTCATTCTTGTGCATGCATACGCCAGTTTGCCTCCGTTGATTTAGGTGCGTGGAAATCCGATATAAAGTCATTTCTGGCGCATTTGTAGCACGGATCCAGGGAGATACCTGGCTGGAACAGGAGGGAGGGGCTAGGGGCACTCCCATAGGAAACTCTTTAGTCCACACCCTTTATAATTGCGACGCCCTTTAAATGTTTTATACCCTTAATCAACATTGATCTTCTTCCCGTGACCATTATTTGAGGAGGTTTTTTATTTATTCCATGTTAATTACCAGGCAATTATCCTTTAGAACTTTTATCAAATGCGATGGTTTCTTTGCAGGTTTCTACTCTGCTAAGCCAAGATGTTAGGCTTTATGGAGAAAACTCAAATCAGAAAGATAAAATCGCGGTTATTAGAGATGTGCATCGCTCGGATAACAAGAACGAAGAGAAAAAGCAAGACTCGGATACAGAGAAGGAAATGCTCGATAAAGTGGAAGGAGAAACTGAATCAAGAGAGGAAGTCGAAAATGGTCAGTCAGAGGCGACACAAAAATTAGGCGGAGAAAAGAAAGGAGAACCAGAAATCATCGTCGGAATGGAAAATACCGAGAAAGGAGACTTGAAGACAGCAGAAAAGAAGGAAGGAACAGAGAAAAAGAAATTAAAGGTATTTTATTGAAATAACTTTTTTGTTACTTTCTTTTCTTTGCTATGATGGCTGAGTCCTTTTGGTTTTATGGCCTTCTACGTCTGTTATCTTATATGTTCAGTTTTTTTATATGAGAAAGTAACGCTTTGAGAATTGATGCATGTTGTTTGCAGCAAATTGACACAATCCATGTAGTAAGACTAATAAAGTAAGTCCATGTCACTTAAATGTAAGAATGGAAATCGGCCAGTTGATGACTGGGTGTGCTCTTTCTTGGCAGCCTTTCAATACCCTTCATACTTCAGACTTTTAACTATTGTATATAAATATGTATATATTGTAAATAGAATTTGACACATTAAGTAAAATAGAAATGAAAATATTGTAAAAGAGTATCAAAAATTGCGAAGGTAGGATGGGTTAGAAGGGTTGAGTAGCATAATCTATAAAATTTAGATATATTGTAACCGTTTATTTTAGTCTATTTTATGTTTTTCTTTAAGTTTGAATGCATGGCCCCTTGTTAACCAGCATTGCTGAATGGGCTACCAGACTTTGATAATTAAAAGTTAATGTATGAATTGGCAAATTATACACTTTTCAAATTTCTCGTATGGAGGACAAATAGAAAGTTTAAACAGATTTCTCGACTGAATTTCTCTTGTCATATTTCTAGGAAGTGGACAAAATCGACGTTAATGTTAGTGGCTCGTTAGAAGGATTATCCTGGGGAGATCTTTGCAAAACACCGGACGCAAACAATCAAGAAGAGAAAACATTTTTGCCGGTGGATGACTTCGAATCTATTTCAGATGGCGAAAGAAAATCACCAATTGGAGGCGAGAAATTGGCAGTCAGTGGATCGAAACCAGGAATCGACGAGGCAAAGCCTGATTCAAGTGCTGGGCTTAATGAAACTCGTCACCATGTGGAATCTACAGGGGTTTTAAAGGAAGAAGAAAAATTGCAAAATGAAGATAAACTTGTTGTAAGCATGCAGTCTGCCGATGTAGGTAATGAGAAGATTGAAGAGAGTTATGAGTCGGGTGGTATTGGAAGTGCGGTAGATGGATCATTAAAAGGCAGGGAAGAGGAACATGAAATTCCAAAAGCTGATTCTACTGAGATAGACATGGTACGCCGGTCAGAAGAAGTGATCAAAGAAAGACTGCGCGCTGTTTGCCAAAAGTCAAGCTCTACAACAACAGAAGTTGCGGAGGAGAAAAACCTTTCTGGAATTAACGAGACGGAAATATATCAGAAAAATGTTAGCAAACAAACTGGAGATTCGAGAAAAGTATCAGATTCTGCAAAAAGTGATGGAGGTGTTGGTTATACGCTGATCAGAGGTGAAGATGTACCAAAAAAGCGTGAAGCAAAAAGTGAATCCGACAGTTATACTAACCAAGGAGGACGGGATGTAGATAATGTTAAAAACCCGACCAATCGGACTGTTTCGAATAAAGGCTTTGATAAAAGGACGGACCATGGTTTTGGTAATAAAATTGACCGGAGAAGACGCACTCGTGAAATCGTTGAAAAAGAAGACTTATTCACTCAGTCAGAGAGTGACAGAAACAACTGGTTGAAAAATCTTGACCGTGGCTTGCGCCATGCGGTATTCGATAGCCACAATACACGGTACTTTGTCAAGCTATATGATAGTAGATTTATCGAGGATGCATACAGAACAAGTCGATTTCAAAATTTTATTTTTACTGATTTTAACAATGCTCTTGAGAATATCAGAAAAAAGCCGGTGGTGCTTTTTATATTACGAAGAGCCGCTGACGATACCAAGCGTTTATGTGCTGTTGCCCTCGTCACTTCTTGTGCTTATAGATTCCCTGTTCCTGGTAAGGGCGGTAGCCGTAAAGAAATGGAACTTTTCGATGTGGATTTCCTTTGCAAAGCGGCTATGCGTACCAAATGGCTCCACTCGCAGCGCGGAGTAGAAGAAATCGAGAGAGAAAAGGCCGTTAAAATTGTAGAGCAGTACAGAGCTGCTATACAACAGGGAAATGTGGAAAAGTTGCTGGACGAATGGCATACAAAGAGGGAGCAAACTGTAAGTTATTTCTACAGTCCTATTCTTCTCCTCCTCTATGAATTTGTTTCGTCTTCTTCAAACCGTTTTAAGCCCAACGCGTGCAAAGAAATCTATTGCATGAGGGCAGCTAATTGTGGTTTGCTTTTATTATAAAACAGGACTGGCCAGCTGACATATTTCTCCGAGTCGCAGTACAGTCAAACCCCTTATATCATCTCCCGTTATCACACCAACCTCGCTTTCAACCACTAATTTTGTTCAAATTTCAATCAAAAGCAACCTCTTGTGTCACAATTTCGCCGGTCCACCATCCGGCAATCTTTTCATTGATCAAATATCTGCCAATAAAAGATTTCAGCGATCAAAAAAATATTATGAGAAACTTTTCTAGAATATTCTAGAATGTAATTTTGCATTTCATCAGCATATCTTATGTCTAAGATTTATACCATGGGCCATGTAACTCTACCGAATAATACTATACCTACAATTTTTCGAAAAATGTATTAAGGTAAAATGTTCATTCATTCATGCATTCACTTTATTTACGCACGGTAGCCCCATCCGTTCCTGAGAACGTCTTTTAAGAGGGCCGTGGCAAACCTATAGTTAAAAACGGTTCGTTTGAAAACGGTGAGCACACCTTAGGTTTAGCCCTGGTTAAACATATATCCCTAATGGCATCCACAAGTTAGTTACTGGCTTTTTATTGTTGGTCCATCAATGTGAAATATTACGCCCTTATGCTGGCGTAGAGCTTCCAAGCAAGAACAGAAAGAAATATAATTGTGGTATGGTGAGAAAATGATTTTGCAGCAGGACAGTTCGCCTTGTCATATTGCAAAAGTAATGAACGAATTCATCCACAACGATGGTTGTAAATATCTTCTGTCTCTCCCCTGACCAAAAGTACAGACCCATTTTACAGAAAGCTGGTTTTTTATAGAAATACTTATGAGCAGACGTCGTCTATGAACAGAAAATTGACAATGAAGCTAGTTTTTATTAAAATGACCATTCTGCTCATCAGTTTTCTCCTCAGACTTACTGGTGTGCCTTTTCAATGGTGCCCTTTTAGATTTTTTCATACATCAAACCACAGATTATAGTACTTTCAGGTGAAAAGGAGGACAATTCTATTCTGAAATTGATTCATCTTGCCATTGGATGAGAGAGAGGCTTTTGAGGCTGTTTAAGAGCAAGCTCTTTTTACGTTTTTTTAGGCACCACGTTTTGCAGGCCAGGCATCGCATGCTCGGTTGTGGAAGCCACATCAAGAAAAGGAGCACGAAAGCAAACGAATGCCAGAAAGAGATGCAATGAAAACCGGACGATCATTGAATGGCCACGCACACAAGGAACATGTCGACCAGAATGAGAGAGATGTGCCATTGTCTCTAAAAGCAGGCGGTGAACAGTCTAGGGATGAGCAAGAAGCAAGCTCAAACTTTCTAACCGAGCCAACTGAGCTCTGGTCTCCAACCCCACTGACAGAAAAACAATTATGGACACTAGATGGACCTGTTGAAAAGAAAAATCCTGGTGGGAAGGACGATGCTCAAAATGACGGCGATGGTCGTGACGCACCCGCGGCTAATCAGCAGCTCTCTCATCAACTACCAGGTACATTCCACGGTCAACAGCAACCGTTTACACAGCAACAACAGCTTCAATATGTCTATCAACTTCAGCAACAAGAACTGCTGCATCAACAACATTTGCAACAACAGCAACAGCAACAACAACAACAACCGTTTCCTCAGCAACAACAAACACAATCACAGCCTCAGGAACAGAATATGCAACAACAACAACACCAACATCAACCACCCTCTGTCAACTTCAATCGCCAGTATTCTGAAGAAGAAAAACTCTACATGTACCAGCAACAACGGATGCTACAATTTATGCTCTTCCAGCAACAACAACAACAACAACTGCAGCAGCAAGAACAACAACTCTACCAGCAAGATCCAAATGGACCTGGATTCAATTCTTTTGGCCACCCGACCCCTTTTATCCATCAGAGTGAGAACTGGGATTTAGAAATCCATGGAGAGACAGGTTCTGGCATGCAAAATCACACTACTGTCCAGTCAGCTAATGCAAGCTCTTTCACTGGTAGCGTGAACGACCTGGGATCTGATGACGAGGCTGAAAGAGATCTTAGACGAGAACGAGACGTGTTTGATCTTGTCGATTAGTGAATGATAGCAGCTGATACATACATCTATGGTGTTGGATTTTCGAAGTTTTAGATAATTTTTTTCTGGTTTTGTAAATATTTCATTTTTGATTGCTTCAGTGAATTTAACTGTGTTCAGAAAGAAACCTACTCCACAATATTTATACCTTTCTTGAATTTGAGAAGAAAAAGTTAAGTTTTTTCAATTTTGAAATTGAAATGTGTATACTAGAAAAACTGACGTCAAAGAAACAATTGCAGTTTGCCTAGTTTTCACTGTGCCCTTCAAAAAGTCAACAAGTGCTCAAAATGACGTCAAAAAACCCCAATCGCTCCTTGCTTCCCTTCCTCTTATATTATCATTTTGAGTATCCAGTTAAAATCGTAGATTCCCAATAGAAGCAAATTCTCCTTTCAAAAAGGCTCTAGCTCGCTGGAATCTTCCAACGCACCCCCCCCCTTATAAAGGGAATTTAGTGTGTGAAGATCCCCCCTTATAAAGGGAATTTATTGTGTAAAGATGATTCCAAAAATTCCCATTTTCCTGTAAACGCCAAGGCAGTCTCTGCCTAAGTCTCTGCGATGACAGATTGCTTTGCAAGCTTGTATTTAACTAGAATCTTTGCGAGCTGTTGTTTTTATTACTATGTAATATCAGCTGTTGCATGATTCCAATAAGCTTAAATACAGGACGTTAAACCGGAGAATTCGAAGTTGGCACGTCTGAGTCTCGTTTCTCTTAAAGCCAGATAAGTAATTTTTTTACGAGTTGAAGTCGTTTGTATGTCGTAAACAACAGAGTGAATATACCGTTTTTTTAATGTATATAATGAGTAGTGTCATTTTGATCTAAGTACGATACAATTTCTGTGTTCCGTGTACCCTCTACATATCAGTTTTATGTTTATCTTCGGAACAGTTTTCACAAGATACAAAACTTCAAATTTAATTTATAAAGCAACTGCAATTATTCTATTGGATCGTCAGTAACTTGAAATGTCATCAACAGCATTACACAAATTGTCTAAACGAAGTGGGGGAATGTCTAACTGCGTGATCTGCGAGTTGTACGTCTTCTGGATCGAATACCAGCTCTTGTGCTTCTCTAACCTAACATTCTCAACTTCGACATCAGGTTTGGCCTGCGTTTTGCGCAAACTAAAACATAAATACAGTTCTTTTAATGTATTGTTTATGCATTCCTTTCCATACGGAGAACAGCTTTTTGTCGTGCTTATAGTCACGATGAAAGGTGATAAAAATGACGTCTATTAGCTATGATTGAAATTATGATTCCCAAATAGTTCCCTCTAAGCTGATCTTCCCGTTGATGCCACCAGTTGAGGCCAGACTGGGCAGGGTATAGTGAAATTTGAAAAAAAAACAAGACAAAATGCTACGTTTTTCGCAAAAGAGCCCACAAAGTCTGGCTTTGGTCAGTCTGTTGACTCGTAGATCCAGATCCCACCAATCTCACTTTGGTGAGCTGGTCCACTCTCTATGTAAACGCTAATGCAGAGTACAATTGAGTGTTTATAACGCACTGATCCTGCATAAGTTAACCAGCCCACTTCATGTTAACAGGCCCTTAAGGCCATGGTTATCCAGTGAAACCTAATTCCTTCTCAAGCAGTTGCATATCAAGAGTGATAAGATTGCTTTACAGTCGTTTCAGCTTTTTTCACAGTCTTGACCTATTCAAGACATCAACTTAAAACACAGTGACGTTGCAAACATGAATTCACCACCTCAATGTATGAATCTTCCAATGACCCCGCTCTGCGCATGTAAATTATCCTCAAAGGAGACTGACTTACCTATTTTCAGAACAGCCTTCGTCATGACGAAATCAGCCCTGTCTTGTGGACCTCTGAAAAGAAACAGTCGCTGCACAATTTTTCTTCCCACGCTTTCGAATGGTCGAACAATACTCTTCAGCGTCTCGTAACTGTTGAACGCTCTTTTCCCAATCGCCAGCAAATACATATCAGCACCGACTTTTTGCAGTCGTTGTGCTACAACTAACGTTCGTTTTCGTGCAATCCTTGGTGCTCCAAATGTTATCAAAACAAGGGTCCATTTTGTCTTTCTCCGTCCATCACTTTTTAGAATCCGTTTTGCCTCTTTCAGCACACGAGCAGTCGCACGCTTCCCTTTTCCAGGTCTGAAATGGAAACAATTTTTGTGAGGACGTTTTGGATGGGTACAAAGAGTAACAGATGAAGTGTCAGAAAAAAGATTCTGTATCGGACAGACAAGAAAGTCTTAATTTTGGAAATATAACTTGACTCATAAAAATGATAGAATAAACCCAGCTGCCTCGATCTCAGGAAGTTGTCTCCTTGCCTTTAACATAATTAACTCTCTTCTTCAGTGAGCATGCTGGTTCATATCTTTTTTTAACCAGGCCAGAATAACAATAATCCGTTAGCAAACTTGAAATCTTTCATTGGCCATATCTCGCCCGATTTGGAACATATCTAACTAATTTTGCATATTGAGAGGTATTTTATGCCGTTCTTTCAGATTATCTGGCCAAATCTAAGACTTGGTTTCTCTGTGGTGGTGGTGAACGCCTGCACCCAGTTCCCTAAAGAGTTTTTCCATGATACAGAGACAGAGAAAAGAGAATTCTTGTTGAGAAAGAAAAGGTGAAACGTGAAGAAGGGAGAAGTAAAAAAGAAATTAGAAAGATAGGCCCAGCCTCGAACAGCGGGGCCCAAGCCCCAGATGTTATGTTGTCAAGTTAGAATTTTTATCCTATTCGTTGAGGGAGAACATATAGGCAAACTTTGAAAATATAAACAGTTTTAAATACAGTGTGTTTGTGCATTTGAGTTGACAATTTTGTTTTATCTATGAGATATATCTTGGTATTTGATGTGTTTATGGGCAGCACATTTTTCCATTACAAGGGCATGGCCTACTTAAATTTTGCCCTCCCTCCGGGCTAGTGGCTGGAGCCGCCACTGTTTGTGCTCCCAGTACTCTTAATCTTATTTCAATGTCATCCACTAGCAGAAAAACTGTGTATGTATTGACACTTAGACAGAAGTTATGTTGGCTTTGTTAAAACTAACATTTATTCAAATATAACATGAACTGCCTCCTTAATGAACGGTCTTGGGCTCTCCTTGATTAATCTTTTCAATAGAAGAGTATTTGCTTGGTTAAGTTTTTTGCTGTGTTGCTACGCATTTTACCTAATTTCACAGTTGTTCTGGTACTATCGCTACCAGAACCTCAGTCGAGAAGTGGGGTCTGGTACCAGGTTAAACCCGGAACACATTTTGAAGTGGGAGGCTATGCTTACTCTTGCCTCTTCTTGGACGCTGGAACGCATTTTGCCTAACCAGGGACGCTGGGACACTCTAAACAAATTGGCCTTTATGGTAGTTTGCCACTATTAACAAAAAGTGGGGGGCTACAAAAAAGTGGGGGGCTACAGCCTCTTTTTTGTATAGGCTCACCTTAGGCTCCTAAGAGACTTGATGATACAGCTGTTCTTCTGGCAGTCCTGGAATCGGTGAACAAGCTTCACTTTCTCGGCAAAAGACGCCACAGCAATGCGAGTTCCTTTAACATGACTTAGGCACTGCACAGCCATTTCGGACAGGTTTTTCATTTCGTTGAAGACATCCTCCTTCACTCCATCTGCTGCGTCAACCGCCAACACAATGTCCGAGTTACTGTGGTTTACAAGGCCTCGGTACAAATCCATTATGTGTGCAAAGTTTTTTCTTTGAGGAAGGTATGAGCCTAGAAAAAATATCCGCCCATTAACGGCAGTTAAAGTAGAAGCTTAAAAGTATTTTTGATTGATTTGTTGAAATAATAAATTTTTATTAAAAAACACAGCTGCAATTTTTTTTTTTATTTTAACCTACAAAAATACATGAAGATCTCCTCAGTATTCAGAGTTTAATGACCCTCTAAACTTTGGAGCAAAAACCTTGTTCTGACTGTTTCTGATCTTTTTCTCGTCATGGCATGAGCCTGTCTGTGTGAAAAAAAAATTATATCTGGCAACACTCTGGCTCTTTTGGTTGAAAATTACTAAGGAACTGAGGAATACAGAGGCAAAGTATCGAACAGGGAATAATCAGTGATTTTTCAAAGTTCCAGTTGATATTTGTCACAGTTATTCTTGTTACGCAATGGAGGCGCCGTTACGTTGGAAGTGACCTTGGACTTGATCACGTTTTAATCATTTCATTTTAATGTGTTCGCTTGATACTTGCTTTGCTGCTTATTTGGTAATTTTTAACAGTTCTGTTGATCTTTGATCCTTGTCTTGATGTTCATTGGTTAATTTTATATGTATCATCATTTTAGGACACTAATTGGACATTAGCTTAATCCGATTATACAGTCATATCTAGCGTGCCAGCTTTAGAGTGGAGTCAGTCTTGAGGGGCCAGCCGCTACGAGAGCAACTTTGTTGGTGAAAGAGATTTGACGTTTTTGTCGAAGTAGAAGTCCAGAAACACTTGCCGTGCCCAAGGTTCATACTCAAGTCCAAGATCGTTCAAGCATCCGCTTTAAAACTCGCAAAGATAATCTGAAGGTCGTGAGTTACCTTACCTATTATATTTTAGTGATTCAGTGGTTTAATCTCTTGGTGTTACTGGTTTTTACCGAAGAACTCGCAATTATTTAGCCTTTTTCTGCTAGATTAAGCAAAAAGGTTAACATTCTACTTTGCTTTTAAAGGAAGCTGAAATGGTGCTTAAAGGAAACTAGAGGTCCTACAAGGCAAGTTTCATATTGAACAGGGCTCATTCTGTGACACGACTTCAATCCCTCCATAGCTAGAAGCTGGAAATTCGTCATTACACTTGAAAAGCATATGCATTCGGTGAGAAGGACATTAGAAAATGTTTGACACCACGTGATACAGCTCAGTGGAAGTCAGGCATATTTCCTTTGTACAGGGCCCGCACCACAGAGGTGGCCAGGAGGGCATGGCCTCCCCACTTTTTGTGAAATAAAAGATTAAAATCGGCTCAAATTATTGAATCTTCAGATAAATCTGTAGATTAAAGCAAATACATTAATCCGAAATCTATCAGGAAAACAGCGTCAGAAATCATTCTTACGACGGTTGGGGCTGAAGAGGGTAAGAGGAAATTTTCTTCAAATTGCTGGCCCCTCCAGTTTAAGGTCAGTGGCGCGGGCCCTGATGCATTGTCAATGTTTCGTTGGAGCAATCAATGAAAAGCTATGGTCCATGACGCGGCCAGGCTCGAAGCCAGCACTAAAAAGGTTGGCGGGCAACAGGGGCGGAGAAAAATTGTTTTTCAGAGGGGTTCAGTTAAGCTTTTTGCCGACAAAAAGGGCGTATCTTATTTGTTCTTATTCAGAATTCCGAAGTTTCAATTTGAAGCATTTTTAGTGCTATATTATGAAAATTGAGCTGCTACAGAAATCATAACATATTACAACTGGTACAAAATAATTATCATTATACTGTGTGAACAAAAATTATGTGTCGACGGACAAAGTATAGGAAAAAGCGCTCTACTTAAGCCAACCCCTTACGGCAATTTTTGTTATTTGATAGCCTGTGCTCCAGACCCCTAATTTTAAAAGCAATTACTTCAAGGGAAGAACTTAAGGGGATTAGCCTACAGTGTTGGCAAATACAGTTTACGCGCAATTTGAGTATCGTATTAAAGAACCGTGCTTTACACATGGTCACTAAGTCGAATCGTTACGCCAACACTTTAACAGACTGGCTATTTTAAACATCGAATACATCTAAATAAGATTAAAAGAGAGTATCCACTGAATCCACGAGCTATCAAATCCGATCCATAAAGGCCAAGTTTTAATCCCTTGATATTAAATGCATATCATGTCTCTTTGGCGCAGGTCAGCCTCGTTTCCGACACTAATGTCTCTTGGATTTGCATAGATTTAAATTGGAGCCACTTTATCGCAACGGTCAGATGACAAGGACAGTCGCTATTCTTGTCATCTCTCTTTATTTTCGTCACAATTTTGTAATCTTGGAAACATAATATAGCTAATTCTATGCAGCAAGCACTAAAAGGTAATTAATTGCCAAGGATACAAAAACCACAATAGATTCCACAAGACAAGTAAAAATGAAAAAAAACCCAGATAATTATTCGCCTGAACTTAAGGTCAAAATTGACAAGTAGCTAGAGACTTTGGAAATAAAAGGCAAATGCGTATGGAACTTAGACAAAGAAAATGTGAGTTTTGGAGGGGGAGGGAGAGGGGCCATTAACCATGATTTTCTCATATCATATGAAGAGAACCCATTTTCAGAAATAGTGCCATTTTTTCTTGGAATTGTATCGTTGAGTGAAGACAGTAAGTTGCGAAAACACATCTATATTTGAGCGTCGCCTCTAAATCGACTCATGCGTTGAGAGTCAGAAAGCAAGATGTAGGATAGCCTTGTCCTCCAGGGCTGCCGATACGACCAAGAGGCAGGGGCGCAGGCCTCAGTAACATGGCATTTCAAAATAATTCACAGATTCTACTAATTCTTTCTTAATTGTCATTATACTTTCATCTGCAAGCATCTTGAAAACAAACTAACTTTGGAATAAGAAAGTTTTCACAAGTCTTGAGAAATGTCTTCGTTAATTAGGTGCTACAGCCAGAGTTTCATATGAATCTCTTTGATGATAATAAAAGGATAATGTGAAGACCTTGAAAATGGGTATTTTTACCCCCCTTGCCCCTCCTTTGCCCGCCGCATCCTTAGCCAAGCCTTACAGCTGAAGCCCAGCAACGAGAAGGCAAGATATAAACTGCACCAACAAAGAACTTGTGTGGCAGAGAGATTAAGTAACGTAAGTCCCTGCATTGTCCCCCAGAAAAAACCCCACCCTCCAATAAGCCCACAGCCTAATATGCCAATTTTCGCGTAAAAATGAGGCTTATTCGAGATATAACAGGAAGGTACATTATCAGTGGCGTAGATGGGAAATTTCATAGGATGGGCGAAAAACTGAGATTATCTGACAAAAATTTAACAAACATTTTTAATTTTTTTATACATTTGAACATAGTTCAGTTCAGTTCAGTTCAGTTAGGTTTTTATACTTTAAAATTCCTCTACATACAATATTTTACTACAACTACTTTAGAACTAGCTACATAAAATGTTCACACATTACATAAAATACTTATAGTAACAGGCAATGAATAACAAGTATGTAGGATGTTGTTTGCAGAGGAGTTTCTTTAGGAGGAGCTCTCTCAGTAGAGATGAACTAATGGAGGAGAAAGCACCCCTTTTTCTAAGGTGGTTTTAAATGTTATTGGTCAGTTACATGAGTAACAGAACCATAAACTTCGCTTCAGAATCAAATTTGATAGGTTTTTTTTAATAAAAAGGTTTTGATTTTTTGACATAAACTGACAACAGACAGTGATCTTTTTATATCTACTGGAATATTGTTCTAAAAATTTAGCACCAAGGAAACGCACAGATCAGATACCAGATTGCAAAGTATTTTTTCGTATTAAAAAATGCCATTTTTTGTGGCTTGCCGTGTACCATATTCGTGAGCATTTGACACAGATTCAAAAAAGCGTGAAACAGATTCAAAACGTAACATAACGACATTAGAACTGAAATAAAACAGGAGATGAAGTTAAACTATTTACTCAAAGTCATGTGTCATAAATCATACTAATAAGAGATTTTATGGTCTTCGTTTTGCCAAAGGCATTTTTAAGTTGTTGCCCATCCGATTCAGAACGACTGAAGAAATCGTTATAATAACCTTTAAAAACTGACATCTCAAAATGTAACACTTACATAAAAATAGAAAACCATGTTGCATTTCCGACCAGATCAGAGATTTTCCGAATAAATAGCTGTTTAGCTTTACAAGGGGGTTTTTGGCCCCCCCCCTGACCCCCTTCTATCTACGCCACTGTACAACATTCTAGTACATGATTGATAACACAATCAATCGGCAAATGAAAAAACTAAGAAAACGAGACAAATATCAAATTGTTTGACTAAAAGATCTTCTTTACTTTGACAAATACTTTGATGGGTCTTTTTAGAAAAAGTTGTTGTTAAATAAAATGAATAAAAAGAATTATTAGCTAATGAAATGATCTTGAAAAGCTACAAAATGTGCTATTTGTATGACAACTTGTCGATTCCCTCGAATAAGCCCTTTTCGGATTAATCCTCATGAAAAAATGGCCTAAATTAGTAAATCCCAACTCCCAGAACATTTATTCGCGGATTTACGGGTAAGAAAAAAATGTTTTTCAATGAAATGTGTGTGTATTTTTCTGAATTTTATCCTCAATGAGACCTTCTTTTCTTGGCAAAGGTTTGTGGCTTTATGAAATTTTTAGTTGCAGAGTTGACTAGCTGTTAAAATCTATTTTGTTGACATGAAAGTAAATTTTCAAAAACACATCGCTATTTTCAATGGACATGTTCTAACGCCATTTTTCTTTTTAAACCAAATCGATACAAGAAAAAAAGATGCCAATTTGAAATGACTCTCAACGCTGTTCTCAGATCATACCAGAATCTTGCACAAGAAAGGATTTGATCAAAGCATGTTCGAGGGACAAGAAACAGGTAAAAATACGTTTCCTTGGAAGGGTGTTTGTGGATATCACCCTAAATCAAAGGGCGTGGTGCTTATCCAAACCCTGAAATACTTCTTTAATCTTAAATTGGCCTTGATGTGCGGTCAGTTATTTCTAGTCCTACTCTGAGAAATAAGTAGATCATCTTGACCTAAAAGCTGAGATTAAGCAAAAAAATTAGTGACAAAGTAGTTGTCCAGCTATTGATCCAGAAACCATAACAGCATGGAACGTGGGGGTACAGCTGAGTTCCTCAACATTATTAGATTCAAAACAACAGAAAAAAACAATGCTGAAATTGCTTCTTAGCTTGAATCGTAAACCATTAAGATTTATGATAAACTTTTGTTGTATAAATGTAAATAAGCATACCTTTTACCAGCAAAGCATTGGCAAGGAACGACAATATGAAGCATCTAACAATCCCGAGCTTGGAGTCCATCATTTTGGCAAATAAGAGCTACTATTTCTGTCAGTGTGAAATTCACAATATTTTCACCATTTGCTAATGTGTCTCCGCATAAAACATATCAGGGATATGAATGTTGATATTTCGTGCAAAGTCCACTCGCAAAATCGTAATAAATGACGAAAGCAAACGTTGGAGAGCGTCCAGTTCAAGCTGCATCACCACTGTTGTGACACATAACTAGTCTTTTGAGGAGAGCAAAGGCGAGACAGATCGGTGAAACTGATAGCGTGGCTGCCACTGAAATGTTGACTTTTTACTTTGTCTGATCGATATCGACGCAACAGAAATGACAGCTAGATGAAACGAAGTCGACTTGATGAAAGACATAAGACCAAACGGTGATGTCATATTCGACCTTCTAAAGCGACCGTTCTAGATTACTGTTAGCAGAAGCTCTTTGGTGTATATTATAATTATATCATTGAACACCGAAGACAAGCAACGTAAGGAACAAGTTATCGTGGAACATAAGATGGGTTGGAGGTAGTCGCGGTGGCAAGGGATTTGAGGGATAATTGCCCCAATTTTGTCGAAACATTGTCTCCATAATTCATCTGAATATGGATAAAATGCACTGGATAAGGGTTGTTCATACTTTTTAATGTCTACCTATAAAAATAGCACAATAGAGGTGCAGAATAGAAAATGGGAGGGTGGACCTCTTCTCTACTCTGTGATAGACAAGTGAAGCATTGAAATTATGAAAAAGCGGGTGTTTTCGCTTGCAGTGAACAGAGTGTTGTCTCAAAAATGTGCAGAGGGATTACGCCCATTGCTTCTCCATGACTTGCAGAGGAATACGGCGATAAAAAGAGTTTCATTATGAATAATTTAATGCTTTGGAGCAAATAAAAATTAGTGAACATGAAGCATTGCCTTTCAGTATCTTTTGTAAGTTTACTTCTGACTGTCTTCTCTAAAGATACAGAAGACTGGTGTAATTGAGTAGGGGCGAAATCAGTGGCGGCAACACCAAATAGGCTGTAGAAAGGACAAAGTAGAAATTTTAGGCCACGCAGTTTTGGAAACGCCCGTTTACCAATAAGGAATGTTAACGCCCATGACTGACTTTTGGTTACGTACAGTGCTGAGGAGAGGGGGTAAGGGGGATCACTGACCTGGGGGCCCATGGCTTTAGGGGCCCATAGATAAATGGGTCAATGATGCAGCTATAGTAAAGTTTTTTCGGAAATTTCAGCTATTTTGCTGATGCAATGATGAAGCTGATGCAACACTAGCAGGCAAAGTCAGAAATAGCCTTAATGCAATGAAAACATTTGGAAATAAGCGTTTTAAATTCAAATGCTTAAGCTTGTTCAAAAGCTGCATTGGTTGATGCTTCTTAAAAAAAGTGACTCCTCAGTGATGTTAGGAGCTATGTCATCTTTTTTGCTGTGCATAATTTTGCTCTTTTTTACTAGGTCATCTTCCTTCAACCTTGTGTATAATCAAAGAATTCTGAACCCCTCCCATATCTCGCCAATTGACGCGAGTCGCCTAATCATCTTTGTTGTAACACTATCAATATAACAATGCCGACATTATCTTGAATTTTACCAAAGTCCTTGGTTTTCACTTATATAGATAGAAATGAACCTGACTGACTTCAATATTGGTCTTCAATATTTTGGGACATCTCGCCCCTCGTCTAAACGAGCTTCTTCCAAGATCGAATCAACTAGTTTTTTTGCATTCTGATTGCTAGGTGTAAAGTTTTTCAAATTATTTGAATAGTGAAAATTTATTTTGTGCAGCATGTCCGTTTTGATCAAATTTAATATTTAAACGTTTTTCACTTCCTAAGATTTTTTAAATGTAATGAATTGCAAATTCTATAGTTAAGAAATATGCATCAATTGTGACGATAGAATATCAGTCATACCTAAACTATATTGAAAAGAGTAGAGAGGTAATAGCCACCATCGCAATTTCAGCAACCAAAATAGCCGTAATTTTAGGAACCATGGTCTCAAAAAATTTCCCCGGACCCCTTAAAAGGGTCGCCTCCGGTGTGCCTTGCTTTTTTCTTTCCTTTTGACCCGGGGCCCAGAAATCTTCTCCGCGCCCCTGGTTACGTAAAGGCGGTTTCAAAATCATAAATCATAGAATCACAACACAAAGAATAACTTGCTCCTTCCCAAAAAAAACTACTCCTTCCCAATATTATTTTATCGAGTTTTGACAAGAAATAAAATCGATCCTGTCGAGAACCTCAAGGCATGTCTCTACTAGTCCTTTACGTAAAGGCTTTCTTCCTTGGGTGAAATCTTAGATTCCGAAAACTATGACCTATTAGGCTAACATACGTGACAATTACCGAAGCATTTCTCTTGTGTGAGTTTGAGTACGTGAACAATCGCGAACAATGACTAGATGCAGAAAGCTTTATAGATGATTCCTCGACATTTTCCACAAGAGAATAACAATACTAGAGGGCAATTGACCCTCTAGTCCTAGCAATTTTTCTTTGTTTCAGAATATTTCGTATTGCTTCTTGAAAGCCAAAAAGCTATGGCTGCTACATCCAGGGGCCCTCATCTAGCGACAATCCTGAGTCCTAATAAATAGGCTGCGCGCTTCAATTGTTTTTTTTTTCATAACAGCAAAGCTGAATTTTCAGTTAAGGTTCATTTTTTGACTTCATGTGGTTTCAGTAAGAGGTTATATTTCTCTTTTACCACTGATTGTATTGTGTTGTATTGTATTGTAGATTATTTTATGTTTGTTTCTACAATAGTAAATATACACTAATTAAGACTAACATGAAGCAATTTCAAGGATTGCATAAGACAGTTCATTTGCTGCAAAATGAGCATCCGCACTTGTTTTCAAGGAACCAAGTTTTGATCAAATTCTTAAATTGTCTAGTATTTTGTGCTGTCTTTATTGATTCCGGGAGTGAATTCCAGATTTTAGGCCCTTGATCTCTTACTTCATGGCATGTGTCGTTGCCAATGACACTATTTGCAAAAACGTACATTTCCCTAAACACAGGAAGCGCTCGGAAATAAAGGATTGAAAAGTTTATTATACATAGCAGGTGAAATCTTCCTGAACCTGATGAGGAAGATATTTAGTCTTTCCAGATGTCGGCTAATATGAAATTCTCAACAATGTTTGCTTTCTGTTTGATGTTTGTTGAAAATATTTCTTCTTCTGCATTGGTTGACTTTAATTCGTCATTGCTCTATTTACTTATGAGTTATAACATGCTAAAGGTTTGCTCAGGAGCAAGCAGCATGGACGGATGGAGAGGAAAGGTGATGCAGAATTTTATGCAAATCCCGCCAAAGAGATACCAACGATGACGATTATTTTAGATCAAAATATCTAATAAGATTGTCACTCAGAACATCAAGAACACTTTATTTTTTACAAATTTGTATATCTAATTACAAACTTTTAACGAATTATTCGATGAATTCAGTGGCGAAGTCAAGCTTTTGCTGGAAGTACATGGTCCTCGAGGCCATAAATAACAGTCGTCAACAAAGGCAGTACAAACTTCAAATCAAACTGTCACAGCCTGACATTAGGACATTTTTTATAGCTTTCAACGTCATTTCTAAAGAAGACTTTAATAGCTTTTACAACAACAAAAATTCTTTGCCACATTTCCAGAAAGCTTGAAGTCAGAAAGCTCCAAAATATTAGAACCTGTTTAGTCAACAATCCCCAACAAGTTCTTGTATGTGGGGCTTAACCATTTAATTTATCTACTTTTATATCAAAAGCCAAAAGGAAAATTGAAATGTTATGATAAAGTAATATAAAGTTGAAATGTTATAATAAACCTCAAAATGCACAATGTATGTTAAATTTGAACTGTACTGTATAATCGATCAATTTTTGGTGGGCTTTTGGCAACATTAGAACACCATAAAATATTTAGAATGAAAAAAAGGGACCAGGCACCTCAGAGAAGGGTGGTCTGGGGGGCTATAGCCCCCCACTTTTTGCCAAAAATGCAAAAAATTTACCAATGAATCATCAGTCAAGCCACTTTTTACTCGGTTTTAGCCCCCACCCCCCCCCCACTTTTTTAGAACCCCCACTTTTCTCAACGCTCTGCGGTGCCTGGAACAGACCAGACATAATGCTATTTTCTGATACTCAACAACAATTAGACCAGAGGTGAGAGGGGGAGCATTATCACCTGAGCTGGCAATTAACCAGACTAACTTTTTCTGACTCAACTTTTTGTGTAGATTACGAATCCGGATGTTGCTTTGGCATTTAGGGGGGCGTTTTCTAGATATAGGGGGTCAAAGCCCAAAAACACGCGTTTTGACCTAATTTGACTGTTTTCTGCTATCACACTTTAAAAATTGGTAATTTTTGTTATTATCTGGTGATGTAGTAATCTTACGAAAACGAAAAGACAGTGATAATAGTTTCAAATTACGTATGTTCTTGAAATGGAGTTTTGAAAACTTGTTGTTCAACATCGTTCAAAGAAAAGGGATCCGTTGATATAGACAAAGCTCTTACTAATCCTCTTGCCCTTGCAACAACTGAAGATACAGTTGCCAAACAGCCAAGTGTATGCTACTACATACTGCATTAAAATCAATCATAGTACCAAAAAACCCGGTGCCAAAAATTAATCTGGAAAAATAATCGGTGAAATTTCGGTGAGAACTTGAAAAATCTTCGGAGTAAAGAATCGAAAAACTTTCTGTTATTTTTAAGTTATTTTTATCTTCAACATAAAATTATCTGGAACACAATCATAAAAATTGCAAAAATCGAATACTTTGATGCATACCAAGAGACAGTTTAACTATCAATGTAAGGAAAATTTTAAATCACTAGGACATAATTTCAAAAGATAAAGAGATAGCATTAAAAAGACATTAAGAGATCTAATAACCCACACACACATTGGGACACATGGATAACACCCCTCCCCCCAAAAGTTCTGAATCTGTTCTCATCAGATTCGACATTTTTGTTACTTACTCAGCAAACTTGGTGGTGGCGTTAGTTAAAAAAATAAATAATAGTCGATGGTATATTTGATTGTTTTCATTTTCATTTCGCTTTGTTCCTCTTCGCTCCTCGGCACGTTAATATTTCAACCGTTAATTTGCAAACTGAAACCACTGGGAGCTAAACTCCACATTACAATTTTTCAGCGTTGGTTGCGCGAATGATGAGAATGACTACCAGAAAATCGATTAAAACAGTCAAATAGCGTTCCACCCGCGGATATTTATTTTAGGAATAAGGCTGTATTGTAAAGTAGTAAAAATGTCTTGAATGAGTGAATTTTCCAGCAAACTGGAAGCATCAAAGTTCGAAAATTTCCCCCACCTTTTGCGGCAACCATGGTGCCGTCTCTAAGTAGCTGTTCTTTCTTGTCTGTTATATTCATGTCCTGTCATAATCTTAATGATTGTGCGTCTTTTTGCAATTGGGATTCCATGCTTTCTCTCCAATTGCATAGCCCCCCTATCGGAAGGTCAAGCCCCTCCGTCAGAGAATTTCTAGCGCCACAATAAGTAGTCTCAACTCAACGATCGAGTAATATACTTTGCAAGAAAAAATTCTTGTGTTAAGATTGAGAGCAAAGATGTAACTCAGGTGGGAAAGTCAAACACAAACCATGGGAAAGCAGATACCAAAATCTGCTACCTACTTCACCATGCCCTACGGATGAATAATGGACAGGAGACAGTTTGCATTGTGCGCTCTGGAGATGTTGATATTCTTGTTATCCTTTTAGCCAACGAGGCTAAAAACTTGCATTTCTTAATGTAGTACGGAAGAGGAAAATACAAGAGACTACTGGGTCTAAATGCTTTTGCGCTATCTTTATTGCGAAAGCAGGCGCTCCTTGGCCTGCATGCATTTTCGGGAAATTTCTACATCTCATCCTTCTTGCGAAAGGAAAGCCTGCATTTTGGAAACGCTTTTTGGAGGCGATGAAGAATTCCAAAAAATGTTATCAGAGCTTGGCAAGAAAAATTGTTACTTGTGGTAATTTGTTACTCGGCTTAGAAAGGTTTGTTTGCACACTGTATGGAGAGAAACGATTGCTGTCAGTGAATGAAGCAAGATATGCTATATTCTGGTGGACTTTTCAAAAGGAAAACAAAGTAACTGGTCGGTCACTGCTGCCCTCATGTAAAAGCAGCCTCGAAAAACACTTCAAGCGTGCAAACTTTGTAGCAAGAGTAAAGAGACAAGCTTTACAAAGCATAATCAACAAAAAAGAACCAGCCAATCACGGCTGGTTAGATGATCTGTTAATTGATTGGTTCACGGAGCCCTACTATACTATCCTGAGGACATTGCGGAGCTATTGTTTGCAAGCGAAGAAAAATAAAGCGTCAGAAGGAGAAGGCGAATTTAAACTAAACGCTTTAAGAATACAGTAATAGTGAAATTCCCCTTCCCTGTAATTGCCTGCCACCCCCCCCCAATCAATGCCAGAAAAAGCCAAATTTGACAGAGCATTGATCAAGAAATCAATTTTTAATAAAATTAAATATTTCCTAAAGTGCAATAATTAAATACAGTCAAAATAGGTCACATTGCGTGTTTTTTGGGCTTTGACCCCCTATATCTAGAAAACGCCCCCCTAAACGCCAAAGCAACATCCGGATTCGTAATCTACGCAAAAAGTTGAGTCAGAAAAAGTTAGTCTGGTTAATTGCCAGCTCAGGTGATAATGCTCCCCCTCTCACCTCTGGTCTAAATATCTAGTCTATAGAAATTAAGAACCTAACTAAGAACCTATTTAGCCTAAACTATTTACAAGAACCCTATAATACAAGAACCTGTTTCGCCAAACTCCAAAAAAGTAGGTTCTTACACGCGGGTTTTTACTGTATTCATAATTGGATTCAGAATAACTAATAATAATAATAGTAATAGTAAAAACTGATGTTTACAGATACACATAACATGGCTATTCTCTGTTAAATAATAAATAAGATATTGTCCTTAGTTTAAGAAATATTGTCCTGAAAAGATGTTAAAAAATTGTCTAATAAACACGTTGAAATAAAGGGAAAAAACAATTTCCTAAGCTAATTTAATACATTGTACAATTAAAAACGGTTTATCCAATTTATTAAAAAAGGTTGAGATTTGATTCTTTAGAAAGTTTTTCTATTATTATAAAAATTCACTATATACACTGTAACTATGATAATATAACTTTCTAATATAACTAATATAATTATGAAAATAAGAATGTAAAAAGATTTTCAAGCATCTGTATCCTCAAAAAAAGTTTTCATTATTAGTCGAAGCATGTTTTCAAAGTATTCCAGGGCCATAAACTGATCTTAAACTGGAGGGACCAACAATAAAAAGGAAGTTTCCTCTTACCCCCTCTAGCCAAATTTCTAGCAGAAATTTTGCTGAAGCTGTTCTACTTGTGGACATTGGTTCAATGAATTTGTTGCAATCTAAAAGTTTATCTATAAAAACAACTTGAGCTGATTTTAATCTTTTATTTAGCAAAAAAGTTGAGAGGCCATGACCCCTTTTCGCCCCTCTGTTGTGCGGGCCCTTTATTCTCATGTTCTGCTATTAACAATCAAAAGGCAGTGGCTGCACTTGATAAAGCTGAACGATACAGTAGAAAAGTTGAATGATCCTAAGCTGCAATGTTCATATTAACATTATTCTTATAGTGTATATTATTAAGAATATCATATAATGTTCACAGTAAAGTAGCTTAATCGTAATATGGTAGCTATAGAAATTGATAGTTATGAGGGTTCTTATATGACGGACAGGGCTCGGAGTAAGAGAGGTTGGAATTTCAAGAAAGATTTAATTAAGGGGGTCGATGTAAACTGGAGAGGTTAGAAAAGCAAAATAAAACTCTTTATGGGCGCAAAGAAGATCGGAAAGAAAATCAATAAATTAAAAACAAAATTGACTTTAGTAAAAAATTAAGGAAAGCTTTCAGCTAAAACAAGACTTTAACTTTGTTCAAACTTGTAAAATATACACTTTTTTCCAATACTGCAAAATTCTAGCAAAGATATTTGTCCAGTCAACTGTCTAGGTCAATGACCAAAAATTAACAAACAAGGGGCCCAAGTTAGAGCGGAGAGGGGTGGGGTCGGAAAAATTTTTGAAAAATTTGTTAGTCACCGAAAGTTGATGTTTGCAGCCATTTATTGTATCGTTATAACCATGTGAACTATTTTTGCGAATGAATATGATTCATGAATTGTCTTTATATCTTTCTATGAAAAATTTTGAAATTCTATTGTCTTTAAAGAGTTAAACGAATCTGTTTTGTTAAGATTCATGATGGTATGCTATATAATTATACGAATAATTTCACCAACATGCTTGCCATCAATGTCTGTCGTTTGTGATTGTGACATTATAATGTATATTTATTGAGAATTTTCTTTCATTTTGATTTTTGATATTTAGAACGCTTCATCCTTTTTTAACATTTGTAATGCAGCCCTGCGTTCTGATAACAAATCATTAGTTGTTAAATACATTATAATAATTGCTTTGTTAAATAGTTAAACACTAATCTAATGATGGGTGGGAATGCCTTGCTTTTGTCTTCGCAGCTTATCCACATTCCAGCTTCAGCTTAAAATATAAGACATGCAGGCTAGATTCTAGCATAATAGAAAGTAATTATTAAAAATTCAAACAAAGCAAACAAAGCAATCCCCTTAATCTAGCAGGTGAAAAGTTTAGCCTTCTAAAAGTTCTGTAAGCGAAAACAAGATTGGTTAATGACTTGGTAAAACCCTGTCTTGTAACAGTACTATCTTTTAACATATATTTTAACAAAACATGGTCAGCATTCCCTTTTTTCTTTCATTTGTGGTTGGCAACTATTTCAATTTTCATGTAACCATATTTATCATAAGATTTCGAATTTCACGGCATTGTAAACCACTTTGCCAGCTTCCAGGTCTGTTAGATTTCAGCTGCTAATTTTGATTTTTCCAGGTGTGTTCGGCCAGGATCAAGGGATTAAGCGCTGATGCAATCTTCAGATCTGGAAAATCAAGGTATGTTGAGCGTTTGAACGTTGATACGATTTCTTAGCGAGCGATTCAAAGTAAGGAAAATCAGCTATTCTCAAATTTTTTCGGAAAATTTTCCAAACAATAGGCTGACGCCGAGCAATTTTTCGGGAAGTTTGTCTCTTTGGCCTTCTCTAGAAATCGTATTAGAGCTGCCCTCTTTATATCTTTTTTAGTGGTCTGACCGAAGAATGGGAAAGCTCACAGTGGCATTAAAGTTTCTCGTAGTTTCAGGGTTATGGCAAACGGGACAGGTAGTTTTATGGGTCCATTATAGGGTTCGATGTCCGCCTTACCACACCTTTCTTGCTCTTGTGATTAGTTAGCCAGAAAATGTTTTGGCAATATCTGCAATTATTCTATAACGGATCCACAGTTCTAAAGAAAATTTCTTGGACACTGAGACTGGAACTTCAGTTAACTGATTGGATGATGAAATGCTGCATACTGGGGCGAACCCCCTAATTTCATTGTTATTTGTGAATATGCATCGTTCCATCATACGGCTAAACTTCGGATTTAAATTCGGATAAGTTTGGATAAAGATATGATTGGTAAAATCTACCAAACGCCTCTCTACACATGTTTTAGTAAATCAATTCCAGAAAATTATGTTGTTTCTTAAAAATTCTGCATTTTCTCTCTTGTATACCTCAGTTCTACTTTGCCGCCAAGCTGCGTATTTTCAGGCTTAATTTCTATCCTTCACCAATGGGCCTTGTCCGATTCTTAACGATCTTTCCAAACAGCTTTACATAGTGGTAATAAGCTGACAAATGTGCTATCTTAATACCTTTATAGGAAAAATAAAACATGTGATTCTAATCATATTATGATTCGTATGCTACCTACCTTCGAATCAACTGCAGTGCCATGTGGCAGATCAAACTCCAGCTTAAGTGCATTCCTTTTATAAATTATTTTTTTAATTTCCCTCTAAGCTCCAGATTAGTTGTTGTGCAACCTTCTGCTAGAACTTCCATCAAAAACCTTCCTCTGCATATCCCCCCGAATTAATGGCCTCTGATGCAGACAATCCCACTATTCTGTATTATGATGTCGTTGATTTCAGGAGGTTGACTCTGACTGACCTACGGTATTTACTGTAATATTGTAGAGCGAAGCCAGGTGTTAGTGAAAATGGACAGCAGAAATGTTATATAGCAGGTATTGGAACACGTACATGATAAATGAAGATTTCAAAGTTAGGCGAATGGCATATTCAGCTACTCTATTAACGATAGAAACAGTGTATTGCCGCATTGTCTAAACAGGCATATGTAAGTTACCTTTCTGGTATTTATCCTCGTGCTTATAGGTAGTTGGTTTTCAACCGAGAGGAAGGACCAGTTTCTTTCAAAGAGGAGAAAATTCATTCGAGGCTCGGCATAGCCTTGCTTTCTTCCCAGCTTGTGCCGATGCTTATGTTTCTGGTATGAGCAGCATGCAAGTCAGTGATATGAGATAAAAATACCTTGAGCATAACACGGGTAAGTATTTTTTTCTTTTCTTCTATGGACCATAAATTCATTTGTTATTTGCCAAAAAAAGTTAGCGTCATTTCTGAAGAAAACCATTTCATATTGTGTAAAAAGCTCTTACTGAAATACAGGTGCTTGGATCACCAGGCCAACACAATGAAAAACGAAAGAAATATTTATGTTCATCAGAGTCTGCTAAATGTTTTTGAAATAAAAGATTACAAACTGCTAGACAAGAAGGATAAAAATGGCTTTTTGTCGATTTGTCTTCGAGGTGTCTCATTTAGCAAGATAATTTCAAGCTTTGTCGAAATGCCTTAAAATGCTCTGTATCATAATTCTTGTCAAATTTGAGGCTTCTCAAATCGATCAAGATAGATATGACAGCCAGCTTTATCAGCTTTAAAAACACTCATTCGTTTATGAATATTTTGTTGCTTAGATCTTTATCAAATATTTATAACTTTAAAAATTTTTCTCAGAGGTTGTTCATTGTAATTATGTAAAACAGTGTTTTGTTTTCATGTGAGTTGTGTTCAGCTAAAGGTACAGTGCCTAGGAGGCAGTTTATTCTAATTTCAAGATTAGCGCATTTAAAATTCTTTTAATTTGCATTTTATTTAATTCTAGCGCTTAAAGTTTTAAGCAGGTGAACAATTTCTGTTATGCATATCTTCTTTGAAAGAAATTCAGGAATCCGTACATTTTTGCAGCTGAAAACCCCTATCATGTTTACAGAGAGCAAATTTATCCTAAAGTTTTAAACAAAATATTGACTTATCCTTCTTAGTTTACGAAAGCCGAAAAAAAGTTCCAACTAGTTAAGTTTTCTTCCAAAGCACGATAAAACTTTAATCTAGAGCTTATCCCAAAAGAAAAACAAAATAAAGATCTCTAAAGCATAACGAGGAGCTCATTTAAATGGTATCGAATGATTTATCAACAGTTTGATTTATTTACGAATCGAAAGCTGTTTGCATGACAACAAACTTCTGCTAAAGAGAGCGATGGTTTTAAGAAGGCTTTGATCTTCAGGGGCTGCTGACATTCAACGAGGGCTTTTATAGCTACAAAAATAACTATTTATTCACATAGATAGCCCATGATCACAAACATAAAAATCACGTGAGTTCTAGCCTGCGTGTAGACTCGACTACTATTTCACGTAGGAAATTTTGAGTCTGCACGCAGGCTAGGGAGTTCGAGACAAGCACGGAATGTAAGTGTGTGTATTTTTTCCGTTCAAAAAACAGCTAAAAATAAAAGGGAGCAAATATGAATATGTACAAGATTTAAAAAGTGTCTTCACAGCAGTTCGTTTTGTAAACACCACCTGGAAATCAAACAAAATGAGCTGTAGGCGAGAACAACCTTCTGTAACTTATCTATTGCATTCATATCACACGACCTAATGGCTTAAGTAGGTGTTTGCTTCATTTACAGAATGCTTTCGCACACTTTTAGGGTTCCACAAGCTTCCATTTAGGGAACTATTTTGTTCATGCTATCTTGCACTGGCCGTGATCACTGCATCTGTCATGCCAAAGATATTGCAGACTGAAAGATAAGTTATGTGAGACCAAGATTCGTTTATACTATTTGAAATGAATCAAATAAAACCCTTGCCTGATATCTTCGAAACTTGAGTATTTTTAACTGTTTATCATAAAAGACAAACAGAACTGTTTCGCCTATTCAGAGAAAGCTATATGTCAATGAACTTTCATTACGTTTATCTTTTGAATGTCAAATCTTTTAAATGAAATGCAAGAATGAGTCCTGGAAACTTGGCATGTTGCGGAAGCTAAGGCTGGAATGTAGTTTCCAGGAAAAAAGATGTAATCTACAAGGGATGTTTACTCCACAGGCAAAAAAGCCATGCGTTGAGAATGCAGTTATACAGATAATTTTGCCATCAACAAACAAAGTGAAATAACAGAGAATAGGAAAAACATTTTTCGCGGTCCAAATTCCTGCTGCAGTTTGCTAAAGATGTTGTGGCTTGATGATTTTACGCCGATTGCAAAACTTCAATTCAAGGGAGTGTAGCACGACTTTGATGCTTCAGCAAGCGAACTAAACCTACAGTAAAACTGAATTAAGAAATATTTCTTTCTTTGAAAAAATAAGAAATAATTATATCAATAATAAGAACAATTTTTTTCGGGAAATAAGCAAGATTTCTTGCATTATTAGTTTGCTAGTTTGCCAAAATGTCATGCAAATGAAGAAGCATTTTATACTCAAGACGAAAGCAATTTTTTAAAGTTTAATTGATGGTCGAGACATTGATTCTCTGGAAATTTTAGTCTGTGTAGCAAGGTATGGATCATGAAGCAAAAAACATGCAGACGGTTTGCAGGTAAAAAATGTTGCAAAACGAAATTAGGAAATTCAGACACCTGCAGCGTTGCTTTAAACGGCGGCGTGCTGGATTCATCAGCGGTTTTAGGGACTGCGGGGCCCGGGGCCAAATTATCTATGGGACCCCTTGTTCTTTACAATTTCCATCTTTTTTCTTAGATGTGGGGCCCCTTTTGGCTATCATAAGCGCGGGGCCTGGGGCCATGATCACCTTGGACTCCCCTTAAAACCGCCACTGGCTGGATTCTGCAGTCTTTGTGTGGTGATGCAGTGCAGAAAACAGGTTTTTCCCTAAGCTTAGGAACTACCTGCATCGTTCCAAGAATCTTCCATTGATATTTTCTCTTATGTCACATTTTACCAATCGCCTGAACTTCCGAACATAATTTCAAATAATAGACTTTTCCAATTGACTAAAGTTTTCAAATATACATAAAGCTAGATATTCACGCTCTATATGTCAGAGATTCCTCTGCCTTATACAATGTTTAAGTTTGCACACCACTGAAGCATTGTAAGTCTAAATCTCTTTGCAAGCATCCAAACGCAGATTTCTATCCATGTTTGCCATGACCATTAGAGAGAACTTTCATTGCGAGGTTTCCTAAAGCTGGCTTTGCTAATTTTGTCAATTTCTGTTTACAGCCATAAAAGCAATTTCTCACTTAGGCCACAAGACGCTGGTAAATTTGCTGACAAGAAAACCATATTAGCTTTTGCTGGTTTTCGATACCAAAGTCTTAAATCTTATAAAATTAACTTACATATTCTCTTGCACAACAGAGTCGCTGCCTGATTATCTTTCGGGGCTTACCAATCAGCAACAGTGTTTTATTTTATCTCACACGGAGCTACAGAAAATGAGTCTGTTCTATTATGTCTATGTACTTCAATTCTTTCTTTTATCTTTTCGACATTAAATTTTTTTCACAATAGAATGGACCACTTGATAGATTTATCTCTTTTTTTGTTAAAATCAGATAACAATACCACAAAGGAATTAAAAAGGTTTGCGCAACAATTGCATAGACGAAACAAGTTAGTGCAATGCTGTCGGGAATCATTTGAAAATTGCAACAAGAAGAAGAGAGTGCAGAATAATACAGCAAATTGACCTGGATCAAAGAGTATTCCAATGCAAACTAATAGAATGAAGCTCTAGCAATCTTGTAGCCTGTCATGGCGCAGCTTGGTACTCCCAAGAGAGCACTGATGCTCTCAATGGGATTGGTTTTGTACGTAATACTAATCAGTTTGCTGATGTTTTACATGGAAGAGTGCAGCATCGAAACACAGACCGGAAGTGACGTAGTTGTAAAGAGGAACGAAGAGATAAAGAAACATTGCTATTCCATACACGAATCATTTCAAGAGAAAGACATTAACATGGAAGGTCAAGGGAAACAAGCCAATGCCTCCATTGAAGGTTGTCTTCTCATTGTTGGCAAGCTTCTAAAGTCTAATTACAAAGTTGAAGGAGCCAATTGTCGTTTCAACACGATAAATTTCTTCCCGTGGGTTCATTGTATCACATTTTCCTTGCTAACGATCGGTAAGTAAGTCAATTTACATTGGTATTGTGTCTAGCACGAATAATTTGCTTCTCATGTCTTTTTCGGGTGTATAAAAAACCTCATAATATTTTAATAAAGTTGAAATCTCTTCAACAGCAAACATGATGCTAGGCCATTTAATATTGAGGAGACCTTGACTTCTAACCTTCAAACAATTTTATGGTTACTTTGTTCCATCGGTAATATTTATGAATAATTAAACATGTACCAAAACAGTTCCTCTGTCTATTGCTAAGTACCCACCACATCTGTCATGGTCATCAGCGGTTTTAGGGACTGCGGATCCCGGGGCCAAAAACATCTGTAGGGCCCTTGTTCTTTACAATTTCTATCCTCAGCGTGGGGCCTGGGGTCATGGCCCCCTGGACCCTCCTTAAAACCACCAATGGTCATGGTAAAATATAAATATAATTGTAAAGTGCAAGCTTAAAACGTTGCAAGATTTTTTGAATGAAAAGTTTTGATTTCAAAATGAACTTCACATTTTGTGTTGTATGTTGCTTTTTCAAAAGTAGAACAAATATTACATATCAAACCGATAACACCGTATTTTCCAAACTATATGGCATTTGCCCATGGAATATCTCTCGAAAACAACATGAAAATTGTTCTTAAAGAAAAGGAGAGAAATAATTCAAGTGCAGTTTTAAACATCCACATGTTTTGGTAATGATGAAGTATTAATTTAGACGTTTTTATTCTGTTGTGAAACAGCAATATTGATACAAACTGAATCAATTAGGACCAAACTAATATTTTATGACACGAAAATGGTTACATAAAAGGTTTTCTATCTATAAATTGGAGACAGCAAGATTGGTCTTAAGAAGTGAGTCTCTAAACATAGGATGTTTTTGCTAGCTTAGAAATTATACCCACCTTATCTCTGATTGTCTTAATATGTATGTACATCCTATGTATTTTTGTATTTAATTGAATGAAGAGAGAAGCTTTCTGTCTATATTTTATTTAAAAGAAGACTCAAGCTCTTTCGTTAGCAGAAAATTGTAAAATAATCCTCCATTTTCATAAATCATTAGGGGAATCTTCTGAATGCATTTTAATTTGTCTCAATCCGAAAAGTGCTCGGAACAAAAGTAATAGAGCATATCGGTGTCTTTAACTGGATTGCCCTTTGCCAACTTTCTTCTCGCAGAACCACCTTCCCAAACTTTAACTTTGTAAAATTCAAAATAAGATGTTGATCGCCGATTACAATTAGTTCCTCTGTCATTCTTTAATGACTAACTGATTGTGAAACATCTGCAGCTCAAATAAATCTCAATGTCATCCAGAGACTGATGTTTCTTCTGAAGCCTCAATGCATACATTGGTCGATAGAATGGCTTTTCTTTAAATAATATTTCTTTATAATCGGTGGTGAGGAATACGCAGATGATTTGAGGAATACAAGTTTTGTTTGAATATTAAATTTATCGTAGGTGTAGTTTACAGAAAGACTCACATGAAAATTTGCAAATCGAATCAGAATAAAGAAGAAGCTAAGTGCATCCATTATTGATTATAGGGAATTCATCATCAGGTACCATCTTCTATCAGAAGGTTGGCTACCATGACCCTCCAACTATCCCAAAATCTGGCTTTTGGTTTGTTGTCATGGTCATAGATAAAAAATACAGGGAATTACATACCGGATACTGACTATCTTGACTGGACGAGGGAGCGTATGCATTAAGAGTTAAATCTTAATGGAAAGAGGTAGATAGTGTTTCCATATTTCACCTGCTTCAGGCAATTATGTTATTCAACAGCGGTTACGACAGCCTTTTACAAGATACACACCCAGCACTTAGAGTCGAGTGCAACTTTATATGATCGATGAGATCTATAAGGTTCAAATAGCTGCTTGAAGAGCGGTTGAGGGTTTTCAAGGATTTTGGGGCTCTTGCGAAGAGGAAAGACTACTATTCCTGCCAATCCGATCTGAGAGAGTTTTGGGACTCACTGAGTTGAAGACACCTTAGTTTTTTCTGCAAAGTGCTTTCGAATGCCAAAAATTGCTCAAACACTGAATGTTGCCGTTTTCGCAACCTAGATACGTCCATAGCTACGCAAAACGAGAAACAAGATTTGGGGTTGTCACTGCCCCGGTTTCCTTTTGCCAGCCAGGAAAAGTGAATGTGACTTTTCTATATAGAATGAAACATACATGGGGTAGTCAGATACTTTCCCGTAGCAGCACTGTGGTGTTTTGACTGTATTGTTAGGATTGATAAAGTACGGACTTCTGACGCTTCAAATTGATTGAATTCCAGGAGTGTATCCAATGGCAAGGCCCCGGAGCCTCTAACTTTATCCCAATTTTATCTAACTACCGCAGCTAATTGTGTTTGGAGAAATATTCCAGCAACCGTTTTTCCTGCCACTCCCCTAAACAGGGAAAATTTAATTTCTGTATTATCTTTTATGTGAAAGGACGCGCACTTTCTTATTCATCAATCTGACAGCAATTCGTAAGATAATTTTACTGGCTTTCAACATTAGGACGATGAATAATGCTGCTGATAGTAATTATACTTTATTTTATTATGACAAATATTGTTAAAAACCTCCCTATCTGATTACTTGTAATTCAAAAAGCTGTAAAAGAGGGTCAAATTTAATGGTGTACTTTATTAGCGACAAAATGAAATTTGAGTAACAAGATTGTCGGTTTTAAACGAAATGACCTAGTAAAATAATGTCAAAATTTAATCAGAATGTCAAAGTTTGCATTTAGCAAGATAGTATGTAAGTGGCAGGGACATGTCAAATTTATAAAAGGCCCGCTTAGCTTGTAGATGAGAAAAATAGAGGGTCGGCGTTTTAAATGAATCGCCAGTACCAAAAAGGAAAATAACAAAGATTTCTTCGTGAATCTTGGTTTGTGAACGTTTTGTCAATGCACTAAGAGAAAATTCTGCTATCAACATAACCCTATTCTACAGAAAAGTTGCACACACTTTTGGTAAAATATCAAAATAGATGGGTAAAAATTCATTTGATGATCATATCTTTTGTAAACTATAGTTAGTTTGTCACATGAGAAAGGTCAAAGTGATTAAAAATTTGTTAAAAGAGAATAGCCATTAATCAAGGTCCTGCGTAAGGTTTGGCGTAAGTCTCTTACCCAGGTGCGAAGGATCTTTAAAAACCTAAGAGAGGCTTAAGCCACCCTTCCAAAGATATGGCAGCCCTCTGTTAGCAGCCAACACATCGCGACATTCGACATCCCAAATAGCGCTGGAACTTCTTATAATTTTTTTCTTGCTGTACAAAGCAGAAAGGTGACCAAATTCAATGAGTGACAATTTTTGTGTAACAAATTTTTTTTACGTGGCGTAGAAAGTATAGGGCTAGGGGGCTACGCCTCCTACCTAAAAGACAGATTGGATTTTGTAAAATGACGTTGTTTCAGGACAATAAAGTTGAAATGCTAATCTCCAGCATGTGATATTGTATCAGAAAACTAAGATGCCTCCTACCTCTGTGTTCCTTTTTCTGGCTGGGAAAAAGAAGCTGGGATGCAATGACAATTGCAAACTTTTATAATCCGTCACACCCCTTTAAATCAATCTTTGTTTACACCGAAAAGCTGGTTGAATTCAGTTAACTGTTATAAACTGTATGAACTGTAATGAAAACCAAGACGATCTGCTCTTCCTTCTGCTTTTGCAATCAAGTAAGATAATTAATTACGATTTTCGAAAGTGCATTACAGTGGAATTTTGATTAGAGGGCACATCTCTGGCGTAATCCATGACAACTCCTGATGAGAATATATGTGCGTTTTATAAAAAGACGTGTCTTCTCTACTTAATGCATTTGCTCAAACAAAGCTGAATAATTTGCTATCTATCTTTAGTACATTCCATTTGGACAGATGTTCTTAGGTTTTGTGTCTAGATTATTAATCTTATCATCATTGCGAATAGAAAAAAAAGTTTATAGTGATTATCGTGTTTATAAAATCCTAATGTCTACTCTACCTTCATCAAGCAAAACAATACTTAAGTAATATCCCATTTGCATTGAGAGATGAGAAATTACACCTAAAAATATATTATAATTCACAATAAATTTCATGCTGCTTTATAAGCTTCTCAAATAGCAGAAAATTTCCTTTATTCATTTTCACAGTCATTTATTTATTGACCAAGTCTTCCCGACTAATCGATTGTCTCAGTTCTATAAGAGAGCGCTGTGGGTATTTGGTGTGTTGAAGACGAAACAAGAATATCTTTTGCTTATGAGAAATATCAGCTGTCTGCAGCATTCTGGCTATGAGCAATACTTAAAAAAGCGCTTTATTTGTTTGTGGCTTTTTTTAAAAGCTTTTTTATTTATTTCACTGTTCAAAGTACGTGTTAAAAGTTGAGTTGCACTTTTATAGCAGAGATCTGGTAGTAAACTGTCTCTTGGAATCTTGATGCTCCACTAAGCAGTCGAAGATAGCTTTGAGACCTCTCAAATCATATCGGATTCTTTTCAACTCTCTACAACCTTCCTGGTGTGTTGATAAGCCGTAACCAAAGCTGCTTGTTCTTATGACAAGCATCTGAAAAGCAGACAGATATCATTAGCATCTTCAAAACGTGTTTCCCAGCTTTTCGAGCCTCTTCTCACCAAAAAAAAGATCTGACGAACAAATAGCACATATTAAAGACATCTTACTATCGTTCACTGTTTTGATTGTTCTAGGTTTTCAAATTCTTCAGTTTTATTCCAAATTTACGGGAACATTTTTCTTTTTCCTATGTGCTTTGAAATTCTGTAAGCTGATAGAACCTCGCCAATTATCCTGTTAATAGAAACTTCTGGAGAGTAAGTTTTTGTAAATAATTTGTTGGCTAGAGGTTCTAATTGGGGATGTTGAATTAGGAGGAGTGACATATGTGAGGTTGTTTGGGAAGAATTTAGCAGGGGTTACAGGCTAAGTTTCTGCTAAGAATAAATTACGGATTTCCACATTAAGCTATATCTAACTGCAGGCCAGAATTATTGTTTTTGAAATCCTCTGTTTGATTACATGAAAAATATGAATATATTGTCTTGCTTCACATTTCTGAAATCTTTTTGCCAATTTGTGAAGTAGCACTTTGATCTCCCGTTGTTTCTAGGGGGCTGTTCTTAATGTTATGACTTAAATGTGTTTATTTTTGCTTTTAGGGGGCTCAAAAATGCCAGTTACTGTTGGCGGTCAGTTGCTATTGACCCTTTCCACGATATTTGGAATATTTCCAGTTGTGAAATTATTCATTCATGTTGGAATCATTGTCTCTTCGGCATTAGAACGAATCCTCCTTGCTTTTGAGCTGCAAATTCTCAACAGAAGTCCGCGTATGATCCACAGTATTTTCAAAAAGCTTCTTGTCTTCAATACCCTGCTACTCGTTTCATATAATGTCATTTTGGCCTGGATTACAAGTAGGTCATTCTATGGGACAAAATGGACATTTTCAGAGTCAATAGTATTTTGGATCCAAGGGCTGCTTACAAACGGCCAGCCTATTGATAACGAGGTTACCACCTATCTGTATCAAGATGGAGGCTGGCGAATAATGTCTATCGTCTTGGGTATGCTTGGGAACATGATCCTGTCCTCAAGCTTTGCATGCATCCTCGTTTCTAAAATGCACAAGAAGGTGTGCGAGGCTTCAAAAACAATCAAGGAGTCGTTCAAAAGACAGAACCCTGAGATTTACTTGCAGATCAAGCCATTGAAAACTCATTTATAAATTATAGATGAAGATGGATTATCATGGAAATGCACACAGTCCTCAGATACCTCAAGCTATATGTACCATGCAACAATATTCTATGTTATCGCATAATAAATGTTTATTAGGAGCTTTATGTATCTTCTTTAGTAAATACAGTTGTTCATATATCGTAAAAGAAATCATAAATGTGTTAAAAAGTCTGATCAAAAAAGCTTTCTCTGAAGATTTAGATGAATATTAGTTTTTGGGCATTTTAGATTCTAGCCTCAATGATTTACATAATTTTCATCACTATAGAAATTTCATGTCGCTATGGTTTGGAATACGCCACTTGGTTCCAAGTTTAAATAATTTGTGAAAGAAGACCTGCACAAGAAGATAAAAATATATCAAATTTCAGTGTCATTTACACAGATTTTGCCTACATATAAGTGAAGTCATCCCATGCTTTCTCCGTATAACCTACTAGCTAACGCTAACAGATATTAACTACGGGTGTGTAAATAAATTCATGGATAATAAAGAACCTCTGTATTGTATTAGCTATTTTTCTTTCTAATATATAGATAACTGTAAAGCCATTCTTTCGTTGTATTTATGTTATCTTACTCGTTTAAACTGTAAATAGATCAACTATTGTCAACCGTAAGAATCTAATTGGAAAACTAGTACAAACTATGATTGACTCATAATGAAAATACTGGAGATTTCATCACTATTTGCTGTCTATTGTAAACAATGCTACAGTTTCTAGTTGATTGACTAACCTTCTTGTTAACACTGTTGCCCCTCGCCGCTAGCAGGTTGCAAACATGTGCCTCCGAGCCACATGACCAATCGAGCAATATTGAAATGACCAAAAAATAAGGTTACGGACCGAGAACGTCTAGATACCTTCAAAAATAAAATACATAATATTTTAAGCCTGTGAGAAACCAGGAACTACAATTTAACTCTATGCACGTGTACACAGAAACACAGTCTAGGTTACGGAAAAACTTTTCCACGATTTAGTATTTCAAACTAACAAAATTATTTGCTTGTTGCTAAGCTAGTGTTCGACGCTCTTTGTTGCCAGGGCCTAAAACAAGTCTGGATTTGACTCACTTTGTGGGGTTGTAAATTAAATCTGTGTATCTGTAATTGTAGAAAGTGTAGCTTTGTAGAAAGAGCATTTTATCAAAAGTGCAGCATAAAATGCAAACCAGACGTTAAAACATTAGTATTTAAAACTTGTTTCTTAACGCAGAGCGGACATACGGAATCCCGATAGGGATAATGTTTTGATGAATGTTACATCGGTAGAGAGCGTGACCCTGTGATTCCTCAAAACAGTCAGAAATCTCCTCGACATGTATGACACAAGGTTAACTGGCTTATCCTTTTCGGATTCCCTAGTTTCGCCAGGAAGCCTAATCCCAGCCTGTTGCCTTACAATAGTCTTTTTCAATAAATTTTCTAAAAGAAATGAGCAAAAGTGAAAAAGAATTAAGAAACTTTAGTACTGAAAGCAGAAAATTACGAAACAAATGAATTTTGCAAAACCTAGAACTTAGTGAAAATCAATAAATACGATTGGCTGCTGGGTATGAAAACAGAGGTGAAGTCTCTTTGACAGAAATAAACAGTATAAACATTAATAAATAAAAATAGAAATAAGAAATAAACAGTATGAATATGGGATGATAGACTCTCATGGTTCTAAACTATGTTAAATACAGAAGACAGACAATCACAATTTGCATATCATAGAGAGAAGCCAATAATTGCCATCGGCTCAAAGATTTGACCGTAAAGAATAGAAAAAAGATGAATAAAGCAGCATAGCTCCAGAAACAATCAGCAAATATATGGACATGCAATAAATATGCCTGATGTCGCAAGTTTCGAATTCGGTTTAGTTGCAAAGATATGGTCGCGAAGTTTCGGAAGTAGGATTGGTTTTGAAATGAGAGGTGGGTTTAATGGTGCACGGAAAGAAAAAGACAACTTTGACAGGGATGTTGAAAATCATTTTAAAGGGTTTTCTTTCGATGACTATATTGCTGACGAATAAAAGCACCACTAACTGATGCTGATTGCCTGACTAACCCATTCCACGTCTTGTTTAAAAATCCTCTTTTGTTTCTAATACTTCACATCTAGGATCTTGCTCAACTGGGATATGTTAATAGCATTAAGGTAGAATTAATGGATCTTTTCTGTAATTGCTACGCCGATTCTGTGAATCCAAACATAGAACTGCAAATAATTTTAATGAAAATATGTGGATTTGTAAAAAATTGTCATTTTAGGCACTCTTGTTGAAATGTTTGGGTCTATATGCGGCAAAATTATTGAACAGAAATGGCGGTAGGGTTTAAGGAAATAACAAAGGCTAACGTATTATTTGATGAAGACAATTTTTAAGAAACCTTAGCTCTACCAATTCCCTTATTGGACAAAGATAGCATTTCTGTCGGCAAGACATGAAAGATTACAAGCAATTGATTCCTTCTATATGTAGCTCTGCCACCTAAAATTAGATGACAAACGGTGCTACTTCCCTTGCAGTAATCCAATGAACAGCACAAGAAATTAATTTTTAGGAAAGTTTCAAAAATAGTGGTAATGTTATGTATCTTTTACAAATAGCTAAATAACAAAAATTCGTCTTTGATTTACTAAGAAAACAAATATTTTTATGGGAAGGGTTTGAGGCAAAAAATATGTATAGAAAAGACGAAGTGTGGTCAAATCGAGATGAAGGACCAGGATATGCTCGACATGCATAGCTCTTCTCAGTGTCATGACTGCCTTTGGAAGCTAGGTAGCCACAAATAAAGTAATGTTCTAAATATGGTTTAAACTATACTGCCATTGATTTCATTATGTGCAATAAAGAGCTTTGGCAGAATTACGTTTTATGCAAAACAAATTGAGATTTTTTCAACTTATGTATGACTGACCATCAAACTTAGTAAGTGATGAGAGAATATATCAAAACAGAATAATTAGAACATCTACTAAAATTGCTCCAAATTTATGCTAGTTTTGTTCGAGACTTTAAAGGTGAGGACCTTATAATTGATCAATTAAACTTTCGAAGCTGTTAGCAAAGCTTTTTCATAACATTTGTATGAATTTTAAAGCAAAAAGTAGACAAAGGCATTTTCAAAACATTTTTACTTCAAAATTTCGATCAGCCCCCTACTTTAATAAGCCCCTCTCTTTTAAGCCCCCATCAAGGAATGAAAAATAAATTTCGTATGTTGATTGAATTCTAATTCTAATGAACACAACATGGATGTTTAAAGAAATTTTGATACGTAATCATTACAATATGCTGGAGTTAATTTTATCAATAATGCGATAAATATCATTATACAATTTTTATACCGATATCAATCTTTTATGATAAGTCCATAGCTTAACGTAACTGTCTATCTGAGTGAGTAACAATCAAATCAAAACTAAACTTCCAAGTTAGATTTGAAAAACATCTTTGCCCACATAAGTAGATGCAAAAATCTTTATTTACATAAGTAGATAAGCAATATCTTTGATTACATAAGTAGCAAGCCTCTGTCTTATTATTTATGCAAGCTTGACATATGCTGAAAATAGAGCCACGAAACAAAAAACATTTTCTATCATGAAGAATTTCATTTTATTGTCTATTCTCGTTGACTAAAATCGCTTTATGTTAAAGAAATCATTTAACGTATATTTTAGAACATTATTTAACGCTTTAGGTAGCAAACTGTCCTTTTTATGCAATTGCTTGCAACCACTTGATTTTAAGGGGAAAGCTAATTTCAATTATAGCCATTTTATTCTCTTATGAAGAAGCAAAACATCATATTAATTGTTGAGTATATTAAAGTATAATATGTTAAGAAAAGCTTGTAAAGGAAATTATTTAGCCTTTTTGTTCCAGCAGATTCATTTTTCTAGAGTATTAACTTTTTGGTAAGCTTTGATTATATATTTTGCAGGTTTTATCTTGTACATTGTATCAAAATTAGATACTTAACAACGCGAAAAAAATTGGGTCACTATCTGCAGTAAGATTTGCAAATGATAGTCCACTTACTTGGGGCATGACACCCATCATGTCAGCTTATTTCATTCTTCATGGAGAGTGCAAAGAAAAAAAAAACTTTGCAACTTTCAGCCTAACATTTTTAATGATACTTGAGATTCTAGTCAATGGTGTTTGCTACATTTGCTACATAAACGGCTGCTCATTGAGTTTTTGCACAAATGAACCTTTTGCCATCATGAATTTTGCCACATAAAAGGTCACTAGCACTTGCTTTAAATCTCTCATTGAATCTGAGAAAACATTTCTTTGGTGCCACTTTTTCTAAAAACAAAATATTTGTTTATATATTTAATAATAATAGAATTAGTTAAGGCCTTTTAAACCGATTTTACTAATAAATAATCCTAAAGAAGAGGACATTTTAAGAAAGGAAAATGATTCTTTAATCTTGTTTATCATTATTCTTTTCTATTCAAGAGAAAAATGCAAATATCTTAGGTGTTGTTTTTGCTCAAATTATTTTTCCTTTCTGTTAAGTTTTGGCAAGAGGAAAAAAAACAAGATAAATGTACAAAGATATTTAAAGAATTAAAGTCAATTTTGCAAATAGGAAAAGCCAGGCTGTGAAAAACTTTTCAGGTACTTTTATAATATTACAGAAACTACGCTTGGATATTGATCAAGATGAAATTTAGTTGGCCATATGTTATAGGGACTTGAAAACAAAGACAATTTCTGCAGTGCAACATTAAGGGTAAAGAACACAAAGAAATCTTTGCACATTTATGGTCTTTTAAAAAATTTCGTTTTGGAAAACTTGCATTGTGTAGTTTCTTTTAGGTAGTCTTTTCACTAACCCGGCTTAAAACAAACACGGGTTACAAGTTTTAAAATGGTTTTCCGAGTGGATCAGTGTTAACCCTGGTATCATTCGACTTAACTGTGAGTTAATTGGAACGCCAACCCGGATAATTTTTGATCCATATACAAAAGTAAAAACAAGAGCCAAAACAAAAACAAAAACAAAAACAAGAAAACAACAATACTGCAAAAAACAACAACACTGCAAGAAAACAACAACAACAACAACAACAACAAAAATACAACGACAACAGCAATAATAACAGCAAAACAAAATAAAAAACCAAAAACAAAAGAACAACAACAGCAACAACAGCAACAATAACAACAAAAACAAAACCGACAGAAGCAGTGTTATTAAAAAAAATCGAGGATTTTTGTTGAAAGTATTGATCTCTCTCACAGCTCTGCATGCTTTAATTTTTGCTTATATTAATCTAAATCTGATTTTCCTGAGGTGTAGAAGGCTAAGGATGCATTTCCGAAATACATTTTAAACCAATTGAGAACAATCAAAAAACAGGTAAGAACGAGTTTGTGGCAAACTGGGGTTTCCATTGCCTCACTTTAAATACGGATACATTTTAACCCGTCTTTGTTTCAAGCCGGGTTAGTGGAAAGGCTGCCTTATAAGAACAGTACACACACGCTGTATGTGATAAATAGTGGCGCCTGAGCATAGCTGGCCTGAGATATCTTCATGTTAGAGCAGTTATTGGTTTAAGAGCTAAGTTTTCCCTGAATTTCTAATTCATTTTTGGATTTTTGCTTCATTCTTGCTGCACAAATGACCTCATGACACACTTGCTGTGTGATGAGGTCACATTTCTAAAACCGTTGAAATTGAGGACCAGTTTGCTAAATACATGAATAACACCACTAGATAATAACCCATGTTTATTTAGTTTGACATCTACCATGCAAAGTATATTTGCTGCTTTTGTTTATCAAGAAACCAGTTTTTCAGCAAGATTGTTCTAAACATTAGGCCTATCTAGATAGAACTACGCTGTTTCTGTTCAGTTATTTTACCATATTCTGGAATACACCTGTAAACAATATGTCTGCACTGTCAGTCTCTTTTCGATTCGGGAAATTAGTCCGAATTCAAAGAACCTGAATAGTGATACCCGCTTAAGCAAAAGTGATCTCAATAAAGAATGATATTACAGGTGGTTAATTTAAGCTACATTTTGTATATTATGGTGTAGCAGGGGTTATCATTCTTCCAGTTTCCGACGACCTCTGTTTTCCCGCGGTCATCTGGATGTCTAGATACTAACTCAGGGCAAGTTGATTAAAAAATTTGCTCTGTAGATCTTTGGGTCAGGATTGGAAGATTTTCTTTCTTGACGAATATTTTAAAGAAACTATTTTGATGAAACTGTTTAACTATTTAATGATATCTTTTTAAATTTAGGCCCTCGTTGTACTCATAATTCAGGTCCAGGGACACCGGAGAGGTAACAAGCGCCTCTCGCACCCTTTGATTGGGGGAGTAAGAGAGCCAACATGCCCATTTTGAAGAATCGGTTTTTATATTGTCCTTTGAAAGTGTTGTAAACCCGAATTTAGAACCTTTTATAAGCGATTCTTTCAAACTAATAATTTTTAATACTTTTTATGTGCTAGGAGCTAGTCTAATATTCTATTAATAGATTGATTTTAGAATTTAAGCTATCATAAGCTGTGAGTCAGTGTTTAAAACGTTTGCCTTGAAATTTGTCCCATTTTCCGCTGTCACTGTTCATGACTTAGAACCGAACAAGAGCGATGCTTCGGCAGTGCTCCTACAGTGTCATTTTATTCAGTGACTTCAAGTGTCATTTTTTGTCTCCAAACAACACCCGAACCATTGCAAAAACCTAAATATACGAAATGGTTTTAATAATAAAAAGAGAGAAATGTACCAACAGAAGCTTGTTATCTTCTGATAGTTCCTCTTTGACAATGGATTTAGAGAGCTAGGGTTAGGAGTTGGATTATGCAATTATGTTTAAAAAATAAATAAAATTGAATCTGATAAAAAATAAAGAAAACTGCCAAAGGTATTCAGTATTTTTCAAGAATTAAGTACTCAGTCAACCTAATTTGATGTTCTTGAAAATAATAATTGCAATAAAATGGAGTTAGAAATTTGACCTGAATCTGGGCAGTCGAGATTTTCTGTTGCCAACATTACACCACTCATAATGTTAAACAACATGACTTATGTTTTGTTGTTGCTGCAGCATTAGGATTAAACTGTTTGAACTTTTTTGTATTGACCATATGAGGTAAGAGAAAATCTCGTTGCATATTTTGGTAGCTCTTGGCTCACTTTTAGCATTCAAGGATGTTATATAAGGAGCAATAGTGCAATATGAAGGCTCTTGCCTTACTGTCAGCGCTCGAGGATGTTACATAAAGAGCAGTTGCTCTCAAGGGCTTGCAATTAAATTCACCAGTATACCATGTAACAGACAAAAGCCGCTGAATAGTATTTAAGAAGGAAGAAGTAGCTCTTATGTCAAATCAATTCTTCGTATAGGTATGAAAACGCGATCCTATACGGGACATGGTTAATAAACAGTCTGCATCACATTGCTAAACAAATCAGAGGAGTCTGGCAGTAATCAAGACAATGCCTTTCATGTACTCAGCTGTATTAGCTAACAAACACCTGCATTGGCGCACCCCCGTCTTTTGGTGAGTGAATATCGTAAAGTTAATGGACATTGTTGGATGGCGTTTTCGAGTAGCTCACAAACACAGCAGCTGACCGTCTTCGAGTAGCTATGAACCTTCATGAATATAAATATTTGTGAAATAAAGATTATTCATCAACGTTGAATACTTTCAAGAGGCAAAGTTTCGTTTTACCACGGAGGTATTGGAAAGTAGATATTGGCAAGAGGACTCATAAGGCATATTCTTGAAGATTCCCACGAAGCATTACCCGCAAGACGCCGCCAATAAACTTTGGGTAGAGCAATGGTTGCTGTGAACGAAAGGAACCGAAATTTACGGACATGTATTGTTTAAGGAAACACATTTTAACGCGTTGAAGAGTAAGGAAATCGGTTTTGCCATCTTTCAGTTCAAATACTTGGCGTGTGAATCTTACACATATCAAAGAACAAGAGGTGCGCATACACCTCAGTGAACTGGTGGTCAATGGAAAATCTCATTTCGCCTGGAAGAAATATATCCTAATAAAGTGATTACGTTGAAGCTCGTTACTCAGAAAGGGTAGCTGCCATTATTGAAGAATGAACATGAAGAATTAAGGACACAGAATAGGAGTGAATATTAATGATGAATATGATACTACAAGACCAAGAAATAACAAATGAATGTTGTCAGTAATGACCAGCTCTGTGGAGAAATGCATTCTACTTTAATTGAGAGCTTTTTTGTGTATCTGCTGGTGCGCTTCTCTGGATGATGGTTGTGCAGCTTCGACGAAGTTGAGAGTGGACAGATAATAATGGCAGGACGGCTTCATTACCACTGGCTTCCTTTTATTAAATATTCTCTAGTTTTGCTTGTTTACATCTTTGCAGGTGGTCTTCTCTTGTTTTATTTGGAAGAATGTCGCAACGAAGTAATAAGAATATCGGAAGCAAAGCCTGTCTATTTAGGAAATGTGACAGAAGTTTGTGCCAAGCTGGCTGGAGATATGTTTAAGAATCCTAACGTCACCATTGTTTCTAGTTATATGAACAGATCAGACTTAGAAATAATGGTTGGGCGTTGCACCAAGTTTCTGGAGAATAGAGAAATTACAACCCCAAGGGTACAAAAAGGGTGCTCGTGGAGTTGGAGTAGCATTCGAAAATGGATCAAATTTGTTCACAATACGCTGGCAACGATAGGTGAGTACAGTGTTAAATGTTTGTAACACTTTTCATAATAAATGTTCTGGTTATAAAAAATATTAGCTTAGAGAAAATCAGTCAAGTCATTTGCAGATTATTAGCAAAGTTGAATTCAAACAGATCATCGGTTGATCTTGATACTGATGTTAGAGCTGGATTGCCACTCAAGAAATACTACAATTCTCAGGAATATAAGGAAATTCTAAGGTGATTGATTGTACGTGAGCAATACATAATCATGGTTGATGCACTCATTGCCAACACTTCTCTGATTGGTTTGTGGATCTTGAAAATCAATGAGCTATGAAAACATTATTGAAGAGAGTGTTAAATGCGAATGTTTTTTGCCGGGCTTTCTAAGCATCCTTGGCATTTTAAGCACAAAGCGTTTCAAGTTATGTTTAAAAAGGCGGCTTCAAAATGCCGACAATATCATACGCGTAGATCTAAATATTTGCCAATGAAACGCGGTTTTGATTCTATTCAGAATTTGTTTTTGTGACTGGCTGCTGTGTTAGTGCTGGTCCTGCTTCGTTTCTATCAAAAGATATACGCTTTTATCAACATTTGTTTACTTATCCGCAATTCCTAGCAAAGAAGAAACTTTACCAAGCATATGACGCAATAATGTTTCATTGTATTACGTTCGTCTGTGTTTGTTTCCTCCTGTCAATTCACTTTTCGGTTTAGGCCTGAGCTGTTTTAAAATGAATATTAGAACTTTGTTATCTTTTGCATGCCAATCGCAACCATGCCTTTTGGTAAGACCGTATTGTTGATCTGGGAAAATCAAGAGAAATGTTATTTTTATGTTGGTAGATGTCTGTAAGAAATGTCTGTAAGCTTTAATAAAGTAAAAATTACAGGAGTGTTACAGGAGTGGAAATATTGGAAAGGAAATGGGTATTTTATATTGTTTATTATCGGAATATTTAGAGCAATGGTAAGTGAAAATAATTTGAGGCAAAAATTTAAAAATTTGCTAACAAAAATTTACATGTTCAGGAAAAACACGAGTTAAAGGCTTTAACGGTTATGAAATCGTGTTACTAAGGTTAATTTAACAGGGTGTGATGTAATGGCAAAATTTTAAATGTGAGAAGCTAAGGTGATTTTGCGAGTAAACTCATTTAACAGGTGACGAAAAGAAATGCTCTCTTATGACTTCTTTGGGCTGCTGTTTTCTAAATATCTATTACTTGTTATCGTTGTGGAAACTAATGATATATTCTCATCCAATATGCACTTTGAATTGACTACAGTTTTCAAGACTTTTAGCATCATTAAGTTCATAAACTTGCATTGTCCACATATACAATAACTCTCTAAGCGTACTAGACAATGAAGCTGCAAATGTTATTGAAAATAGCCTTTTGTAAGTCGTCCTGTTTAACTAAAACTGTATTTCAAGTGATCTTGAGATCTGATCAAGGCTTACCTGTAATGAGTGTAATGTTTTGACACCAAGATAATCTGCTTTGCAAGAAGTTGTGTTTGACTTACCTGAAGCAGCATTTTCATTTTTTAGCTCTGAAATAATTGGTAATTGGTAGCTCTAAAATAAATCTTCTTAGCTGGTTTTTCCAAAAATTTTATGTCGATGACTTAATAAAAGGGGTGGAAGGCCCATGTGTAGTGAAAGCATTGTGTTTCAGTGAATAAAATCATCTAAATTTCATTATGCACAACAAACTTGAATGATAGCTAGATATGAGCAAACATAAAGTGCATGGCAACTGCTGAATGTTCCAATTAAGATGTACATAAAAGTAGCGTCGAAGATTTGAAAATTGTAGACAAGAACTTCATTCGCCAACTTAGGCCATTATCAAAATATCTTTGGCAATAGATTATTCATTGATGCTGTATACTTTGCCATGAATAAAAGGTTTACAGAAGTGTCAGAACAACAACATACCAAAGTCTCGAGAAACATTCATGAGTAGAGGCAACAATATTACATAGATAATTTTTTGGTTATTTTTTTCAAACCACTCCTTTCCCTTGAACTACCCTGCAGCCAAAATTTCTAAGCACGCTGGGTGAGCAGCAAGCTTCTAAAAATTATGTCAGACAGCCAGCTCTATTGCGCATTTCAGCCGATTGAGAGCCAAATCAGCCATTTCAAGTCGTGGAAGCAGCTTCCTTAAATGAATGAATGTCACGTAGAGCTGTTGTGTCGGCATTTTTGTGCTTGTTTAGCTATTGTTTAGTTACTTGTTTTTTCTCGAATCTATTATTAGCCAGCACAATTAAAGACCCAACTGACCCTACCACAAGCACGTGAAGTAGGTTATGTAATTGAATGTTAACAAGGGTGATGTTGCTTGTTTCGTAACATGCTTGATGTGTTAAAGTTGCCTCGTGATACATGAAAGAATCGTCAGTGCAACCAACAGTTTTTAAGCAGTAATTTTATTGTATGGAATCTTAACGAATCTCAACTTCGTCAATGCAAAACCTGGGTATCATACAAGAAGCTATATAGTTTCAGGACAATTCTGCATATTCTAGAATCTTGCATGGAAAAGGCGTACAACGCAAAGCGTCGGTTTTTAGGCAGTTAGCTCGGGGTAGCCGCTAATATAAGAACCTACTGAAAGACTTCAAAAAGAGATTTGGCGAAATCGAATGCACATAATCGAATGCGAATTATCGACTGCGATGAAAAGAACATATCTCCAGTATTCTGCCATACCGCGTTGCTGAAAATAAGATACAAGAAGGGATTTGAAACATTTGAACTGCACAATCTGAATTTTTCTAAAAAACCTTTTGCATTACTTATGACTCCATTTTTCATAATATTTTGAAAAGAACAAAAAGGAAAGCTAGGATAAAAGCAATAACTTTCATACTACGTTCTATTCAAATATTTGTCGATGGCTTAAACGGTTTGATGAGATAAAACCAAATCGTCAAAAATAGTTTTGCAAACCTCTACTGCATCTTATAGTTATTAAACACCTCACTGTCCAGTGACCGCGCACCAGTTTAAAAGTGGAGGGGCTGGAAAGGGTGTGCCCAAAGATTTTTCAGGCCACGCCCTCTAGAACGCCGGAAAACGCCCATTAGATAATACTTGCTTATTTCTACTCAATTTTTGTAAACATTCTGGTGCAGAGAAGATATCAATAATTATAAAAACAGATCAAATTAGCTTGAGGGAAATAAAACACCAAGCAAACAAAGTCAGAAAATGCATCATAACATTAAAGATGATAAAAAATCTAGAAAATGAACAAAAGAGGTTTGCTCCTATACGCAATGATCTCCTTGGCCAGCTTTCATACCTCCTAAAACTGGATTTAAACAGCATCGATTCAAAAGCCTTACTTAATTTGCTTCTTTACAGTAGCCCAAAATTTAATGAAACTGACAATCGAATGATTCTAGAGGCATCCATAGCATATATTACAGCCACTAACAGACCTAACTGAAGTAGCAACTTGACAAATAGCGACCTTTTATCTTTTATCTTTTTTGGGTTTTGGTCTATATAAGCTCTTATCCAGTGAATCATGGCATCAGCATACATAGCCCAGTGTACAGCTTCCTTTATCAACTTGCTTACTTTGACCTATTTTATCTTCTAATACCTGTAATCAACCCGTAACCACGAAATCGCCTGCCCTAAACTGGCGTATGCAAGCCCCTGTCAAATGAAATTGTACCTTGGTTCACAAAGTGTTTTTTTAGAAGGTTACTGTAATCAAAGTAACTGTTAAGTGCCGTTCATAGCAAGAACCAGATGACGTAATGCCTATTTTGGCTGTGGACAGTACAGACTATTTTGTTTTTTGCTTCTTAACAGTGATATTTAAAAAAAGAAAAAAGTTTTCCAGTTAAGAAGAACTGCTACAACATAGGAGTAAACTATCCAAAGTCGCGTTAGAGAAAACCTTTAAAAAAGTTTTCTAGCCTATTATTGCAAAAAATGGGGGACTATAGCCCCTGGTAGCATCACATTCATTTTCATGTTGTATATAAGAGAATCTTCCCAATGAATGTGATTCCTCTTAATATTGGAATATAATATTCACGTTGAGCACAATGCTCATGCATATTTCACATATTAAATCCTACATCCATCAATGATTTCTTGCAATATACCATTAGTATGTTTTTCTGTAAAGAGCAGAATTCAATATGGATAATGGCTATGGAGAATGTAAAGCTGCAAAATGAGCTTAATTGTTAATGATAAACAGCAACAAAAGTTTAAAATCCCAAGTAAATTATGAATTGCCAAAGTTAACTGATTCCTAATGTTTGTGTTAAGACTGCAAGTCCCATTTTTTCGCTGTCATCGACTTCTGATTATTGGATGACAGTTAGAAGCGTCAGAAGGATTTTGAGGTTGTACAGGTAGGAGGGAGCATCAGAAGGATTTCAACGTTATACAGATACAGGTAGGAAGGAGCACATGTCACAGAAAAGGGCACTTTTCAAAGAGGTTGCTTCTTAGAAATGAGCATGTACCTCTGTTGCAACCCCAGTTTCAGCGTCCTTGGATATAGCAAATGAAACCAACAAAACCATTACGCAAGCAAAATTTGTATCCTAGAGGCAGATGGAATTGCTTCTGGAAAAAAGCGATTACAATATAAGCCTGTATTGCTTGAAGATCAGTGCCGGTCTCTTTGTGTAATCTTATTAGGATCTTCTTGTGTGTAGGAATGGATGCATAAAAAATTGTCATGATTTCAAACAATATCAGATTTAGCATTTACATCAGCCTTTTGTCGGATCCAGCAATGTTTACAATAACAAAGAAAATATATACTTTAGCTGTTTGCATAGTTGTTTTTACTGAGCAACTCACCAATGCTGTATGGCAAAACGATCAAGTGAGGCATTTGGTAGACATATCTTTATGTAGGTGTGTCAAAATATTTTTTTAAAGTTTGGAGCTCAGAACGTATTTTAGAAATTAGCTATTGATCCCGGGAACGTACTTTTTTTTAAATATCTGTAACACCTTAGGCCAACAATGATCCGAAAGGTAACTTTCAAATTAGCAAGTTGATAGACTCTGGATTTATACGGGAAAAGGCCTATCACTTATTTTAACAATGTCGCCACTAAGAGGCTTGGCAGCTCATGGCATAATATGAAGATTAAAAATTTCAATTGTCAAGTATCTTTTTAATCATGGGACAAATAATGGACATTTGAAAGTGAAACAAATAATAGGAAATAAATGGAATAGGACGTAAAAGGGGGGTTTCCACGAAGAATTGGTTTCTTTGTTTCTCTAAGAGAACTAGGCTGTAGATGTTTGACCTAATGAATTTATCTATATATTGGCATTTTTCATCACAGAAAGGGCAAACAATTATAGTTTTCATTCAAATTTGCTTTCAAATGAATTCTTTCCATTTGTGCTTGCTGTAAAGTTTACCTGTTTGAGAACAACTGCAAAAGAACAGGATTTAACAATAGCATGAATTAAATGAGCTTTGTTTCCATTCTGGGTGTGGCTGCATTGAAAAGCTGCATGAATTATTTTTGTAATTCTTTCAAAAATGGGTTAAGATAATACATTTCTACCGATAAAGAGCCTAACAATCGTCTAGATCGTGCCACAAAAGACCGTGCGTTCCATCTTTCTCTCTTCATCAGAAATACATCTCCATGGAAAACTCTACCTAAACATGGCTCCTATTTTTCGATGTTATCTGTAAAGCATGGACTCTCTCTGACCCACTGAGGAACAATCCACATGGTACACGTTACAAATAAAGAACTTTATATTATTCTAAAGTTCAAGAATAATTTAAATCTTTTTGTAAACTCGCACTCTCTATAAATATTTTTCTACAGTTCTAAGCACTTTAATCTCAATTAAATCCAATTCAATTCAATCAAAATCAATCCAATCAATCCAATTCAATCAAAATCAGTTGCAGTTTGTTCAGCAGCCAGGTGATATGAAACACGTAAATAGCTGGCTTTTCGACTGAGTATACCAATCCATTTAGCAAAGAGAAGGATTTGTTATCAATAAAACAATTAAATGATCTCGCATATTGAAATTCAACATCAAATCTTGAGGATAGATCAATACAATATCAGATTAGCAAGACCTGTGTGAGCTGCCTTCTGTCTACTTACAAATATGATACTGTACATCTCTCAACAGAAATCAATGGTTGGCAAACAGAAAACTAAGCCGTCTGAGCATCAACATTAAAAGCTTTTCCTAAATTTTCTTTGAAATACAAATAAACCACACCTTAGATAAAAAATACCCATGTGATTTTAAGGGGGGTTTGTGAATTTAGAGATTCAAAACTACTGTTATCAATTCGAGACTAGCTATTCTTTAGATGAAAGCGAGGGCAAATGGCTTCGCTCTCAACAAGGTTCCTTCATGGTATTAAAAAACATCTCTTCTACATTGCTTTGTTTTTATTAAATTAAAAACATAAGAACTAAGCAAAAATAATGCATTTGCACTGCCATCAGCTGATGGGTTCTGTTACTGAAATAAAAAAACCCCTAAAATAGAATTTAAATGTAAAAAAAGCAAATAAAAGTACAGAAAGAAAGGTTTTAAAAAGCAAATTTTAAATCATTCTTATGCTGTAAGTTGGGCACTCTTCAGAGTATAAAGAGATCGAAAACTTTAAACATTGATCGAAAACTCTAAACTAAGAAGTGTTTACATATTTGATTCAATTGAAAATTACACTAAAATGTCTTAAATAAAAGTGCTACAACAATAAGCTTACCAAAGCTGGCCAATCAGAAACACATGACTGTAAATTCCATTCTTTAAGAGGATCTTACTGACAGTGTTTGTTTTGTTCTATAGGATATCACGAAATCAAGGTTCAGACAGAGCTGGGCAAATCATTTACAGTCTTCTATTCGCTGATAGGCGTGCCTTTGGCAATTCTATGTTATATTCACCTGGGTAGAATCGTCCGAGTGACAATACGACGAGCAATACGTTCCACGGAGACGCACTTCTTCAATCGAACCGAACCGAGAAACATACGTCACAAAGTTGTGCTGTACACATGTGTTCTTATACTTATTGTAATAATGTTATCAGTTGGTGCTGTCCGACTTAATACAAAACAGTGGACGTTTTTGGAGTGCCTTTACTTTTATACTGGTGTGATAAGCACATCAGGCAACGATGGTTCGAACATAGATACTATATTCTTCGAACAACACCTCGGCTTGTCAATTTTACTAGACGTTCTTCAAGTCATTGGGCTTGGCCTAGTCTCATCACTGATACAAGCTGGAGTTGGGTTTCAAAAAGCCAAGCACAAGCGTCGGAGGTTTCCATTTCATGATGCAACCAAGCCATCAGCCAATGGAGCACAGAAAGATGTTGTTAACGGTACAGTTGCAATGGACTCTCTTGTAATACTAGTCAGAAATGATGAAATTGAAAGATTTACGTAGAAAGAACTCATAGTTGTAAAGGAATTATTATATTCATTGAGGGGCAACAGGCAACACGAATTGCATTGAAGAAACGTTATCACGTGGATTGCTATGGGATGCTCACAAGACATCTTCAAACTTTGAAGATACACACATAGACTCTTGAGGACATTAAGACAAAGGAATCCAAAGAATCGTAGACTATCAAATTCTTCTTTGATATTAAAAGTAGGAATTTCACAAAAAATTGAAATATTAGTAACTGTGAATTTAGAGAGAGCTTGTAGTTTAGTGACTAGAAAACTCTGGGATAGCAATCGGTGTAGAAGTTAACAGAGCAGCTAGTTACGAAAATATGGGTAAGATTGTGATGATAAGGTAATTATGATGCAAGTAAATAATTTGAAATCTTGATCAGTAAGGATTAAACTTTCCTCTGCGGAATGAAAATAAGATTTGGTTTTTGATAGACAAATAAATAAAGTTTTTTTTCAAGTAGAATTTAATGAGTAGAAAAGTAGCTGCTTTAACGATACATTCATTAGCTGCGTTCTCCTGTAGACACATCCTATTTCAAAACGAAGAATCACCTTAATTTGAAACCAATAAATGTTGACCATTATTGTTCTTTTTTAGTTGAAGCAAGGTAATAAGATTGAAAAACGAACTCCCTGGCTCATAATTCCATTCACAAATTTGAAAAGGCCGTAGTTTGATGTTCCATGAATCTCGCAAAAGTTCATAGATGAAAGGTTAAAGTTCAAGTGGGTAGGTGAAAGGTTGAAGTTTGTACCTAGGTCAAAGGTTGAAGTCGACAGAACATTGAGAGGCATAAAAGCTCAAGCTCGTGGTATTGAAATATTAATAGTTGAAACTTACATCAAAAAAACACTTTGCAATAATATTTCCTAAAGACAGAAAAAAACTGAATATTCTAACTTCCAGTGACAATTTAAAAAGAAAGGAAATCTAATTTGACAAATGATACCTAATTAAAGCCAGTGACACATCGCAAAGAACCAATGATGTCTCGGTTATAAAGACTACTATAATACTTTGTCGAAGAGCTTTGGTTCAATTTATCCAGTAGAGTTTCTTAATACCATAATTGGCAGATCATTGAGTTCTTATACCTTTTTATAAATGGCAGTGAGATGCTATTAGAAATTAATTCTTAGTAAAAGTAATAGACTAATAGATGAGTCATAGAAAAGTGCCTTGCAGAAACCTGATAGCTGTCTTATGTTTAAGTCTAAAAGACAAAGTGGTCTTGTTCTGTGTAAGATGAAGCTAATTGTGCTTGTATACGAATCTGTAGTTTTCATGTAGCCTATTTGATTAAATTTTGTTCGAGTAAATCGTAAAGAAACTACTTTTGCTGCTTTTACCTGCGATATTTTTGAGCATCTTTAAACAAACGATATTTTTGAGAATCCTACGATAATGTTTAGTGCTTTATTGAAACGTTTGTAGTATTTTCAAAGCAATGACAAATATCGGAATTTCGTCACAGTGACTTATGAAATGCTTCCCCGATTGTTAAATTTATTCTGTTTCATGTTTCATCAATTTATTCATTATGTCAAATTTATTCCGATTGTTAAATTCATTGGCAGCAGATACTGCAGACAAACTACAAAACTGTACAAAAACCATTTCAGCGATTGGCTAAAATAGAACTTTCAATCAATAACAGTCAATCATATAATGAGCTGTGATGTGAGCCAATCAGATTCACATGAAACCTTGAGAATGCCCACAGTTGCAATTTTCACCGTTTAAAATACAAAAACAGGCATCGAAGTGAACTTTCCAATAATAAATTTAAAAACTTTTTGGATAAATGATCTTAGGATACACAAGTGACAACAACAACAACAACAAAATTTCCATCTAGTTACGAGTCCAGGGCATTCGGTGAGAAATTCACATAAAAGGGGTTGAGTTATCCAGTGTTATTGGCAGCTATCTCAAAGTGGCACAAACTGCAAACCAGTATTCGAAAGCATGTCTTCAACTTGAGGAAATATTTAGCAGAGTGAAAGGAGCATTTGTTTCAGTACTTGAGAATCCTGGCCATCTGTCAGACAATAAGAATGTTAAAACAAAAATATCCTTGCGAGAAACCAGAAAAAAGACAAACATCTGAAACCATTATAGCAAAAATTCAAAAGTTTGTATTTGCTTCTAACTAGCATCTGAAGGTGGTTTTTAGGGCTGCGAGAAGCTATGCTTATCGAGCAGTGTCCTGGTTCTTCCTCTCAATGTGACAACACCTTGTGATTCCTACGCGTAAAATTGCAGAGAGCTAGCGCAGAGAGTTAGCTCTGTATGAACGTTACGTCATGTCAGGGACTTGAAACCTAAACCCTTGGGTCTGTAGTCCAGACCCTAATCACTGAGCTATCCTTGCGCCTTCATATTCATAAACTAAATGACAATGTTGAAATTCAGCTCTGAATTCAAACATTTAGAATTTAAGGGACAATGTAAAGACACCATAGTGAAGAAGAAAGAGATAAAAAATATTTAGTAAAGAAATTTTGATAGCCATACGATATGTAAGCAATATAAAAAACCAGAAACATGTTTCTCTTCAGGGTGAGGGAAGAGTAAATCCGTTGAACATAACGTTTGTTGATACATCCTTGTTCAAAGTTGTCTTGGGAAGGGTTCTCATTAAGTCTGAACAGAATTTCTGGTTTCTCAACTATGAAATAAAAGTTTCGGACACAAAGTCTTGAAAATTGCACGATTCTTTCGAAAAGTAATGAAAAATGATTTCTGTTATAGCACGATAAAGATAAACAGAACTCTTGTTTCGAAGAAATTCTTAACAGTCACCAGTTGGGCCATGGCCTTGTTGTCTAGAACTTTTCAAAGAAACTTGAATCAATTTATCAACCAGCATACTTCAATGTTTACGTTAAACGGAAGCTATGTAATATGCCAATCTCAAATCATTCTGGAAAATATGCTGTTTAGTTAACACTAATGAAATGAAACAATCAAGTCTTTTATGGACTTCATCAATAAAATTGGTTCTAAGGAAAGCACCAAGCAGACTTTATTAACAAGTTTTAGCAAAAACTCACAAACTTTGAAACAACAATTTAAAGAATCTCTCATAGAACACGAGATTTGAAAGTTTTCATTCGTTCTTCACGAATCACGACAGACAACAATCATGAACTTGCAAAGTCGTATCTTCAGCCTAACCAGCTTGGCGATGCTCATCAACCTAACGCACATCAGTCGTTCTGAATCACCTTTTCCTAAAAAATAAACGTTAAGGAAAGTTCAAAAACAACATAGGAGGGCGATTGATCTAATAATTGATTGGATAAAAGCGATTCATTAGAATGATAACAAATTCAAAACCAAACGAAAAATATGTTAAATTATGCGGAGACGTATTGAGGCAAACCAACCCGAAAACAGAGATTAAACCCCTTTCTAATTGAAGCCATCGTTTTCTTGTCCATTAAACATATACTTCCGACTCTATACATTCATAAAATGCCAGCTGATGTTCTGTGCAATCATATTTTTGTAATCCACACTGAAAACTCAATATACGAAGGTATTCTAAATGTCAAAGTTCCGGCTGCGGTTGCTTACGGCTGACCAAAAGCTATCAACCGGAGTAGGGGAAAGGTGTAGAAATCAGTGGAAGGGAGGAGATGAAGAGTGAACAACATTAAACTTGGTATAAATACCTGTTGCTTGAGTGAAAGAAACTTGGATCATGGTCTCGCGACCTCAAACGCTGCTGGCCTCGTCTATGGCCACGTGATGAATGGTGACCATGGTAACCAGGTCGAGCAGGTTGATTTGCTGCGAGCATTTCTGCAAAGATAGAAAAGAAGGTTCTTCAAAACGAGGCTGTTGTTTCCGAGTTCACATAAACTGATCGACTTGATTTGCTTCGTTTCAATCCCACCAAAATACCTTATTGTTGCAGCATATTTTCAAATGACTCTTAACCAAACGTAAAAGACCTTTATCAGAAGTTTGGTGAAAGAAGTCGATTGCTAGGGCATAAGCAGTGTGACGTAATGGTTAGATTAGGGGATAAAGAAGACATGAACTGGACAGTAGGTAAAAGTGATGTCATGATGACAACTCCAATGTGTCTTCCTAATTTTGTTTTGGCTTATTTCAAGATACCTAAAAGCATTTCAAGAAATTTAGGATACTGTCACTATTTATATAGCATGCTTCAAACAATAGACATTTGGGTGGCAATGCACTAACCTGGAGGGGGAAGGGGGGCTTGGGATGTTCCGGGCAGGATTAGTCCTAAGGATATCATGCTTTCTGGTACAATATTTTCAGAAATTTATTCCAGCACAGGTACGATGTAGGCAAATACGCGTCATCCTTCTCCAAAGTGTACCCCCCCCGGATGCATTAAGCAAAATTGCATAGGTTTTGAAGTCATATATCATGATCGTGTACGTAAAAACCAATGGTTATTGGTAACAAAACAAAATTGCACTTTACGATCATTACATCTATAATGAATTAAAATCCCTAAAAGGCCTGTCGATTGATTCATCGATTTTATGATGAAAAACACACAGTACACAATATTAACTTTTCTAGGCAGTAAAAGATCTGTACGATTCTCAGCATGTTTCCAACAGAATAAATGAGTTCCGAAGATGCTATGGAGAATTCCCTGTGTTATATCTCGGTAAAACCTCAGGAAAAACCTTGCCATACAAAGTATTGCTATACTCCAAACAGACCTGTGGTGCCTTTGACTCCAGTATAACTCTCTTACCGTTAAACGCCTCCTCCTCTTGTCTTTGATTGTAATCAAGCACCAATCTCTTCATCTCTTCATGTTCCGCTCTCTCTGCAACTTGTTTGTCTCTTATGTTAGCAGCAAGGTTTTCAGTCACAGGAATATTCAAGTCCTTAAATTGCTGTTTGTTTCCTTTCTTCAGCATGAAAACAAACTTGACACTCTCCGGATTCTCCTCGAATTGCTGTTTTTTGCCTTTTCCTCGAGGCAAGAAACAAGAATTTCGTAAGAAATAGCAAGGATAGTAAAGCCAGTTTTGTACAACCACGTATATCTTATTAAATATATTCAGAATGGTCTATTTTGTAAAGGTGAATTTATTTGAATTGCGAGAGAAAAATTAGCCTGGTGGAAATCCAGTTCAAGTTTCATCTCCCTACACATGGTTTGATTCCTTAAAAATTAAAAAATGGCACAATCATACCTTTTCCCCTTTCAGCTATTTTGTTTTACTAAAGAATTTCAGGAACTATGTGCTTCTCAATGAAAATAAACGAGATTTGCTCAAGCTATCAAAATTTTCACAGAAAAGAGGGACCACAGGCGCATAGGAGAAGTGGGGCTAGGAGGGCTACACCCCCTAATCTGGCAGCATTTATCGCATTTCAGGCCCCATTCAGGCAAAAGGCATCTTATTCAGACAAAAGCCATACTAAGCCCCCCCCCCAAGCACTTAGCATCAGGGGCGCCCATGTTAAGTAGTTGTATTCGGGAAAAAAACGAAAATATAACAGAAGCCGTTAAATGTTTCATATAGTTTTGTCCAGGATTGTTATAGTTCATATAATCAGTGATACTAAGCTTGCATTGATACCTTTTAGATGCATCGGAATGGCAATATCCACTGCTGTTGACTTCATAGCTTCAGTCAACCTTCCTTGAAAACTATCGCTCATCATTTTATCAAAAGCCGAACAGAAATCCTGATCATCAGCCGATTCTATAAATTTGGGGACTTCTTTCAGCTTAACCTTGAAATTGAAAACAAAGCAAATTTTTAAAATATCATAAAATAAATAATTATATTTTAGAATCAAAGCTTCATTATGGCTAAATAATATAAAATTCTAACCATATTCATATATAACTCCAAAAGTAACTTGCAAATATTTGGACAAATACAATACATAATAAAAACATAAAAGCCTAACGCAAAAGTATTTGTCAAGGTCCAACGGAAGCAAGAAGTCGAAGCTCACAGGTTTACTAGCTAACAACGTATATGAATATCTTAATACTAAAATGCACACTTCACGTAATTGAGGACCTTTTGCCTATGTAAATGGCGTCACCCATTCTCCTGTATAAAAACGACTATCTGATGTGCTTAGAATTTCTACTTGAGAAATGTTTAACCTTTAGATGGTTTTATCCATTACTTATATCACTAGAAATATCGTTACTTACATTGTCATCAGTCTCAATTTCGAATATATTTCCATCTGTTGCCTCGTTTTGATCTTCCATTAAATCGTCACCACTAATATAGTCAGATTCGCATTCATCCTCCTCCCCAGAGGACGATTGTGATTTAAAAGAAGGTGACATAGAACATACTGAATCTCCTAATGACGTTCCGGATAATTCAGAAGAAGGAAGTGGAACCAGAGTCGGATCAATAGTGGGCTTTGGTATTGCTTCTGGAGCAGTTTCATCGCGCAAAGACAGGACACTGACTGTAAAATTAAAGATGATAAAAAAAACGAACAAGTAAAGAACCTCTCCTATGATAGCTGTTTTATCAATGAATCTGTATCGAGCTGCAAAAAGTTATTAAAATTTGTAATTTTTGAGAGATTTTGAAGAAAATTATTGAAGAAAAAAAGCAACTGTTAGTGTTAAAAAGAATTAAGGTAAACGAGCCAAGCATGAGCCCCGTGAACCATTCAAATGTTTTAGTTATCCACTGTGATCAATTTGCTGCAAAAATCTATCAAAACCCACCGATTTTCTCTTGGCATTCTTTTTCAATCTCTTCAGCAGCCTTATAAGCATCTTCTGCAGTTGCATGCATGCTTATCTTCGGTCTGAGAGATTCGAATGTATCTGATACCATATAGTCGAGGTCACGAGGAAATGGGCATTTCTCATTCCAAAGGCCACTCTGCTTCTTTCGCCAAATATAGCACTGTATAATGGAAAGTTACAGGTTACCATCAGTTACTATTGTTAACCCGGTAGGTATTGATGGTTATGACGTGAAGATATATTCTGTGTATTTTTGTGCAATTATGACTTTGTTAAGTTCTGGAAATCCTACTTCGTCCGTAGTTACAAACATCTGAAAATACGAAGAAATTCAAACTCCGTGCAAACACGTCTACATGGAAACTAAATATTACGAAATGAACTTTACGGAGTAACAAATAGCTTTTTCACACATCTGAAAAGCAATAAAAACACGATACCTGGAAGTAAACAAGGAAATAATCTAGTTTCTTCTTGGTGGATCCACGGTCGAAATACTGGCCACAGCTGTCGAGCAGAATACAGACAAGCCGAATTCTGAACAGGTGTTCTGGTGGATCTAACTCTGAAAGTGTTCCTATAATGAGGTAAGGAATAGGATTACTGAATACAAGCGAGAAAAAATATAAATTAGTCTAGAAAGATCATGAACAGGAAGATCAGCAGAGCAAAGGGGTTAGGAATTCTGAGTTCTAAATACATAGTCCAAAATCCAGCGAAAACTGGAATTTGGACATATTTGCGATCAGGCACCCGATTATCCGACCAACTGGATATCCGGTACACCCCTATCGTGAAGTCTTCAATGCTACTACTCATATCATGGCAAATCCTCCCGCCCTGTATGTCTTTAAAGAAGAAATCTGAAAGTATAGGAGTTGCCAAACAAAAAATGGGTCAGTAGATGAGCGCCCATGGAGAAGCACCCATATACTCAGTTGACCAATAAAGGGGCAACTGCTTATCGTTCAAGTCTCTTAAAATGAGGAGATTATCTCCAGCTCTTAAAAGAGGCGCTTATATGGGGCCACGTCGTTGTTGCAAGGTTCTGTTGTTAGCACGAACTGATTATGTTAGTGTAAACACCAGCACGAATTGATGCAGGTCCAAAATGTATCTTACCCGTTAAGATCTGACAGTGTCGACGGGGTTTACATTCTTTACATTTTACAAGATAGAACATTTCGAGACAGAAAATATCAATGTTTTACCGTCAGCAACACTTCCAAATGAAATGAGCGAGTAAAGGGTGGTGAAAATGACGTCAGACTCGACCAGTTGGTAGTTGAAGAGCTCGCCAAGGTATTTGATAATGCTAATACGCTGCTGGTTGAATTTTGGGATGTTAACCTGTAGAAAAAATCATTTTTTTTAAGGGAAAGTGGCTTTAAAAAAATTATCAGTTATTTGCAACTCTGAACTAGCTTGTTTCCCCTTTCAAGAGTATATTAAATGTTCTTCTGTTATCAACAATCACCATAATCAAATTAACATGAAGTGAATATGTAAAATACAAAATTTCAGACCTAGATGCATAATTGCCACTAAATTTGCCAAATTTTAACACCATAAACGTAAGATGTTGCAATTACAATCCTACCCTTTACTGTGTCACATATGTTTAAGAAATAAACATTTGGGAAGGAAATTTTGTTATAAAGGCACATCCTGCCAAACAAACGTTTTAAATAGCTAATGCTGGTGACAAATCTTTGAATTTGTATAAAATTCTTTCTCAGCATTTTAATTTAATGTATTGGGATTAGGAAATTGGATTAATCTTTACTATATCTTTGAAAATCCATCTACTTCTGATGTGACTCTTTCTTTATTCTTTACAGAAAAAATGAAGAAATTGTGAATCCTGGTTTTTGGTTCTCTCTTTAGGAAATAAGAATAAATATTTTTCGTACTCACCTCCATTCCTAGCCTAACATGTTCAATAACTTCATCAACAACATACACGCCAACATCTTCCTGTAGCAAAATCAAATTGAAAATCTCAATGCCTGTTGGTTAAATTTCCTATAAAAACTTTTTCTACGTTTCTAAACACAGAAACATGTTCAAAGGTAATGTTTCTTGGCTATATTTCTTTCGTTAATATGGCCTTGATCTGTTTATCAACCTTTATCATAAACAGGAGACCTCTATAATCAAATAACAATACTGTCTGATGATAAAGAACTTTCTAAATTACACTAAGTTTCTTTTCCTAAAGTTGAGACGATATCTATACAGGTAAACTTGCTAGGAACCATTCAGTCAAAGGTCAATATAATCATCTAAACATTCAAACGAAGAACATGTCCACGAAATTTATCTAGCAGTTAATTATTTAATTAACCGAATAGATTAAGTAACCTAGAAGTAAGATATTTATCAAATCAGTAATTGACGTTGAAAAATAATCGCAAAAAAGTCTCAAGGGATATTAAGCTTACGTGATATTCACTCAGTCCGGAAAGCATATTCGCTGCACAGTGGATGTTACTGTATTTCACGTTCCATATTTTACTGAGGCACTTCACAACGTATTCCTTGATCTAAACGGAAGTAGTTATTAAAGATAGGAATTAGAGATGTATAAATCCATACATTCATCAAATTATGCAATAAATCACTGACAGGCAAAAACATTCATTCAGAGGATCGTGGTTTCGAATAATTGTTGAGGTAGGCAGAACTAGCATTTCTACTCGCAAAGTTGAAGTCGCCTCCACAGTCATGAGAAATGGTCTACAAAAAGGCAGAGGGTCTAAAATCAGGGTTAACTTTTGCATCAGTTCATTCTAAGCATCTGGTGCTCCTTTCAAAAGTGCTTTGACGTCAACGTTGCTGAAAATAATGGTAGTATTCTATTACGGGGAAAGACATCAACTTGCAACATCGTCGCTCAACCAAAGAATATTCATAACAAGATTCAATACCCCCGATTCAAGGAAGCGCAGGTAAAACTAAATTGGCAATATGCAGTAATGATGGTAATGAAGATTTAGTTTTTACGTATAGGCAGAGCTGTACACATTTGGTATATAAAGAAGAGAAGTTCTAAGTTGTCTGATGACGCCATTCATCGTTGACTGATGATAGCACATGTCATGGAATTAGTAATGATGGCATATAGCAAAAGATAACATGAAATAGACTCACCCCTGGCTCATCCCAAGACAGCTTCCGCATTTGCCTCAGGACTTTCTCTATTGTTGTCTTTGATAGATCTTTATACAGCAACTTTCGTATATATTCTTGCATGGGTGGCCTCTCCTTAACTTGAACCTAAAGGCAAGCGTTAAGAATGGAATCAGGCTGGGTAACTTTCCAGTTTAGACCCCCTGAGCTATCTGCCTCTGCACCTTGTACTAAACACTTTAAGTAGTAGTTGAAAAGTTGAGCTAAGAATTTAAACTATCAAAAATATAAGTTACAAATCATTTCACCAATGAACATAAAAAACCTTACCTTCTGTCTCTCTGGAGGGTTGCAATAATAATAAGCATTTTCAATCATCGTGGAAAGCCTTGAGTCGACAGCCTGCACTGTCTTTTTCCGCATCATTTGTTCCTGTGGAGGAGTTGGATAAGAACATGATTCGAAAAGACAACACCAGCTTTAACGTAGAAAACAACTAACAAATTGAAGGAGTCGAAGAAAGAATGAAAACAATGATATCAAATCATCAAAAAGACAAACAACATAAATTTATCGGAGACCAAGTTCCCCAACACGACAAACACAAAATTAATAAAACTTAAGAAGTCAATCTAGCAAGATGAATATGCTTTACAGATATATACGTCGAAAAAAAGCAAATATTTACAATAAAGTGTGGTGGGGTAAGTTTTTTGTCAGGTTGAAAACTGTTGAAAATATTTTCAGAAAATTTTGTCAGTGGACTAAAACTTAGGCTTTGGGCTACTTCTGTGGCCGAAAAGTGGAAAATGGAAAAGAAAAAAACTTGTTGAAAAAGAGTTCAATAAAGGAGAAAAAATTGGCAAGGACAATTTCGTTCTCTTACTTCGTTCTAAACATAATTGTTTTGACGAGATTTTTACTATACTTTCAGACGCCATATTATTACTTATATCAAGAGAAAAATCTTCGTCGTTTGTGTGGATATTATCCCTCCCCCAAGTAAAATGATCAATTTTTGCCTTGAGAACTAAGTGGAAAATTAAAGAATTCGACAAACGAATTATCACAATGCCATGCAGAATTTTTTTCAAACAACTGATCTTAAAAGAATATTGCAGTACCAAAAGCTTGATCATCCTGGGGTGCGACTCTGGTGATCGATACAGGAATCTACCACAAGTTTCCAACAAGTGACAAGCCATCTCTATATTGTGGTGAGTAAAATCTTCTAAAAGCATCTGAAATTAGAGAGAAAGTTCCAAAGATCAAATCTATTCTACTTTAATAAAGATAATTCATAAAATCAAGTAAGGCTTGCTTTTTCTTTTGTTTTGAAACAAAGGATAACAGTGTGATTTTCTCCGGTTTTGATGTAATAAAATTGAGTATCTTTGAATTTCAATAAACTGATCTTTGAAATAAGCATAGGTTTTTTTAGAATTTTATGATGGTACAAAAGTTGAAAAAGGCTTTATGATAAATAAACCACTGAAGACACACTTAATCTTTCGTCGGACACACACGACGATCGTCTTTATGACATTTTCTACTCTGAAGAGTGTAATAAGAAAAGCTTGCGCATATCTGAGAATGTTTGTTTTTTCACATCTATTATACTTTATTAACTGAAATAAATATTTTCTAGTTTAACTAGCAGTCTTTTATTACATACAATACCTTATGATTTCAAGAAACAGGTACTTGAAGTTGCTTAAAAGATTTGATACACACCTTCAAACAATACAGAGCCTCTGCTTTTGGGCAAACCTTGAATTTGGTTAATTCTCCTGAAAATAAAATCAGTTCAGAAATCTTTTAGCATATTTTTTAAAGATTCGTATTGTACATTGGAAAACAGGGACCAGTACCAGGAAATTTTGAAGTGGGTAGAATTTTTTTAGGTAATTTGCCCTTTGTATCTACAAAAATACACTTAAGTCTCCAAATGATGGAAGAAATTTCGCGATTGGTTGACATAGATTAGATTTGATGACAGCACAATTGTTTTTTCCTCATATCGTTGCAGGAGTTATTAAAAAAAGTCTCTGTTTCCAGGAAGGAACAATATTTATAGGCTCCTGTGCGTTTAAAAACTCAAAAAATAGATACTTAGAATTATCTTATAGAGACAGTACCAGATGAAATATTTTAACCTTCAAATGAAAAACTCGCTCATTAAATATTGCTTTTTATTTGGCAAATTTTGGTGTCATTCAGTATTATTCCTTGTTCTCTTTCCTGTGGGAGGTGAAATCTTCTGGAAATAAAATTTGAGTTCTGCGAGCCTCCTCATAACATCTAGGCAACAGTGCTGAGCAAAGTGTGTGACCTGAGGGATATCTCATATAAGCACGTAATAAACTGTCATCAACCCAGTGAGCCTCGATGCGAAAAGGAGGCAAAGGATACCATTCTCTCTAACTGACAAGCACAAAACTCCATATCTTTTCTTCTGCATGGCAATTGTGAAGAATCCTCATTAATGGCGCATCAACACCCCGTTTATTTCTCTCGTTGCCATCAAAAGGCCCTCTATAAACTATCCCTTAAAACAACACTGATTTGTGCTTCTGTTTACAAGCTTTAGGCTTATGTGTCTACTCTACATTTGTTTACAAAATGAAATAAAAACACATTACTATAAAGTGACAAAAGCTGGTTTACATACCGATAAATCTTACAGTTTTCACTTTCGATTCAAGGTTAATCTGATGCTTCTTTCGCAGCTAGGAAAAAAAATTTCTTCCATTTATCAAAAAATATCTTCTTTTTATAATATATCATTTTCAACCTTTACTTTTTGGAACTTTTCATGATTCATCTTCAAAGCCAAATTTGTGGAAACGTAGGGATGATCACCAGATCCAGACTCACGTCGATTACAAAATTTTGACAAAAATAAACTTTGGCGGTAACTCATCTTCCAGCAATTAAAATAAGTTGACACTATTTATAACACTTTAAAAAACTTTTATAATACTATTGAAATACTTAAAATAATACTTCAAACTGTCAGTTGGCCAAACGGCAGGAATTTACTTTACTTTAATTCTTGTCTAACTTCAATGTTCTTAAGAAATTTACATTTTAAACCTGAATATACTCTAAAAGTGTTCATATTTTTTAAAATCTGATATGGTTTCAGAAGAACATCGCCTTCTCTTCAATAAAATCCACGCAATTTGAAAAAACGAGATATGTTAAACAGGCAACTGCTGAAAAATGAGACATAAACATGCAAACTGAGGCTGAGCTATTTCTAAGATGTTCTTAAAAATTTGATGATTCAAAGTCTGATTATTCAGATTTCTTCATTTTTAAACGTACGATTATAAGAATCAACAGTGGTAAGTAATGGTTGATTTCATACGACTCCAAATCTTGATCAGTTATTTAGAAATTGACCTGTATACGAGGAAATAATTTGCATGGAATATCAAGAGCAAAAATAAGTTTCGTGATTGGTTGCCTAATTATTAACACGAAGTTGTCCCGAGCAACAAGTCCTTTAAAATAGATTACCAGTTGGTCCCTACAGTGACAGGAAAATATGTGATAAACTTTGTTATATAAGTACTCACATGGAAGCGAAAGTCGCCCTTTAGAAGGAAAATCAAATCCTGGGACACATCGGGCAGGCAAGGTGCTAGGGTGGCCACAAGGCGACCATAGAATGGAAGCAAATCCAACCTGCAAGCAAGGTACCACGATGAAAGAAAATATTTTCTTTTCTGAGATTTTAGAGCTTAAAGGAAAGAAAGCTAAGTTTGTGCAAAAATGAAAAATCCTTAATGTTAGGCCGCGAGAACGTGTAAAAGCATCTTCAGAAAGTAAAATGGAAATAAAGGTATTTTTGAAAGAAATTGTTTTATATTCATACGTTTCTCAAGCTATTAGCAAAATCTTGGTTTACAGCCTTTTTTGAGTTCAGAGAAATTCTCCTGAGAATTTATGGGATGAGACCGAGCAGAGGAAGTCATTTCAAAGGGACCTCTCGGTAGTATAGTTGCATAACTAACCACAGAAAGAAACAAGCATGCGCATATCCGAAGGGAGGGGGGGCGTAAAAATACTGAAGGTAGGTAAAATGGTAACACAGTGACGATAAGTGACGATAACGATTTAACGAAAGTTTTCATGGTTATGTCAATTTTAAAGGCAGGGAAGAAGCTATGAGTGTGTTGAAGGAGCATTCGTATTTCTATGCATTACGCTGCGAGCATATGATTTGGCAAGACAACAGGCTGTCTAAACGACAACAGTATCGGACATAAAGGTATGGAGGGAATTACGCAGGGTTTTATAACGCAATAAGATAAGTACTACCTCACAGAAGGTCCGGTGCTCATTGTGATGGATGCTGCAATTGCTATCTTGCGCACTAAGTAACAAGAGAGGGAGCGGGAGGGGGTGGGGGGTGTGAGTGTCACGGCTTTGGGCTCGGATTTGAAAATGTCACCGGGTAGCTCGTTTCGTAAAGCAAACGAGGTATTAACCTAAATTGCTGGTCGTCGGTTAGAGTCCTGCCCTACTAGCGTTACTTGCTTATATTTTCCGCCACATATTTTTCCCAATTTGGTTCTCCTATCAATAGGATAATCCGAAAACAGAGGCTGTGATGTTTGGCAATTTCTAAAAAATCAATACAGCTTGAACAGCTTCAAGAGAGCAATTTAATAAACATGAAAACCTGATATTACCTTGTCCGGCTAACCCTAAACAGAGTTCGGATTAGTTTCTTTCTGTTGTCTTTTCTGTTCATCTTCATGATGAAAGTTTCGGCAGCCTAGAGGTAAGACGTGACGGATAATTTGACACAAATCGACAGTTGATAATGAACAGAAGCTAACAATCTAGAATTGACGGTTTCTGGTCCCTTAAACCAAGGTGTGGTAGGGTGGGGGTACACACATAGATTCAAAATAACAAGCAAAATTGAAGGCTCTTATACCCTTTTGATTAAGAATTATCAAAAATCCGAGACTAGAATTTTTACTGCCACATAGATGACACAATCCATATATAACTTAAAGTTCCTTAAAAGAGCAAAATTTGGCACAAAGAACCTCATAAATCATTCTTGATCAACGACCTTTTCGATTCCTAACTAGTAACCTTCAAAATATCTCTTCTCGTGCCCTCCGAAGCCTATTCGAAAATACCATCGATGTTTCTGTTGTACATTTGTTGTTTATTTTGAATTGGTGGAATGCAGTTAAACGTTTTGTCCTGTGTTTCGACATCACCGAACGACATCTTTATCACAAAACCTGATAAAGGATCTGGAGTTGTCATTTTGAACAAAAATTAACTACATCAAAAAATGGGGGAAATTCTAGATGACAAAGAAAAATTTGCCAAATCTGGTGATGTCGAAACAAAGGACAAAAAGGCCAAACTAGAGCGGAAACTCAAAAAACCTTTGTTGGCACTGGTCAACTTAAAAGCGTTGACCACGGAAATTTTCGATAAGACCAAGATAAAATTTTCATGCATTGTCACTCTAAAGAGATTCCCATGCACCTCCATTCCAGAGAGATTTCTATGCATCTCCAAAGAGATTTCTATACACCTCCATTCCAGAGAGATTTCTATACATCTCCATGCCAGAGAGATTCCCATGCATCTCCAAAGAGATTTCTATGCATCTCCATTCCAGAGAGATTCCCATGTACTTCAAAAGAAATTCTCATGCAGCTCCAGAGAGATTCTTGTGCATGTTAAAGAGATTCCTGTGCATCTCCAGAAGAGATTATCACACATCTCTCTTCCAGGGAGAACCCCGTGCATCTCAGTTTCTTCTCTTTGCTATCAACAAATCAACTCAGTGTGTAGGGATTGCAAGCAATGCAAGTGAAGAGGCCAAGGCAGGGCAAACTTTTGCTTGGATGAGAGGTGTAGCAAGTACAGATGCTTAAAAAAATCCCCAAAAATATATTTTGTTCACTAGGAAGTCATCCACAAATAAATTTCAAATTGATCAAATACCTGATCTATAAAATCCCTGTTCACGCAAGTGACAAGGTTCTGCATATATTGTTCAACTATTTGTGCCATACTCATCGCACCAGAATTATTTCCAGCTTCGTTGTCGTCAGCCTCTAAAAATTTTATCGAAACATAAACTTTTTGTTATCTCAGCCTGCCTTTTCACAACCTTGATAATATGACTAGTTCATGAAGGTGATCAGGCTTTCTCGAAAAGGGACAGTGTTCCATTAGAAGAGAAAATCTAAATTAAAGGCATACGAAAGATTCGAAAACTATCCATCTGGGGTATTCAAAATAGATTCTTCTAAATTCTTAAAAAGATCTTTAGAAAAAATGATAATCGCAAAAATTATTTTCTGTTGAATTGGCGGAAAAACATGAAGGTAAATCATCGAGAAAATTGTATTTTCTGCATTGATAAACATGTGGCAAAAAGGCAAGTCTTCAGCTACAAAGACAAGTCTTCAGCTGCAAGTGTTTCAGTGGATTGTTGTTGAAATATCCCAATATAAGGCTTGATAGACAACAGACTATAAAATTACGTAATGAGTCCATGATTTCATTTTTAAGTAGTCAATCAATCACAACAACGTACGTACCGTCCCCAAGTATTTCTTGTTCATAGTTCTCATCTATATCATCGTCACTGAAATCCATGTAGTCGTCATCAAGATTGACTGTAAATGAGTACAGCAAAATGTAAATTCGCAGCACCGTAAGTGAAAGTACTAAACAAACTTATTCAGGGGTCATTTTTATTTTAGAAGGAAAGGGTCGATAGATGCTACCCTGGGTAACAGAGACACATAAATTCAAGCGCTGAAATAGAAGATAGGAGTGGAGAAGGGGAGGACTGCTTGGTTTTCTCCTTACTCATTCGAAATTTTGAGGCTCTGGTACCCAGGGTAAGTAGATGCTCGACTTCTTCTTTTCTCTAGTCGATGTCCTTTCATATCAAACATCTGATTTACAATGTCCATCTTTTCTTGACTTTCTCTCCCGCAAGGAGTTGTTGCCAAGAAAAGAGTTCAATCATTCTATAGCATTAAACCATTGAATAATTTTGTCTAGTCTTAATAAAGAGAGGGGAGTTAAAGATTGGACTTGGTGGACCTTATAGAGTGACATATCCACGATAACATAATATCAAAGTAGATTACATCATCCTAGACTGGCAACAAGTCACCCGAGGGCAAATTACTCTAAGAAAATCTCGTACACCTTTTGTGAAAATCCTTTTTGTTTTATCTGAAAATCCCCAGAAACCCCTTTGTTCTAAGCAAAATCTTGTACGCCATTTGCAAGAGTGAATCGCCCCTCGGAGTCAACCTCAAGGCATATCTGCCATGACTTGTCGATAATAGCAAATCTAATAACAGAGAAATATTTACACAAGCTTACCGAAAAAGGAACAATACAAATCCAGTTAAATCCGAACCATATCAAAAATTTGAGCATAAAGGATAAAGTTTGAACACGATGAACAGAGGATAAAAAAGAAAAGACATATTCGAAATGCTAGAAGATACTAGAAATAAGCTGAAGAAACTCTTGACAATGACAAAGTAAGCATTAGGCTAATCGAAGAAATTCTAGAGTGTTATGTGCCACCATTGGTGTCAGCAATTGGTGTCAGGTATTTTGTGCTTTAGGTTTGAAACTCCTTTGGACATTTTTTAGAGGTTGTGTAGCCAGGCCTGGTTGCTTTAATACATGAAAGATTATCAGTGAACAGCCAAAAAACAGCACATTTTTAAAGTTAAAGATTGAAAGCCAAGGGGCACTTAGGAGAAGTGGTCCTCCATTGATAGAACTTGTTGAGGTCGAAAGACACCAAGTTGGTACAAACCCTTTCTTGGTACAAACGGTACAAACCCTTTTTTGCAATGTTTTATTTTAAATTTTATCAAGTAGATGGTCTGGTCAGGGCCGTCGAGAGACAACTCGGGCCCAGGGGTGATTCACAAAGCTCGACTCCTTAAGAAAAGGCCATACGGTCACGCCCTTCCGTCTCCAGGAGAACTAGGGAAACGCCCTTTTAGTTGCAATTGTTGAAAAAGGCTCCGCCCCAGGCCCCCTCCCCCCCACTGCTGCAGCCCTGGGTACGCCAAAGATTTGTATTGAATGAGAGTTAGAGTTAGAGTTGGAGTCCTGTAGTCTTAAAGTCATGAAACGTCAGTTTACAATGAACGGAATCTCTCTCTGGGTTATCGTCTCCCACCGGCAAGCAAGGGCCCGTTACCAAAAAAGGCCGCTTCTGAGATCAGTAATCGACAGCAACAACAACATAGCCGATGGTTCCCGATGACCCGGTTTTCATATGTCATAAGTCATCGCAGACTGTCATAGACCATCGGGAAGCTGCATCGGGGATCATCGACGACGAATTACGATATATGAAAACCAGCCTTTAGCATAGGGTTATTGTCGCTGTTTCTTGTTCTCTTGCAATCATGTCTAAATGGATATCTTCGTACGAGAATGGGCGGCGTTACGCTAAGTCATAGGAAGACAAATATTCATGGGTTAAACAAGCTTTTGATGGATCACAAAACGCTTTTTGCAAGTTATGTCACCAAGCAATTGCTCCAAAAGCATCTAATCTGTCGAACCACGAGAAATCAGAAAGACATGCAAAAAATATGAATTATACCTTATTTTTGAGATCAATTGTCGGATAATGTCAAATTAACACTAATTTGCAAAACCTTTAGATGCCTCGTTTTCATTTCTTCGATTCTATTGTTATAAAACCTCGTTTTCATATTTGGCTTAATTTTGATTTTTGACACAAGATTTGGCTTTGGCCAATTTTGAGACCTGGCAACCCTGCTGGGCTGTAACTCAATGGCGCTGTCCTAATTTGATGAACAAAGTACAATGATTGATTCATGCAAGCGACGCCGAACCATATTTATTATTGTTACAGGAATAATTACTGTTGTTTATGTGATTGCTTTTACACGTCGTGGTTGGGAACGGAAAAATGCAGGACGTCAACGCGATCCTCACGCTGTTTGTAAAGAGGAGATGGAGCCCTGGTACCCCGAATGGAAAAAGTCAGTTAAGAACAATACAAAAATTATACTACTGTATTCAAGTTGGTTTGGGGACAGATTTTGGTGGACGATGAAAGGTCAACAAATATACCGCCATTTTACTACTTGCGAAGGGCCAAAGAATTGTATTTTAACTTACGATAGGTCATGGCTTAAAAAGGCTGACGCTGTTGTTTTCCATGGCAGAGATTTAGAAGACCATGCAAATAGCTTTTATAGTGGTAAAGTTCTGAAATCATTGCGGGAAACTGTGCCGAAATGCCAAAGGTGGATATTCTTTGCTCACGAGAACCCTGATAAAGATCCGGGAATTTATCAACAATATGATGGTCTCTTTAACTGGACGGCTACTTTTGATAGGCGATCTGATATATTTGTACCCTATTCATCATATGAGGAGAATAAAAAAATCAGTTCTAAAAAAACTGACTACGCAAAAGAAAAAACAGGTATTGTTGTATGGGCAGCAAGTCATTGCAAGTTAATACGAGATAAATATGTAACTGAGTTGCAAAAGCACATAAGTGTTATTGTGTATGGAAAGTGCAGCAAATATTTTAAGAAAAGGGGAGAACCTTGTGTACACAACAAAAATGAATGTACAAAAGTACTCTCAAGATATAAATTCTACCTTGCTTTGGAAAATGATTTTTGCCATGATTATGTTACTGAAAAATATTGGGAAAGAATACAACAGGATGTTGTTCCAGTGGTAATGGGTGCAAATTATGACAAAGGAGTTGCTATTCCAGGATCATACATAGATGCCAGTGAATTTGAATCAATCCAAAAACTAGCTGAGTATCTACTGTATCTTGACAAAAATGATGATGAATATAACAAATATTTCAATTTCAAAAGAAGGCCATTAAAAAAATATGCAAGTCTTTTCTGTAGAATTTGTGCAAAGCTACATGAAGCCAAATTGGAGAATCCAAAGCAAATTAAGCTTTCAGAAGTCTACAATTATAAGAAAAACTGTGGAATTTATAAGAATAAAATTGCAAAGTTTGAAAAACAAATAGAAGATTCACAAAGTAAGGATGGATTTTTTGGATCAAGATTATGGTACAAAATCAAGTCATTGTTCTTTAAGTTCGGAGGATAGTAATTCAAAAGTTTACAAGATTGTCCTCAAAGCAGGATATCATCAGAAATGTGTGCCATTGCACACCCTGGCACACACCCTGGCACACACCCTGGCGCATGCCTTCTGAGTTTCAGTAGTGCAAAATATCACATGCCTACTTTTGTTTTGAGAGCAAAATTCATAGTTACTGGCTTTGTGGGTTTTTGAGACAGGTTTAAATGTTTACCCTTGCTTGGTACTACACCTTGTCAGGATTGCGGACTAATTATTAAAATTTGAAATAATCATAGGAATAATCTACAGTGTAATCCTGATGTTATGAATTGAGAAAAATTATGGTATGAGAAAAAATGTCTGGCCTCTTGGATTCTGCATAACTCTGTACAAATTTCCTTGGTAACCCATATATATATAAAGTGTAAGTGTAAGAACCTTAAGGACATTTTGGTCAGGGCTAGGCTCAGTAATCGAGGATAAGGGGGCACACATACTAAGGGATGTTCTGGTTGTGGTAAAGCTCGTTGTCAAGTGTGTAATGTCATGAGTAACTGTGATAGTTTTAAGTCTAAGGTAACTGGTTAGGAATATAAGATAAATTACTCGTTTAACTGTGATTTGTCGAATGTGGTGTATCTGTTAGAGTGCAATGTTTGTGGTGTGCAGTATGTTGGTAGCACTAACACGACCTTTAGATTAAGGTTTGATAACTATAAGGCATGTAATCATAAGTTTAGTCAGAGATCCTCAGTACCTCAGGCAAAATTTTTCAGGCACTTTTCTGTAGAAGGCCACCAGGGGTTTCTGCAGGATATAAGGGTTAGTATAATTGATAGGCTTACTTGGGGGAATAGGATGCGAGAAAGCTTCTGGCAGTATAAGCTAGACAGTTTTACTCCTAAGGGCTTAAACACTAGGCATGTTGATACACAGATCTTAGGCTATTTCTTTGCATACAATTTTTTCTTTTTCTTTCTTATTATTTTATGTCTCTTTTTTTCCTTCTGCCACTAGCACATGTTTTTTACCTTCTTTGTGTATCTATTATTCTTCTTAAACAGGTGTTTTTTTCTGCTACACATATCATTTGAGCCCCAGTGAGACTTGCATTGCCACCTACTTTAGCAGCACCTTCTCCTGTGCTTTCTTCTAACCCTCCCATTGAGTTACACTTTTAACAATAACTATTGTAATAGGCAATTTTACTCTAATTTCCTCATTGGGTGATTCCATAGCAACTTGACACAAAAAAATTGGATTGGACACCAATGTCTCAGATTTTTCTATATTTTTCTTCAAACTGTTCACCATGTCTTAGAACCATTACAGAAAAAATTTCAGCCTGCTATAACATCTTGTTTCTGAGATATTGCTTTTTGATTCATGATCGTTTACGCCCTTAAGAATGGTGGCAACGCCCATTTTTGATGCGGTCCATTTTCAAAAATTTGTCTCTAATTTCTTAACCAAATGACATTTTTGGGTAAAAATTTCCAGTTTGGGGTAGTTTCATGCGCAGATTTTAAGTATTACATTAAAAACACAATCCTAGCTATCATTCATATTTCATTGATTAAAATAAACTTAAATACATCATATGCGGAAATTGAAAAAATGCATGTCTTTGTTTTTATATAATGTTGGGTGCGGTCAATTAACCATTTTGAAAATTTACAGAACTGTTGTCCATAGGTATAGATATATACTGAAGAAGTTATGAGATGGTAAGTTGTCCTGTGTAAGAAAAAGAAGCTTTTAAAGTTATGATATATTTCTAGGTATACAGAACAACTTGTAGTCACAACTTGAATACCCTTCTTCATCTACATTGTATTTCTATAGCAATATAAACGGATTTAAATCAACATAGATAACTACACTGAAATTATATGTCATCAATTCCTCTTTTTGAGAGAGAGAAAAGCCTATACCTGTAGAAAACATTTGATTGATTTTATATATATCATCAAATGCTATAAATGCATGTAATAAATCTGAATATTGTATATCTTTGCTAGATTTATGTCCCCAAAGAGATCCTTTATTGAAAAATTTCCCCTGATTTCCTTCAGAAGACCTTTTATTTTGCGTGTTATATTTCCTATACCTTCTCAGAACTGTCCACTAGTAGTTTCCCTGTAACTTATAAAATCATTTGTATCCTGTAACTGTTGAAATCATTTGCTTCTTGTTTTTGGCTTCTTTTCTTAGATAATAAAAATTTACACATTCATGCAAATATCAAAATACAGTTGTTATGAGGTCATTCTCTAACTAACCACAAAACAAAATGTATTTTGATGATTATTGAAGGGTAAATATTGGTCAACAGCTTGGCAGACATTGCTGGGGTACCATAAAAGCCAGACTCCAATACCCAGGACCTTTAGACACTAACAACAAAAAGGACCCTCAATACCAAAGGTCTTCAACTTCCATATAATAGTAGTTGATCACAGTTGGTTGTCAGCATCCTACAATCCCGATTTAATCTGTTATAAGTCATTTATCAATCTAGATCCTTTTGTTGTTGGTCCTCAAGGGTCCTGTAACAAAGGATCTAGAGTCTGGTTTTTACGGTATGCAGACAGGAATGATTTGTAGTGTATGATGTTAATGTGATGACATATATTGTGGAGGTGCTTCCAATATCAACCCATGTGATGTGATGTAAGGCATGATGAGGTAATATTTATTTTGAGACATGTGTACTTATGGGCAGATTTATCAGTTAGGAGTCAGTTTTGGTTTAGGTTGCAGGTGAGAGCACAATTTAAGAAAATAAGTATGTCGGTTGAAATTTTGGAGAGCTGTTCTCTTGGTAATCTGTTAGGGGAGGTATGTCACAAACTAAGTTATTCAAAGACGTCTGGTTTAAAATTGCTTGCAGAATTAAGCAGTGACGAGAAATATCTTGTAATATGGAGAACAGGCTTAGAAGACAGTATAGGTAGCACAATATGTTATCATCACGAGCACACAGTTCTTAAGAGGTATGCAAGTACAAAAACAAAATGTTGCAATCCGTTCAAAAAAGAAAAACACACTGCCAGAGGCTCCTTGAGAGAGATTAGCTTAGAAACTGCAAAAGAAATGAAAATTTTAGGAATCAATGTTACTCCTGGAGACAAATTATGTCCTGCATGCAGGATCGAAACTGACAAGCACAAAGAGTACCTCCCTACAGGCTCATATTCTTCCAGTGAAGTAGATCACGATGATATCAATGAGCAAATGGAATTGGAAATAAGTGTTGAAGACAGTAGAGAATTTCTGAGCTCTACTCTTAATGAAGCAGAGGTAAGTCCATTGAAGTTACATGCTATTGGAGGGCATTCTAGAACCAGTTATGGCAAAAGGAAAATGTTACAGGTTCAAAGCAAATTTCAAGAAAAACAGTCACAAGTTCAAGAAAGCATAGCATATGTTTTAGATGTGAATCCAAAGGAGTTGGAAAACAGTGAATCAGCTATAATTTCCAAGGAAATCGAACAAAAAGCCAACGATTTAGATATCATGGTAGATCTGATGAAGGAGAAAATTAAAGTATCATCTCGGAAAGTCAAGATACAGATTTTAACGATGACACCTTTCTCATGGACAGTAAGAAAAACTGCTAACTTCTTTGGAGTCTCAAACTACATGGTCCGACAAGCATTCAAACTGCGTAAAGAGCATGGTATCTTCGCAAGCCCAGAGCATAAGAAAGGACAAGCATTATCAGATGATGTTGTGCTCCTTGTTACAGATTACTATTGTGATGATGAGAATAGCAGGGTACTTCCAGGGAAAAAGGATTATGTTAGCATTGGAAGGAATCAACATATGCAGAAGAGGTTAATCCTTTCGAATCTAAAGGAGCTCTATTCATCATTTAAAAAGCAATTCAATGATATCAAAATTGGCTTTTCTAAATTTTGCATGCTCAGGCCAAAATGGTGTGTAACTGTTGGGGCTTCTGGTACACATTCTGTTTGTGTCTGCACTTCCCATCAGAATATTACGTTGGCTCTCAATGCAATAAAGCTAGACAAGGATTACCATCACCTGTTAGAATTGATTGTTTGTAGCAGAGATAAGAAAGAGTGTATGATCCATCGTTGCCCTAACTGCCCTGGGATTGAACCCCTGAAGAACTACCTTAGAGAACAACTGAATGCGAGACCCAGCGACCAAGACGAAACAAGTGCAGATGCAAATGAAGTAGATAATACCTTCACCGAGGAAGAGGATTACAGTATAACATTCAATCAATGGACTAGCACAGACAGGGCAGAGCTGATTAAACAAACAGCACCACTTTCAGAGTTCATAGAGCTTGTGGCTGAGAAGTTAGACAAGATCACTGTTCATTCGTTCATAGCTCGGACCCAAGGGAAGTACCTGAAGCAGTGTAAGGAAGACTTGAAAGAAAGTGAAGTCATTGTCCTTGTTGATTTTGCTGAAAATTATAAGTTTCTTGTACAGGATGAAATACAGGGATATCACTGGAACAAATCACAATGTACCTTACATCCAGCTGTTGTGTACACAAAGAAGAATGGTCAGTTGGAGGATCACTGCATATGCTTCATATCAGATGATCTAAATCACGATGTAGATATGGTGTACCAAATTTTAAAAGAAACTTCAAAGCACATAATTGAAAGCATCAATCCTCAAGTGAAATCTGTCAATTACTTCTCTGATGGATGTGCTGGCCAATTCAAAAACTGTAAAAATTTTCTCAACTTATGCTTCCATCATGCTGATTTTGGCACTAATTGCACATGGTCATTTTTTGCTACAAGTCATGGCAAGTCAACATGTGATGGTGTTGGGGGCACAGTTAAAAGAATAACATCACGAGCAAGTTTGCAACGACCATTTGATAACCAAATTCTAAGTGCAGTTGAAATGTTTAAGTTCTGCAAAGAGGAAATCAAAGGAATCAACTTCAAATTCATACCAAAGGAAACAATGGAAGTAACAAGGGCAACCCTCAAGACAAGATTTTTGAATGCAAAGACAGTACCTGGTACTAGGAGCTACCATCATTTTGTTCCCTTGTCCAGTTCGTGCATTGGTGCAAAAAGAACGTCAATTGATGAAAAATATGCCTTAAAATTTGATTTTGCATTGGAAGTAGAGCAAATTCGCACTAGCTTCTCGCTAAATTCTTTTACAATTTGTCTGTATGACAAGGAATACTGGATCGGGCTGGTAGAGGAAATTGATTCAGCTCAAAAAGACATCAAAGTAAAGTTTATGCATCCGAAATGCCCAGCAAGGTCGTATTTCTGGCCAATGAGGGATGATGTATGTTGGGTGCCAGAGGAAGACATACTTTCTACAATTAATGCCCCAACAACAGCAACTGGAAGGCAGTACAAACTACTTGCAGCTGATGAGGAGATCTTTATTAAAATATTATGAAATACCATTGATAAGGACATAATTCGTAGAGCAAAATTAAAATGGATTCTATTACCTGTCTTATTTTCTTGATAAGCTTGATTATCAAGAAAACATTTTGAAGCAAAATAACATCTAGATCCATTTATATTGCTATAACTATACAATGTAGAGAAGAAGGGTATTCAAGTTGTGACTACAAGTTGTTCTGTATACCTAGAAATATATCATAACTTTAAAAGCTTCTTTTTCTTACACAGGACAACTTACCATCTCATAACTTCTTCAGTATATATCTATACCTATGGACAACAGTTCTGTAAATTTTCAAAATGGTTAATTGACCGCACCCAACATTATATAAAAACAAAGACATGCATTTTGTCAATTTCCGCATATGATGTATTTAAGTTTATTTTAATCAATGAAATATGAATGATAGCTAGGATTGTGTTTTTAATGTAATACTTAAAATCTGCGCATGAAACTACCCCAAACTGGAAATTTTTACCCAAAAATGTCATTTGGTTAAGAAATTAGAGACAAATTTTTGAAAATGGACCGCATCAAAAATGGGCGTTGTCACCATTCTTAAGGGCGTAAACGATCATGAATCAAAAAGCAATATCTCAGAAACAAGATGTTATAGCAGGCTGAAATTTTTTCTGTAGTGGTTCTAAGACATGGTGAACAGTTTGAAGAAAAATATAGCAAAATCTGAGACATTGGTGTCAAGGCTGTTTGAAATGATATGGAATTACCCCATTGTATTCACTTTATTGTACCAACTCTATTGTATTAATTCTATTGTATTCTACTATATTGATTTTGTATATGTTAGCTCCATTTGATTTGTAAAGTATTACTGATGAAGACTTCAGCCGAAACGTTTAAGCGATAGTGTTTTTTCTGAATATCTATATTTTTTTATTACACTCGGTGCATGAGCTTTTGAAAGTATTTATATATATATAACATATCCTATATAGTGCAATCCCATATATATAACAAACTCTTGATATTAAGAACCTAATTGTAAGTCTGTTCATCATAATTTTCCTCGATATGACAAACTTTTCGTAAAAGATATTTTTGTCTACTTCCCGTTTTTTTGGGGGAATCATTATCGCCATCGTCAAAACATATATGCATCGGTGAACATGCACTTTTATGATGCTGAAAATTGGAGAGAAGAGATTTGTGCAAAAGTTTACAACTTTTCAAGGCTTTATGGCATTTCAGTTAACAATACCAAACACAGAAGACTATAACAGACATTTTCGTCCCCAGATTTGGCAGCCAAATTCAGCCAGCTAAACACAGTATACACATAGCTAAATTTTTTCTAATTGTGGGGAGTGATAGTGTAAATCAAAATTTGCTTTGTAGGTTAACAAAAGTTGTCACTTGCTTTTATCTCAAAATGTCTGCTATCTTTTACTTTGTTTCATCATTCATCATTTGCAATTTTGAAATTATTTAAAATGTTTTGAAAATTATCTGTGCAAACATTTTTGTTTCCTTTGCATTTTTGTTGTTTTTTGCAACATGCGGCCAGAATTCAGCAAAATTTTGCTTCTTCAGCAATATCAATTTATGATGACCAAAGGGTTTTGAGAAATTGCCAAAATGGAGAAATTTTGCCATCAAAACCATTCATCTAAATTTCCTTCTTTGTTTATGAAAAATGAGTAGACTTGGTATTAGATGAGTGGTCAAAAAGGCCAAATGGCAACTCTGGCCATTTTTGATATTATGAGCATGTTTTAGCCTCTTTCTCGAGCAGGGTTGCCTTGATTTGAAATTTAGCACCATTTTATGACAAATTTGGCATAATTCCAAAATTGAGATCTGGTCACACTGTTCACTACCCTCCTACACCCCCCTATTTGGACTCTGCTCTGCTCTAAATCTAGATGTTGGTGAAATTTAATTTAATGAAAAATGGCCAATAATTATTGTTTATGCATATATTGATTAAGGATTATTGACATCTGGCCAGTAAAGTACATGACATGGCAAACATTTTTCTGTAAGCGTAGTGCCGTCTTTTGCTGATATATTGAATAAGCCAGTTTATACCTGTGTAGAAAATTCCTGAAGTCTTCAGAAATATTTTTTGTTAAAATTTAAGTAGTTATGCTTAGAACACAGTGAAGTAAATTTCGTCAAAATTATTACTGTCATCATTGTCGTGTTAGCAATTTCCATGTAGATCGATTATTGTTACCATAAATTTTGGCCAAAAAGATGTCACATGCCACTATACGCCAAGATATTTCCAGGCGTGCGGTGGTTGGCACACCTGCTATATATTTCCCACATAAGCCTGCAAAGTTATGTTTACTTTAAGATTTCTTAAAAAAGACGCTCATTTAGAAAAATGCAGGTGTTAAAAATTTCATAGCAAGCACAAATCTTTTGGTAAGGATTACTGAGCAGTTTGGCTCTAAATGAAGAGCATTTATGACAAACTAATAAAAATAAAGAAGTCATACAATGGGCCCTCCTCCCATATTTTTGCGTGATGCGTTATTGGCTATATTTTTGTGCATGAAATCGAGAAATCTCGATTTTTTATGTGTGATTTCTTAATGACAACCACTTTGGGTGGCCCCTGTACAAGATACAGTCAACACCAGTCCATTTACAGGAAATCAATGGCGTAGCGTCCATGTATGCCACGTTTGCGGCGCAAGCGTAAAAAATGCTGGGCAAATTCTAAAATTTTTGCAACATTGTTACCTGTAATATAAACGTTGTAGCGGTAAGGTCAATGTATGATATATTCCTAAATAAACGGCCTCTCTTCCTGGTCATGAACGGCATGCAGTGAGCTCTTTTTGCTTGTCTTACTGAATCAAACAGAGTAGCAAAATAACCGCAAACAATATTTTGATAGGGTAAGAGCAGTTTTTATTAAAATAATCTGGGATGAAATCAATAGGAAATAAAAATATGTCAGGGTGCCCCTGTTCAAATCATAATTGCATTGATATCAGCATTTCGCATTTTCCTGTTTTTACTTTTGTGTTGGGAATTTGATATCTTATTGCTAATGGATCCTGGACATTTGTGTTGATTCTTTGATGTCATATAGGTAAAAAAGCAACTCTAATTTATAAGTATCTGTCATCATTTTTTGTTAGCTGGATAAAAAGCTATTCAAAAGGTTTAATTTCCCAGGGACCTACAAGTGTGTTTTTCAATATTTGATACACATGTCATGCTATTAGTAAAACCTGTTCTGTTAAAGTATTCCATTCTGCAGTTATCCTAAATTTGACATTTTATGTTATTTCAAGGTAAATGTGTCCATATAAAATGGCTGCGCTACATATCCAACTTGTCAGGTAACATCACAATAACAGCTTGTGATTGGTCAGTATTCTTTTGATTCAAAACTGCTCACAGCAGTGTAGAAAAACAGAATAACTGTAATAGCTCAGGCAATGACATGAAAAATCATGTTTCTTTAATCCCCAAAGAGTTGCTTGTTTTAGACAGTCGCGGGGTAAAACACGAAGAATTTGAAAAAAGGAGATAAAGCTACCCGCTTCAAATAATAGTAAAATTGGAACATAACTACCAACTCCATATCATCTGAAATTTTGTTGAACAGGAAAAATCACTGGAAACTGTGAATAAAACTATTAAAATTTTGTTGACAGCACCCCCCTCAATGTGAATGTCATAAAGGTATGGGACCCCATCTTTAATATCTGCTGTGCATCTCTCCTTGGAAGTTTTTAAGTTTAAGCTATCTAGCAATAAAGCCACAGGGTTAATCTTAGGTTAGTTCAAGAGTAAATTTTCAAAAGCTTGCCAAGTAAAATTAGGCACCTATCTGTGATTTGTTGCTGTGACATCACTGTATTTCAAAGTTTTTTTGGTCAAAGCAAATGAAAGTTCAGACCTGGTAGCTCTTCTCATTAGCAAACCTTCTTTTACAGTCTGTCCTTCTCAAGAGTTCTACTATTATGAAAAATCTATTATTATGATTTCTACTTCTTCTGTTTTAACCTTTTTTACTGTTAATTTATTCTCATTTTGTTAATTAAAAGATTTGCTAGGTTGTGAATAGCTTGGATCACAGTCATTATCAAAATGTTATTGAAGGCCATCATGGTCAAGATTTTTGACCCATCGTTCTACTTTTAAATGTAAAATCTTGAATAACTCACAATGTGTGATAAGGTTGCTGACTTACAGTGAACAATAACATACTTTATTAATATGAAAGATAAAAGGTAAAACTTAAGATAGCTGAAGGAAAAATTCTTGTACAAATTGAAACCAGCATGTACAAATTAAGAGTATATTGAACAATTGATGACCAGGATATATAGAGAGGCTTTATTCTATTAGTCTTAATGACTTTCACTGGCTTGAATGATTTTAAGATTTATATAAGACCAATCAGCTGGATAAAATGTGTTCCTAGACAAGGCTGACAAAAAAGACATGAAATTAGCATTTCATATCAACTGACTTATTCAAAACAACAAAAGTTTTTTATTCAACCCATACTTTGCATAGGGTACACAAGGAACTCAATGCACAAAAATATGAGCTTCGTGGGCTTATGAAGGTAACGTTTTCAAAGTTGGGATACATACATTTAAGCCCAAAACTTTCTGACTGGTAGAAAAAGACCTGAATATATTCTTACTTAGACTTTGGAAGAAAGGACCTCACGTTTATAACTATTTGCCTTTGACTTTATTGAGGTCATTTCTTATTACATATAAAATATTAATTTGCCAAGGATCATATATGAGGCATAGACTGTTAAACAACTGTTGCTACTTTAGGGTTGATTTCTGAACTGAATTTACTAGTTTTCTACAATATTTTTGTACCTATGAATGTGAAAAATTATTACTGCATTTCAATACATTTAAACACTGAAATTTGAAACATAAATAGTTTGTTTGCACTCTGATGTCTCCAAACTGCCACTTTGTGCCAATATTATTAATTTGATTTTTCATTCTACAAATTTGTGATATTGAAAGATTGCCATTCCCTGAATGTTTTGCAATTTCATGATGTGTTATGCAATATACCACCATTTTATCAGCATACAGATGATAACAACATTGTTTCATTAATCTTTATCCATAATGTCATTGTTTCATGAAGAATGCCTGAACCGATTTTGCTTAAACTCAAAACCTCAGCTGAGTGGCATTAACTTATTCAGTTTCTTGCACCATTTGCAAGCTATTATGCAGGCCTATTTTTTCGAGACTCTTCTATTTGTTTACGCAGCTTCTCTGTTTTTGGTTTGTAAATGCCACAATTTTTTTCATAATTAAATAATTTTCCTAAATCAATAGCAGTAGAAGATTCACCGGGTTTCTGCTCATGTAGAGCTGCACAAATTGGGCAATAAATGCTACCATTCCCAAGCTCAAATTTCCCCTTGTATGCAAAGTACTTGTTATACTCATCATCATTTTTGTCAAGATACAGTAGATACTCAGCTAGTTTTTGGATTGACTCAAATTCACTGGCATCTATGTATGATCCTGGAATAGCAACTCCTTTGTCATAATTTGCACCCATTACCACTGGAACAACATTCTGAGTGATTCTTTCCCAATATTTTTCGGTGACGTAATCATGGCAAAAATCGTTTTCAAATGCAAGGTAGAATTTATAAGTTGAGAGTTCTTTGCTGCAAGCATCATTAAAATGAGCACAGCTTCTTTGGTTTTTGAACCGTTTACTGCACAAACCATACACCGTTAAAGTAATATATTTTTGAAGCTCGAGGGCATAGTCCTCTCGTAGCAGCCCACAGTTGCTGACTGCCCATGCAACTAGGCCAGTTTTTTCTTTCGCATAATTTCGAGTCACTTTATGGGGGTTCTTCTTAGCAATGTAATTTGTGTAAGGGATAAATATGTTGGAGTTCCGATCAAAGGTTGCAAGCCAGTGAAAAATCCCATTATATTTGCCATACATTAATGGATCATTCTTTGGGTTCTCGTGACTTAGGTATATCCATTTTTGATCCTTCTTTGAAATTTTGTCTTGAACTCGTCTCAACTGTTCAGGTTGGTATTGTCTTTTATAGTCCGCTTCTAAGTCCCTTCCATGAAACAAAACGGCATGTGCATCATTTATCCAGCTCATGTCATATGTCACAAGACAATCTTTGTACCGATCACACGAACCAAAGTGCTCGAGCGTTTGCTTCCCAACCATCCAAGACCAATGTCTTTGAAAGAAAAATGTGGAGTAAAGAAGGATGACTTTAGTATCCTTGTCAAGGTAGTCATTCGAGGTTTGCTTCTTTGAAATGCGAGCAACTTCATAAGCAATCTGTTCTACATTTTCCCTGTCATTTTCAAGTCCGTTTGTTTTCCGTTCGCTTGTCACTGTGGAATGCAATTGCTTTCCATACAAAGTCCCTCCATAAAAAACTAGTGTCGTCAAGCAAAGAAACAGGCCTAAAATAAGAATTAGCCTTTTCCCTCTCAATTTAATCCACATTTTAATGATGCTATACTTCTGCTAAAAATGTACCTGTATTCTCCTTCACATTGGGAATCCAAGTGGTAGCATGTCGCGCCGTTCATTGGTTTATCAAAACAAAGAACAAAGTTTCTATTTCAGTGACTTTTCATTTCGTAACAAAGGACTTGCTACAAGTCCTGACTACAACACGGGGGAAAATTGTAATAAGCAAAAATGGCGGTCAATTATCACGTGCAGTGTGTTGCTGCGCTGCGACGCGTAGAGACGAGACAAATAAAATGCATTACTTCATTTTACTTTTATAGATTCTTTCGAAGTGAAAATATTAACATTGAAGTATCATCGACGCAGGAATTTACTATAAGACGCGGTATCCATGACAACAATAATGGGGGATGAAAATCCATAATGGCAGACTTTTTGCTGACTTAAAAAACCTTAGCACCCTGTGATTTTTACGCGCATGTGCAATACAATTTTCGCCCGTGCTCCTGACTACGAAACATATGATGGGTGTTTCGAAATGGCAGCTTAGCAACGAACCGGGGGTTGATTCAAATTCTAACATCATATGTGATCAGAATGCAAATGCTCCTAAGTGCATTCTAAGAAATCTTAATATCCTTCTAAAGCCACCATAGACCTTTAAGTAGGCACACAATAGTTTGTATGATGAAGAAAGAGAAAAACACCAAATGAATAAATGAACATGCTTGAAGTAAAAGTTTTAACAAATGGAGTGAGTCATTATCTACACAAAGTCTGCAAGGACAATTTCATCTTCTTCGTTCTTGTTGGACACAGCACTTGGATACATAATATCTGAGTTGAACAAGGAAAGCATACTTTGGCTTGGTACAAAGTCTTTGCAACATTTTTCACCAAAGTGCAAGTGAGTGCGAATGCAAACGATGGCCTCCACCATTGTGACACCCATTCGGTTGCGGTGCTTTGTCTTCACATTTGTGACATAGGAGAAAATCCTCTCAACAATGGAATTGCTGGTAGGGGTGGTAAGGCAGGCAAGAGCATGCGCTGCTAGATCTGTGAAGGGGAATTCTTGCACTGAATTTTGATACTGGTGAACACCAGACCAGAATGCTACAGCTTCTTGAGGTATTCCATCCTTGAAGACAGGTTCCTCTCTCCAATTGACAAGGAAAATGTTTCGGTATTGGTTGTCAATTTCGGAAAGCTTGTCAACCATCAAGTGCTGCATTGGAAGCTCTGCAGGAGGCACTCTAGCAATTTGACTAAGCACTCTTGATGGATGCAAATAGCTTAAAGCCTGAAAAACATCCCTTGATGGTGGAAATCATTTGCTAACTTGGCTCGTAGCTTCTAGAAGCATTTTATGGCACCTCCCCCTGGCCTCCATAACCTTTAATAACATGGAATTGTCTTTCTTTGTTGTTGTCTACCAGTGCATCAGCTTCAAATAGAAATTTAGCACCAAAATCTACTTTCGCAAGTGGCAGCTGGACTTCATTTACATCGGATACACGCCTCTTGAGACTGTCGAAGAAAAGATTTAGCTCCTTGATCATGCCATGAGGATCAATATCTGTGGCTTGAAAAAATGCATTCACCCTTTCAAACTCGGCTACAATCGGAGATAAGAAGTGGAAGTATAGGAGATTTATAGGATCTCGTAGCATATCTGCAATCAAGCGGGCTTTGTAACGCACTTTAGCATCCCCTTCAAGCTCTGCAATTGAGAAGTAGGCTCTCAACTCCTGCAAGTTGACTAAGATGTTGAAAATGACTTTCCCTCTCACCAGCCAACGTGTTTGTGAGAACTTCTGGTAAGGGTGGGGAAGGCTTGCACGCTCACTATTCTCATTGGTGATGTCAAACAGCTTCTTGTATGCTTCCCGTCGCAAGGTGCTCTTAGAAAACCATTTCGGAATCTCACTCAAAAGGAAGCCAAGATGGGATGGCATCTGCTCGAATGTATGCTTGATGCAAAGGGCCAAGGAATGGCATATGCATTTCATTATGGTGCAGTTGGGCGATTCAGTCCTGACCCTGGACCAAACTGAGTCATGCTCACCAACTATGGCTGATGCTCCGTCGCTGCCAAACCCAACACAGTCATTCATCTTCAACCCGGCAGCTTCCACACAAGCTTTCATGGCGTCGAACAAATCCTTTCCAGTTGCACTGACGACTGGTATCAACTAACAAAGGCAGTGACAATCTTCTTCTCCACCTTGCTATAAAATCTCACTGCTACGCAAAGGTACTTCAAGCAGGCAACATCTGTCAACTAGTCAATCATGACACAAAACTTTCCGCCAGTCATATCTTTGCACAAATCTTCGTGTAAAGCTGGTGAAACAACATTCTTTATCAGACTGGCACAGTTTGTCTGCACTGTTGCATGCTATGGCGACAGCAAATTGAATTTCTAATTTCTTCGTTTCCTCGCCTTCTTTTGGTTTTTGACCAAAAAATATTCGGCAGCTTGAAACGGAACTTGCAATCTTTACATGTTTTAAAGTTTCTTCATGTTGCTTGAGGTTTGAGACTCTAGGCTGGATGTTTACTCAGCAAAAAGAGCAATAAACCATTTCAGATCCATCCACTGCCTTTTTAACCCAGGGATATTTCCTCTGCCATTCGGGCTTGAACCTTCTAGATTCATCGTAGTGACCTTTCCATTTTGTACCTTTAGATGGCTTGCTGAGACTCATTTTAACCTTTCTTGAAAATTGTACCGTAGCGTAAATAAGATATCCACTGGTATGTTCGAATTTAGATTTAGATAACATTTTTGATCAACGGCCCTTTTATAGAGTGCTTGTGCTTTCTAATTCAGGAAAAATGCAATTAAAAAGGGTGTTACTATTCTATGTTATGATTTTTGAAAAAACGAACCTCATAAGTGGGTGCCTCACATTCAAAACAATCAAATATGGATATGGATTACCTTCATTACCGAAAACGTCATGCACTCATACGTCACAGACAACATATGATGTGTGTAGTTCAATTAGAAAATATGCAGTTAATGTGATGTCTATATTAGTCGTCTGCTGGAAATCCTATTATTGTCTCGCTGACTTTATGAGGTCAGAAAGGGCATTCATTTCGTCTGAAGTAGGAAATGCAAAACAAATGTTGAGAAAAATTTGACTACTTTGGGCGAAAAAAGCCAAAAAGAAGCCAAAATCAAGAAATAAGCCAATTGAAAATTTTGCAAGCCAAACCAATCGAAAAAAAGCCAAATAGCAAAATTTGGCTTAAAAAAAGCCAATCTGGTAAACCTGGCAGTTTTTCATTAAAAACTCAAAGCAAAATTGTAAAACTGTCAGTAAAATTGTAATTTAAAGATTATCCTCAAGAACCTCATTTCCATTGATTTAATACTTCTTCTATACTTTAATAATAATAATAATAAAACCATATTTATACAGGTTAACTTTTTCAGCAAAATAATTTGCTGCTATCAATCAAGGACCTGCTAACCTAGAGTTCCTATAATATTTTGCAATAACAATTTAATATAATTTTACAATAAAAATGTTCTAAAATAGTCTAAGTATGTTTTAAAAATATGTTTACAATATGTTTTACAAAATAAACAAGTCTAAATAAAAATAAAAGTCAAAATCCTTGCAGAAACTCTTGAACTTTAAAATTGATGTTATGTGTTTCTTTGGGATTTTATTGAATATCTTCGCACCCTGGAAGGCAAACGTTTTCTGTCCTGCTTCAGATATCATTTTTGGAAGCAATAAGCTGTGTTCGTTTCCACGAGTTGCTTTACAATGTTTAATTTTCTGAAAGTACGTCATAAAGTCAGGCGGAGAAAGGCCATTCAAGCATTTAAAGACCTTAATAGCACACATTCTATTTCTGATGTGGTTTATTGTTGTTTAATGTGGTTTCGCTAATTGTCCGCACATCACACCCATAGAGTAAAACTGACCACACATAACATATTAACACACTTTAAATACAGCATTCGTCTTGTTGAAAGCCTTCTTTGCCATCCCAATTCTTTCCATCTAATGTTATCAAGCTGCCTAGATAAGTAATTCAAAACCTTATTTATTGTTACGCCGTTGATATACAAGGAACATTTGTTTTACCGTTGATATAACCAAACATTCTGTGTTTTTACATTAATTTGAAGACCTTTCTTTTCACTTTCTGACACAGCCTTATTCAGAATATTTTGAAGGGGTGCTTCATTTGCCACAATTTATACAGTGGGATCCGTATATCTCAAGTTGTTAGTATTGCCACCACCAACCTTCACACCTGGCATATTCTCTATCTCCCTCAGAATGACTTCTCTGTATAGATTAAAAAGATGTGGGGATAGCACATGTCCTTGTCTTACCCCTCTCATAACAGTTGTCAACTTGCTGGTCTCTCCTTAAATTCTAATGGCTGCACTCTGTTCCCAACATAAGTTCCTTATCAGTTGTAAATCCTTTCCATCAATCTCTAATGCTTCCAGAACTTTTAACATTTCTTAATGGTATACTTTATCAAATTCCCAGTAGTGTAATCAGGGTGACAGGATTTGTTGCGCTAGGGAAAATTGGGGCTCCAAACCCTTTTGAATGCCAGAAAATGCTCTTTTTCAAAGAGATTTTTTGCCATTGGGGGGGGGGGGTTCTGTTTCGCTTTGCCACTGCATAACAAAGTGTAGGCCTAAGAAGGTGTAAAGACCAATGACGTCATAAACTGATTTCATTGATGAAGTAAACGATGAAGAATAATAACTTTTAGCTCATTTTTATTTCTTTATGGGAAAACAGCATAAAGCGTGGAGCTTTTTTCAAGTCTAGCAGATTCATTTAAAATACGTTCAAGTTGCACTTTCCCTGAAAAATGTTTGAAAAATGCAATTTTATAGTTTTTTCTTCCGACAAGATTAAATGTTAAAAGCTCATAGGCCCCCCAAAGATAGGAACCGGTTCTGTTATGACCAAATTCACTGATATAGAGCTAATTAAAGTAATATTATGTTTTAACTGGCATTAAAATCACCACAAGCAATCAGTGTCTGACAGATCTATTACCCCTAATTTTTTAGGTTTGACCCCATGCTTCGCCCCCTCAAACGCTTGATCAACATTCAAATTCGTAATCTACGCCCAAAACTACCTAAAAAAGATGGTGTGGTAAATTCTCCGCTCGGGTGA